ATACAGGTGTGATACATTTAAGACCTTAAACAATAAAAATAGATTTAATTTCATTTTTTTAAATAAAGGTTAATTCCCATAAAACTATTTCAAAACATCCCCAATTAAAGCATTATTAACTGTAAATACGTTACTCTTACATTGTAAGTAAAGCAGAATCCATTTAAAGATATTGTAAAAAACGAAAGCGGCAGGTAGCGATCAGCTGTTGGCTGCAGGTTGTAAGATGCGCTCTGTGTGAGTGCGACAGATGCTGGGGACATCTGCCGCGGCGCGTGCGCATTCGAGAGAAAAGTTTTGATACTTGATCTATGCTCTTATTGGAAATGCGTATAGAACACTACGTGTCAAATTTTGATAAACCAAAGAAGGGCCAAAGCAGTAAAAGTAATTGACCTATAAATTGATCACTGATGTTGAATTTACTTAAAGCAAGTCCTGATAAATAATATTTTTCAGGATAATCAAGATAAGAATATAGCCTCTATTAGGAAGAAATAATATTTGTATAGAGATATATAACCCAGGAACCGTTCTTGAAGTCAGGAGGTCGTCCATCAAATATATTTTTGTGTACTATTTGATGTGTTTTCCCTCGTAACAAAAATGTATATCTTACTTACTAGCTTTTAGACACAACAAGAGGTCGAAAAGAACGTTCCTTAGATGCTTATGTAGGTTTAAATAAAACACTTCTCCCCGTGACCACGACTGCTGCAAAGTATCCGAAACGTCGAGCCGAAGTTAAAAATCATTTTCAAATAAGTTTAACTAATACATCGCGTTTTAAACCGTTAAAGTGTTTTATTAAAATGTGTACTATTTGCGTAAACAATAGACAGCGCTTATGTATGTCTTATTGAGATTCTAACAAGAATACGTTCTAGCTAGATATAATTCCAACATAAACGAATACGTCTACAATAAAGTATCAAGGTGTGTAGAAGCCACAATGCGGTGTACGGCTGATCGGTCACTTGGAGTCAGCTGCACATCTCGAAGCAGCACGTGCGATTCAACTCTCTAAATTAAATCAGTATAATGCATAAGCGATAAGCGATGAGGAATGCGATCTTGATATATTTGATGATAATTTTTAATAACATTGTAACTCCGTAAAATTTACAGGTAAGTAAGTGATAATAATTTTTTTGCTAACACCAATGCAATGAAATGAGATCGACCGATCGATGGTCTATTAACAGTAACTGTACCAGTTATTTGTAACAAACTATTGCAACAAACAAAAAATGTTTGTTACGATCTTTCTCGATAAAAGTAAGTGTCCAATTATATGATTGAATAATATGAAGTTATTTTATTATTCTGTCAAAAACAATAAAAATATGCGCCATTATGACTAAGCTACTTTTGAAAGACCATTTATGATTGAGTAGGACAGAGAAGCATATGGTTCACTTGAAGGAAGGTAAATGCCCCAGCCATATAACATCTAAACTAGACACGCTCTCGACCTATGTTGGTTTTGAATATTCAGAAATCCATAGACTGATAGCGAAACGCGATTAAACTACACCATTTAATAGCCAGATTTCTAGACGAAATCCAACATATTTAGGAATATTATAAATGAATTAAAACATGTTGGACCATATACAGTAGTGCTTAAGTTTGACGAGATATGAAAAATGATAACCGCCGTCCATTTATAACTTAGACCACGCATGACTCATTCAGACATTGACCGTGTAATCTCAATAATAATTATGAGATCTCGTGCGAATATCTCGTCGCTCGATCGCGTCTTACATAATGTTATTACACAATAAAATACATTATCGGTGCATATATATTATTCATTACTAGCTGCGCCCGCGACTTCGGCCGCGTAGAACAGTTATTTTGGGCATTCAAATTAGTTTTTGTAAACCTTCCCATTTCTATAAATTACAGCTGTTAGGTACTAATTGTGTCGTTATTGTTATTTAATCGTAAAGGATAGACATAAGTATATTTGAGTTCAAAATATGTTCTGGTATGTTAAACCGTTTTCGCAACGCACGCGACGATTTTCCCCTTTTTTTCCACGTTTCCCACTGTTTGATTACTTCTATTGGTCGTAGCCTTCCTTCGTAAATGCTCTAATCAGCACATTTTTTGTTTCAATTCGAACCAGTAATTATTGAGATCAGCGAACAAACAAACTCTTATATAACATCAGAATTATCAGCATGTTTGGGTCCACTGCTGGACGCAGGCCTCTTCCAAAGCATGTCACTCGTCCCTCTCTTGAGCTCTATTAATTATTATTAACAATTTATCACTAAAAAGCGGTAACATGCACTAATGGGACCCGATGCCAATTAGAATTTTGTTCACCGAGAACGGAGAGGACACGAGAAAACAGATGGCGCTAGCAGAGTAATAGACTGGACCTTGACATTGGGGACTTCCTCCATCTTCAACCCCCCGTGACTAAACCTGCTGCAAAGCTTGTAGCGAGCCGTAGTCAAAATAAATTGTAAATAACATTTAATCATTTTCGCATTTTAAAACCGTTGAAAAATGTGTTATCTAAATGTGTACTACTCGCGTACACTACACACAAAACAGAATTACGTCTTTTAGATTTTTAAGCAAAGCTTATAAAATTAAAAAATTTCGGTGACAAAGCCAATAGGTGCACAGATTAAAAAAATCATCGACAAGGTGGAACTAATCAAAAGTAGACGACAGATGACAATAGATCTAACAGTGTACACTTCCCTACAAAAAGCAATTACAAAAATTTCAAGAAAATGTAACAGACATTATACAATGGTATTTCTAAAAACCAAATGTCTTATTCTTATTATAAGTTGTTTTTACCTTTGGCAATATTAAGAACACTATTTACAAGTACGGAATGCACTGTTTGCAAAAATAGCCAGATAAACTTTACTACACAAATAATGTGTTACCATTTAAATCAAACCATTTATTTCATACACAAGTATACACAAAATACAAGTAATAAATAATAAAATAAATGTATGTGGAAGTACACCACTTAATTGTGTTGTACCTGGGAGTTCGCGAATGATTTTCAGTAATGCTTGACATTTGAATTAAACAAAAACCGACACATAACACAAAATGGTTACAATAAAAATAATAATACTAATTCAAATTTCATTCAAAAATAATATTTTAATATTTTGTCTGAGCTAATTTGCAATCCGTAGAAATATGTCATAATTGTTTACAAGTTTAACTTTAATAATAAATTTATAATTAAAAAACACTTTTGCACTTAACTGTACAGGAAGGTACGGCACGGGCTACAGAATAAAAACTTATTGTCTCAATAGAGAACGGATCTCGCTTTTTATCAGGTAAATGTCACAATCTAGCGAAACGGCTCGAAAGAAATTAAAAAGTTCGTCCTTCCGATCGATAGACATGCTTCAATGGATAAGTCTTAGACAACTCAAGCAAACAGTGTTCCAAAATTATCTACATAAAAGGCTTCATCCGCCCTTTAGGTCCCAACACGGGCCCTATTGGACTTGATCTATTGGGGTCAGACTTGTGTTTAATATTTCAATTAATAATTTTTCTAAATAATGTCGGTATTCGTCTTGAAATCTCGCTGGTCACGAACCACTGTCCTCAGAGGAAAAAGCCATAAAGTTTAATCTCGTTTCCGAATAGTCTAACGGATAAAACGCGAAATGTATTAGAAAAACTTATTTATAAATTATTCTAAACAACGAGCCATTTTGGATGCTTTGCAGCGGCGTTTTAGACTGTTAAAAGTGTTTTATTCATACAAAGAAATCTGCAAGATTCAATTCTTCATAAACAGCGTGAGTCGTGCGACCACCTCATTACCTATGTGAAAGAAATAAATATTTATTTATTGCCACACAATTGAGAAATACAATAGAACGCTTAATCTAAATTAGTAAGCTAGAATAAATCAAAAATAAATTAAGATAATTATTGGAATAAACTAATTAAATAAGACTGCGGTACCTAATGAATTTGATTGGATATGTAGGTACTATGTATAGATCCAAATTTGTTTAGCATCCAAATTTGTTTTTGCAAACCTATTCATCTTTATAAACTTAAGCTGTTACAAACGACGTTGGTCGCGTCCGTTCCCGTCGTTCTTGCAAGTTAATCTAAAAGGTCTATATAGCGTCGATTAAAGAGGAACTATTCTTTCATACATATTTTTTAGGTATCTTGAACTGTTTTCGCAGCGTACGCATCTAAAACCCACAGGGATGAAAAATGTGTCCCGTTTTGTTCACATTTCCCGCTGTATCTTCGCTTCTATTAGTCACAGCGCAATGTTTTATAGCATCATTCAGCATATAGCCTTCCTCGATAAATGGTCTAACCAACACAAAAATATTTTTTAAATTTGAACTCGTAGTTCCTGAGATTAGCGCGTTCAAACAAACAAACTCTTCAGCTTTACATATAAGTATAGATAAAAGTATAGATGTATTTGATTGATTTGACAAATGAAAATCAATAAAGCAAATTTATGAAGCGATCGCTTTTGGCAACGTGCTGGGAAAGCGATAAATATCGTAGCATCTGCCCTTCACTTTCACTTTTTAATAAGGACACACCTGTACTTACTACAGCGAAGGAGCTTTAAATTTATATCCGATATTACTACTTTAAGAGTTATTTAATACTAGCTGTATTCGCGACCTCGGCCGCGTAGGTAATAGCGAGTTCTTTTTAAATATGGACAGTTTTTTTAGATCATTGAGCTGAGCCATGTACGAAATTTAAACGAGTGGCGTTTTGTTATTCATTCACTTAACTTTTCTTTTCGGTTTTGTGTGTTATATACTGTAATATTAACAAAATAACGAGTATGATATATACGCCTCTATTTTAAGAAGATAACAGGCAGGCAAGCGTTGGGTTCACTTCAAGGAAGGTAAAATCATGTAACATTATAGCGAGATATGCTGTCAACCTTTTTTGGCTTTGCATTACAGACTCACGGGGCAAACACTTTTCTTTGTCCGTTACGCTGACTCTTGACCTTTACACGCAAGTAGGCAAGCCAGTTGAATCCTAGCTAATAGAAACGTATTTTTTTCATCAAAATCTAGATTCTCTCCTTCTTTAGTGCTAGAAATTAGTTCGATCATTGAATTATGAAGCTACTTATAATTGACCTCAAACTTACGTATATTTTAATTAAAGCGTAATTTTAAATTAAGAATTTTAAACTTAACAATAACGTGTAGTAGTTTACTCACAAAATGAACTGCGCAGTTTTCACGCGTTATTTATTTGACTGGTGTAATACCTACTCAAATAACGATAAGTAAATCTGGCCCCTTCGTTATGAGATCTCGCTGTACCATTGGAAGCTGCGAACGGCGCCACGCCCTCCACTGAGATCGACCAATCAGCGTCAGACATCTTGTAATCTTATATATTATCGCTTCTGTTTGTATAGTGCACTGTATTTGATAAAAGTTAAGGGTTTATTCTGCGTATATATAATTAAAAACTACTCTTTGAGGCAACAGTTTTATTTCATTCGATTGTTAATCCAAATGTAATATCAAATAATTTAAAATATTCAATAACTTTTAAATATTCCGGTACTCGTAGTAATAGATTTTTTATATATGTGATAAGAGAAGAAGATATTTTTTCATGAACTGCGTTCATGAACAGTATTATAATATTTCAGTAATAACTAATCCTTCCCGCGTTAATAATTATTCAGATAACGCGATGCGATGCAGTACGTTTAGTATTTCACTGCATTTAAAATAAGTATATTACGTAAATTATTCCTGAGCTAGCACTAATTGTATTCCAAGTATAACCTCGCCGTAGCGTGGGCTCGTGGACTATTTGTGGATAGATCTTCCAATAAAAAAATGTATTCATAAGTATAGTAAAATTATAGGATTTATTCTTAGTTAAATTAAACTGAAAAGTAAAACTAAGGCGAAAATGGGGCATAAAATGTCTTAAATCAGAACAACGAGATGAAAAATGCGCATGGAAGATTGTTTTTAAATTTTAGCTATATAACTTCGTGCGACATCTATCTCATGACATACGTAACTTTATTCCTTTAAGCTTACGCTATTGCATAATAGAGGGCAGGGTAAACAATGTAGATTTCATACTTAAAATTGAAGTACGGCAACATTCTAAATAAGTTATTATTATTAGGACTATTCGATGTTAGATGGCGCTGAGTCAATGAAATACAGATGTTTGAAATAAAACTATGCATAATTTTGTAGTTTAATTTTAATGCCGCTTAAATTACAATAAGAAATGTTTTTAATAATTCAAATTACAGTAGAAGCACTTTGCACTTTTGATTATCTGTAACAACAAATTAAAATACAATTATACATTTATTATTTAACCAGTTGCCTTTAAAAGTATTAAAAATCAAATCAGCTTCTTTTTAATATAAAGTCAATATTAAAAAAAAAACTATGTATAATTGTAAAAATTAAAAAAAAAAGTTCCGATATTTCTCTTTATTTAACTTTTTCTGAACGATTATATTAAAAGAAGAGTCGGTCAAACCTGCCCTGCCCGATCAAAAATATCTATCACTATATGTTGAGATTCAGAATAAAAAACTTTCGGAGTTAGAACTGTCAAAAGACCCGTACTTACTTTAAATGCAGCCCTTTATATCCATAACAAGCTTGGCAAAGCATGCTTTGATTGGCAATTGCATGTCCATGTCTCCAACCGCATTTGGCTTCAGACATTGAAAGAAATTTACAAACGCCTTTACCAGACAAACAACATCTGGAGCTCCAATATCAAAGTCATCCCCAGTGTTGCCGTAAACTCCAGCACAAATAGTCAAAATAAAGAAGACAAAGAGTACTGCTTTCATCATGAGTTTTGGAGAAAGTTGTGGTTGAAGTGTAAATTATAAATGTCAACTGTGAAGGACTTGGATTTTTCATTTCTTTTATACTAATCCTTGCATTCGAGGAATGTTTTAGCTGCTGAAAACATTTTAGAGTATCTAATATTACATGAATTTTAAATATTCTCGTTTAAATATTTATTGATAACATAATGAATGTTTAGTTAAATTGTTTGATATTTTTCCATAAATATGTAGTGAGAGCATGCTTTCAATTCTCGCATAGTACCTACCTACTAGTCTAATTACTAAGACTAGTAGATTTGAAAGCAGATCATCGATCAATCTACAAAGACAATTCCATGTTACTATTGTGCCTTGATGTATAAAAAAGAACAACGTTTCCTAAATGGGGCCCCAATTAAATCTGTGATTTAAGTAATTTATATAAAATAACTTCGAAAAAAGAACAAAGAGCTTATTTAATTAAATATCTGTATTTAAATAAAAATCTTAAAAAAGGTAAAAATATACGACTCGGGCAGGACTTGAACCGCTTGTTCCGCTCTGTTGCTCTAACCAATTGAGCTGCCGAGCCCGACACGTTAATGTCGAATTTATTTTGTAACAATAAATAACTCTAAAAGCCGATCTATCTATTTTTGTGTAAGTGGCGAAATTGACACACCAGAGCAATTCGCGCTTCCACTACCAGGAAGAAAGGAGGGAAACTGATTGACAAGCCAGGGGATAAACCTTTACCACGACATAATGTAATTAAGAGAAACACTACTACTACTAAAATATGAATAGATACTAAAGCAATGCTTTACCTCCTACTCTACCTTACACTCTGATGGTGTAAAAAAAATAGATAAGTATTTATTCAGGAAACATATATGTATCTATAATTTGTTTTTGATCTGGAAACCCTTTTAAGTAAATAAGCCAGCTCTTCCACATCATTAAATATTGTTCCGTATTTTATTTTCATACATTTCGCAGCTTGTATTCCCCTATGTGTACGACGAAGTCGCTGGAATTACTAGTACCTATAGCTGTGCCAGCACAGAATAGCATATCATTGTCTTTCGGGCTGTTCGCCGATGTGAGGGAGAAGAGGTTCTCGACGTTTCGCCATCACGTGTGGACGTCATCATCAAACGACGTTGGCAAAACGTCTTCTGGCTCACATCGGCCGAACAGCCCGAAAGACAATGATATGCTGACCGATGGCCGTGAAAGCTCAATTCAGCACAGAATTGTTAGGTACTTTATATATATATATATATATATATTTATTTTTTTTGCAATCATTTTCTTCATCTTTATAAATTACAGGTGTTAAGTGTAGCACGACGTAAGTCGCCCCGTTCTTCTTGGAAGTTAATTAAAAAAAAATGTAATGGAGGAATCATTCTTTAATACATATTTTTTGGGTATCTTGAACTATATTGCGCACGCTACGAAAAATCTCAAACATGAATAAACTTCCCCATTTTTACCGTTAACAAAAAACAAACAAACTCTTCAGCTTCATAATATTAAGTATAAATTATGTGTGTTTCTAGTGTGCCCACAACGTTTTTTATCTACATTACTTTAGTAAGTTTATAGTAATAATAGCTGTTAAATAGAAAAACAACAATAATAAAAATATTGGGGAAATACCTAACTGTAGCATCGAGTTCGAAATCGAAAATGTGTTTTCCTCATAACATAATTCACGGATTTAACTTCACACCTAATAATCTATATTTACTATAGTCTAAAACTATTATGCGTGTTATATTGTTAGTATCGTTGCGGAATATTATAATATCCTTTTCGCTCTTAATCATACAAAATAAGACTTATAATATTTTTTTTGACATATAATTTTTTTTCAGAATCATAACATAAACCTAACCAAATGAAATATTTATCTCCTTTTTGGTTTTCGAGTATTATTATATTTATTAAGAAAAAAAAGATGTGGTTTTTGAGTTACATGCTTCTTAAATAAGTATTACATGGCTACTTATTATGATTTATGGCCTAAGTATAGGATACTTTTAGGATAACATATCATGGAAAGAACAAATTTCATTGGCATCAAAAATTTTATTGCTTAAAACATCACCAGATATTTTTACATGAAAAGTCAATAGGAACAAGGAGAAAAGTACCCAAGCGTCGAAAGCGTTGTTAATCTGAAAATAAATCTTTAATTAGACTTTATAAATAAATACAAAACGAGCCAAACTTGAAACATACAAATTAAAAAATTGTAAGTTGTAATATTACCTACATACCTAAAAACTTTTACAGATATTCATTTGATATGAGAACCTTGAAAAACAATGTCGGAACGGCACCGGAATGTAGCCTTCCCGTCCATCTGGGATATACTTTTCCAGACATTTAAATAAATTAAGCACAACTTGCATGACGCATAAAAAGTTACGCCCCTCGTAGTTGTCTCCTACCATCTCATCGCTTACATCCTCAGAAAAAGCTACAGCACAAATCGCCAACATAAGAAATGTCAACATGATTTTTTCCATTTTAAAATAAAGGTAGAGAAGTGTTTGCGTTTTTTAAATTAATGTTGGTATATACAATATAACATTCGCTTTTATACATTTACGAGTCATTTCTAGAATGTGAACAGTTTTTGATATCAGGCAATTGTCGACAAATATTAAATAATAACTTTTTAAATTCTTATTATACTTTTCAACGTGTAAAACATTTTTTAGATTTTTACATTTCTATTCAGATATTAATAATATGAAATGTGTTTAAACGAAGATTTTTATTTACCTTAAAATGTTACTTTTGGTGTATAAGTATTTAAATTAGATTTCCTACTCTGGATTTTTGAGTGACTAAAGCATTGTTTCCTTTACGGAAATTAGATGAACACTTGATTTTCTTTACTTTATAGATTGAAAAACGCCGCCTGGCGTCTCTTATTAGTATCTTCCTTACAGAAAACCACAGTAAGATAACTATCGATTCGAAATTAGGTTTACGAAACTTTCTTAATCGATAAAAATATTATTATAATACTATGCTACCTATAAGATGCTGGAAACTGGGTGATATTGCACTCGGTAAAATATGTCAAAAAGTTTATGCCAAAGTTAAAGTTGTTAAAAATGAAGATGGGATATTTTACGATGATAAAGGTTTGGTTTGATATTTTGATTACTTAGACTTATCTTTGGTTATTCCAACTTATGTAGCGATGTAGATATTTTATTATAATGTAAATTTTGATTAGAAGTGTACAATAATAGAAAATATGTTGATTATCAACGTATATATTTAAAGAATATTGTTTGTATTCTGTTGTTATTTTTAACATTGTAGGCATTTTTTTAGATAGATATGCGTTTTAGTTTTAGGAATATCAACCGAGGGAGACGATGTAAACATAACACAAGAGTTATGCTACTATGTGGAGATACTAAGAACAGCAGAATGTATCTGGCTCCCATATACCAGCATGTTCCTAGCTGAGAGATCGCGGCCATTTTATGGCATAGATAGAGCTAAACAATGTGTAAAAAGGAAACCAGAACTCACTACTATAGAGGTCATATATGTTTTGTTTCTTTTTTCTTACATTTTAGAGTTTCTTTATAAGTTGCCAGACTTTTTTTAATTTACTCTTTTGTCTTGAATGTTATGCTTATAGGGTTTAAAGTTTAGCTAAGGATTTAGTTAATTTATTACAGGAAAGGATGGAAGACTTTGAACTAAATAATAGTGAAAGTGAAGTCAGTGATGAAGAACACTTTTCTGATGTAGAGTTCAATAGTTTTGAAGAAGATGGCTCACCAAATTTAGAATATGTAATTATTAAGGTTTTTCGTTTAAAGCTGTATATTATTATATTTAATCATGTTAAAGGAGGTATACCTCCTAATGTTATAACATTAATTAGCATTTTAGTAGTTGTTTATTATGAAAAGCTCTTTTCTGTAAATTTGAAATAAAACATAGGTACTATGAAATCTAGTTTCCTTGCAAAGTGATTTTTTTTCAGGTGGATTTGGAAATCAATATAATCCCCCCCTTGTGGGTTCATTGGGCTGACGCAGGAAAAGGTGATCAAAATGTTTCCTATCCCATCCGGGATACCCCACTAATGGATGAAGAGGTATAAGTAGATTTAAACTTTTTTCTAATTTTGCCTAGCATTGGTTGCAAAACTTATTACTATTTAAACAGGGTTTTTGAAGCTGCCTTGTCATGTGCATGGTAGGATAAGTGAAATTAAATGTTTTATATTTAAAAACCGAGAAAAGTTATTTGTCAAAATATAAACCCTACTTATATAGAGATTTTTTAGTTTGCACCTGAGGATCCATTTGAAGAGTTCATGCGACGTCATGAGGAACGTTTGTTTGACTCTGCAAGGAAGAGATTGAACCAGGATGATAATAAGGTAATAAATTTAGAAATATAGGTTCTGTTTAAAAATATTAGATCTTTTTAGTGCTTTTGTATAAGTATAATAATTATTACTTTTTTTAATGGGGACACTGATATAATACTGAGAGATCAGTCCACATTATGTGCTCAATATTTCATCCATTTCCCCTTTGCAGAGAACATTGATCAATCCAACTCTCACCATGTCCCCTCCAAACCTAATATAATATTATGTACCTTTCAGGATCTTCTTCACTATATTAACAACATAGATGCTAGTACAGAGAATAAATTTAATGCTGTCCTGTCAAAAGAAGGTACAAAACAAGAAATTGAGAACTATTTATTTCAATGTTGGAAGCACAACTATGAATACAAAACCAAAACAGCCTTTCCAGAGGAGGTAGATGAAATATTTCTTAGCTTTACTATTTACTATCTGCAGTTTCAAAAGTCCCTTTTCGGGACCATGCCTGACCAGGATCATTTTTAATGCTAGGGCATATGCTTGATCTCAAAGGAAAGGAGAGGAAGAGTACATAGTAATTTTCGGCTTATGTATGTTGGGTTACAAATTATATGTATACATGAAGCCACTATGTTAGTGCCAAAATGGACGCAAAAATAGTATTTTTTATTGCGCAAAAGAGAACCGAACTCGCAATCTCACGAATACTAGATCATACTAACACGCAAGCACAGTTTTATAATTATATTTTTGCACTAACAACGTTATTTGTTGACAGCCTTCTTCTATACTATCTGCACACATAAATTGGTGCTTAGTCTGTGGTCGGGGGGACCATTTAATTCAGTGCTCAGAATGTCCATCTTCATTCCACAGCAAGTGTAAAAAAAATTGGCCTGAACATATTGTTCGTGAGTAACACTTTCTTCATACAGCATTGAAAAAGAAAAATGTCTCTTACATGTATTGTTTAACCCAAATATTTTTTATCTAGATTCAAAAGCAAACTCTTTCTCTTTCTGGAAAAACTTACTACCTACCTTCAAAGACCTAATAGAAAATTCACATTTACATAATATTAAGCAGTTATTAATGCATAAACCGTTTATTTACTGTTTAATTTTATTGACCACAGCCAAAATCTATGTATTAAGTTCATCAATATAGTATTGAGTTTCAGATAGGAAAGACTTGCAGAAAGAAGACAAATCTGTAGTTGTTGACAAAATCTTGTCAAGTACCCGTTTCATATGCACCGTTCAAGAGAATATACAAAACAAACCTAAATTATGCCCAAGCTGCATTTGGGGACCTAGCATTGGGTATGTCATTTTTTTAAATTAACGTATCTATGGACCAACTAGCGTATGGAGTATGGACTTGTCTCCAGTATATGGGTCACCAGACTCTGACTTAAGACTAATACCCTAAAATTACCTTGGAGGTAGTCGAATATTAACCATAGTCCATATTTAGGCAGAAAAATGTAATTTATTTTCCCAGATGACCCGATGCTTTTACCACAGAGTTGGAGTTCACTTGATGAAAGGTGAAATTTGACAGCCATATAACCTACCATATCTATATTAAAAAATCCACTAATTCAAACTGAAATGCACATCTATATCTGACGGGACATTTCAGTCTATGCTTAAAAACATGTTTAAATAAAATAAACAGATTTTAGGAACGTGTTGGAACTGCTGGAAATCAAAACTTCGACCTGTTGCTTATTATACATTGATATATTTTTACTAATATTATGAAGCTAGAGTTTATTTAATTGAACGAACTAATCTCGGGAACTACTGCTTTAAATTTAAAAAGATTTTTGGGTTGCTTGGATTATTTAATGAGGAAGGCTATAAAACATCAGGCTGCGATAATAGTAGGCGAAACAGAGGGAAATGTGGGAAACATGGGGAAAATTAATAAAAAAAAACTGAGGGCTTACGTTGCGTTCTCTGATACCCAAATATGTATAAAGAATTAAAACAATGTCTGCAACAGTATTTGTTTATCTTTTAAGACTAACTCACAAGAAGCAGTGTTATGATTATCAAATGTTGAAATATATAAATACGGCAAAGGAACGTTAGCCAGGTACTACAAAATATATGTCTTAACGTTGCAGGTATGATGATATAGTATGGCATAAGCTTGGGCACCTGACGTGGTGGCCAGCTCGCGTGCTCTGCCCTTCTTCTATCCCATCCTGTTTACTTTCAAACAAACATACATCTGACCTTTGGCCAATCAAGTACTATGGTAAGTTATATTTATTCATTAAATAACTTGTTACTTACTAAATTAACTTAATTTTTTTGGGGGGGGGCTGTTGTTAATGCTGATAATCACCAAGTTGTGGGTTCCACTCCCACGGAGTCCAACAATCAGTTTATAATTTTTTAAACATGTTTACCGAACATGGAAAATGTGGATATTAAATGTGTGGTAGGAATATCTAAATTCCTGAGAAGAAAAAGCCGAGACGTTAGCCATCACGTTTCGGGGTCTTTCGTAGACAAATTAGAACGACAGCGCATGTTGTTGAGATGTTGAAGTGTAGAATATATTGACAACAACGTAGTATTTAAAAACAAATTTTACTAGAACTTCTCTATGTTAAACATATATTGCCGGCCGGTGATCTAGTGGTTAGTGAGTTCCAATCTATTACGAGGTATGTGCAGGGTTGGGACTATATGAAAGCGGTAATTGCAAGTTTTCCAAGAAGATTTTTCATGTCAGCTGGCTTACTACATAATTTTCTTATTAGTATATTCTTCTAGTCTTCTAGTCTATTTCTTATTATTAGTATACATTGAACTTGATAAAGAATAATAAATTAAAAATCGAATTCAGATTGAAAAAAAAATGCTTTGTATCTTAAGAAAATCTTTCAAGTGAAATTACAGAGTTTAATGTTTGAGAACTTCATTATAATGTTATTGCACATAATGGTAGTATATAAATAAAAATCGATTTTAGATTATAAAAAAAAATTACGATACGATTAGTGCTGTTGCAAGGAACACTGTATATGCCGGATCAAGAGCTGCCCGTGTTGTATTTTTTTTTTGAATGAAAAATATTAAAGTAAAAACTCAAAGAAGTAATAAGTCCTCTACAACTATACTTCCAGGTACATTGAATCATTCTTGGGCTGAGTTGAATCGCTTGTGTCTGTTTCAACCAAAGCATTTCCCAACTTTTGCAAAGAAAGACGAAGAGTTAAGGCGTGCAGTGGCAGACGCTAGTGATGACTACGTCGCAGTTTACCTATCTTAAGGCGTTTTAATCACTTTTTTGATGGAAAATATATGTGAGGCGCCTTCACGAAAATACCATATTTTCTGTCCAAGAGAACACAGATCTCAAACACGGCACGGACGGTACCTGTCTTTTCCAAATAGTTTAACTGATATTAGCTTAAGTGTCGTACACGTAATTTTCTAGCTTAAGAACAACAATTTTTAACAAAATTCAATATCTTTTTAACTTGCGAGATCTAAAACCTGTGTTATTTTTAAAAGAAGTAAAATTTTGTTTTCCATTAATTTTAATTAATTATTAAAAATAAAACATTAAATATAAATTCTTGTTTTAATAAATCTTTTTACACAAAAATAATACTTTTTACAATAATCTTAGCTGAAGCGACACATCAAGTCCACATTTGTACTTACGCGATTAAATTATGACATTCATACATACATACACATACCTACCTACATATATAATAATATATCACAATCGCTATGACGCGAGTAATATTCATAGAACGATTTTAAAGAAAACTCTAGTTCTGTTCTGTTCTCTACTCTAAACTGAAATAAGAGTACTTTACTTCTAGTAACGAAACATTTAGTTAACCTACAAGTTAAAATCAATTGATTTTAATACGAAACAGAAGTCACTGTCCCTGAAATTAATTAGTAGGATTTTGTATTACCCGGATATCTGTCAAGATGGGTGAAACCAGCGTGAGCATCAGAAAGAAAATTAGTGATCAGGTCAGAGCAAATAAATATAGATTAATCAACATTTTTCTGTCACTGTCATTTGGCAATATTAATAAGCTTAAATTTTTCATCTGACTTGTCAAATAAGCTGTCGCAAGGTAAAACGGCAGTCAGATATAGTTTTTGGATAGGCCGTATAGATTTTAATGAAGATTTGTGAAAGTATACTGATTGATACAGTGTTTATGACAGTACAATTTGATATACAATACAGTGACAGTATAAGTTTGTAATGTCTCAGAATCTTTAAGGGCTACATTTAAAATAAATATTACTCAATATGGCTACCATATTTGATTTCAAATAACTAACTGATAAAAAATAAAATGCATATTGACATGAGTAAATTGTGTGCTTGAAATAACTAATGTCGTTATTTTACTAATTGTAGTAAAAATGCGTTTGATCGCCGTTGGATATAACTATTTACAATATCTAACAACACCTAACAACAATATAAAACTACCCACATTTTTATATCCCGATTTGAAGTCGCAACGACATATTTAGCTACGAAATTATCGTTACGACTTCATGAACATGTGTACGTGAGGTAAAACTTATTATTACGAATATTCGTCAGGCTGCCTTCACATCATCAGAAGGTGGTAACTAGGCACAACAAACAAACATAAACACAATTATAAAATGTTTTTTTATCCATATCTTTTAGCCGTCTTCAGAATATTCTCATTTAAGTACATACCCACATTAAATATTAGAAAAAAAACAGACGAAACACACAAAAACTATTTAGTTATATTGGTTTATTTAAAGCTTTGTATTTATTAGCTTTCAAAGACCACGACACGGCAGCTAGTCCCTAGCAGGTAGGACATTCTAAGTGTTGCGGAGCCTCGCTCAAACATTTTGTTAAAAAAAAATTATTACTAGTCTTCCATGTTACAAAATAAATTAATTGTATCTATATTTGTATGTTGTTTTGTGCTCAACCTCGACTCATTTTAACATAATCCTATCTATATATTATCTAGAGTACTGTAATACAAGCTCGTGCATATTCTGTGACGTCACCGAAGGAAGTTGACTCTTGGCTGTTCAGTATTAGTCATTGTAATTATCAGAAATTTCAGTGGACACCGTATACAATCTACATTAAAGGTGACTGCGATATAGTCTGCGTCAAGTAGTCTGCAAGAGCGTGTTTATAGCACCTTGTTTATACACAATATTGTCACATTACAATACAATAAGAGGTTCTATTCACCAGGCCCCATTATTAGAGCGCTGACCGCGAAGAATAGGAACACTAGACCGCCAATAATGGTAACTGGAAAGGAAAGACAACATATAAAAAAAACTTAGCAAGAAAATGTAGATGACAATTGATATTTTTTTGTCTTCCAACTTAAATGGTGGAAATATAGTTATTAAAGATAGTAAAGATGTAGGAAAGAAAATTATCAACATAGGGCATTCCCTATGATAATAATTATCTAATCCAGCTTACAAAACTAGTGTGTGGAAAGGTAGGTAACTTGGCATGTTAATTTTGTTTTTTTTTCTATTAATTTAGCATGAAATTGTGGGTTAAATAAGTGAAGTGTGAGTAAGGTGATTAAATTAGTTTAATACATATATCCAGTGTCCTAAAGTGTTCTTATTTTAAATCAATTGTAAACCTGGTTTGTTTGCCAAAAATGCCAAGTTAGAAAAAAAACACTATAGATTTTTGTTACTGCCATGTCCAAACAGCATTACAAGTTTAGATAAAATTTGAAGTCAGTGAAGATTGAGTCTATAGAAAAACATGAAAGTAACTCACCAGTTCGCACAGAGATCTTCTGCGCCACCATTCTCCCGCCAATTACAGCCAACCCAGTGCACAGGGCGTGGCCTAACGATCCCCCCACGACAACACCGAAGACGTCTTCTCTTGTTGCCAACACAACAGTGGCCAGCTGCGACCGATCTCCCCATTCAGCCAAAAAGGTGAGTGTGGCTGCTTGCAGCAACACTTTCAGTACAGCATTACGTTTTCTTCGTTTCGTTTCCGCTTGACCCTGTTCTAGCATCTCTACTGTCTCTTCTTTGTCTTCCTGCAAGGAGAAATATATAGGGTTGTCAAATGTATTTATATAGAGGAGAATAATTTTTAGACCACAAGTGGACAGCGGAACTAGAAAAAATATTATTTATTGTAAAAGTTTTGGGATTTTGTAAAACTATAAGTCTTATTGAAATAATAGTAATGTTATTTAAGTTGAGTAACAATATTTTATCTTTGATGTCCATCTATGGCCTTAGAACGTTTCCGATTAATGTGAGAACGAGTGTATGTTTTTATAAAACATATTGTAGAGAAAGATTGAAAAATCTCTTAGATTGGAAGCAGAAATTGTACAAATCGACTTTAACATTATCGTTCTTCTAATAAAACTACAGATAACCTCATAACATACATGCACGCTAAGCACGACAAATGTGACCAAATTATAAATGCGTGTGATTCTTAAATCATACATTGATGTGCTAAATAATAAGTAAATCAGACGACGCTCTTTGTTTACGAGAGTATTACTGATTAAAATGAAAGATTTTAAAGTGCAAACATGAAAGTGAATATAAACTGATCTTTCATTTCAAACCGCATTGTGATTATTATTTTCTACTATTAAGATTTTTTTAAATATTCTTACTTATGACTTATCTTATAGATACACTACAAAACTTGCAAGACAATATACTGCCTGTACTTAATTTGCCCAGTCTACAATAAATACGTATATAATCAAATGCTGAATTCCTTTAAATATCTAGATCAAAATAAGCTACATGATATGGTGTGAACAGCTAAACAAAACCTAAAAAGCTAGGCTAAAAGAAAAAGAACTAATGTGTCATTCGTACTGCCAGGCATAATGACTTAGGTTCACCCTCAACGGTTCGGGTCGCGAGGGACCCGCTACAGGCTCTTCGGGGGATTTCAGGCTAGTTCTATAACTCTCTGCATCAGGCGATTTTAGACTGGGATCACCAAGCTTTTCAGCTTCTGGCGAATTCACGGAATTTCTATTAGCGTTCAAATCGATCGATTTCATGCTAGGACTCCCGTGTGCCTCTGTATCTGGTGAATTCTGACTGGGGGTCTTGACTTCGGGAAGTTTCATTCTATTCATAGATGTTTTCCTGGCCTCTGGTGTTCTAGGATTTAGAGATGTTCTTGACCCGTCGCGTATTAACACACTCTCGGGAGATTCCGATCTAGGGGTTTGGTCTTCCGGCGACTTTGGATTTGGAGAACCCTGCGTAACGCCACACATACCATTCTCAAACTAAATAATAATTACAGAAAAGGAATTCAACATTTGTCACCATTAGTGTTAAACTTAAGGATTTTTAAAACTGGCTACTAGCTTGTTAATAAATATGTGAAGCAACTATTCTTCCTAAAATATTATTTACTAGACATCATACGGCATTATTCGTTGTCGTTGATTAAATTAAAATAGAATCACGATTAACAATGTATATTTCTAATAATTTACTAACTAAACTTTCTAATTTAAGAGGAAATCGAATAAAATATTAACCAACTACTGTAAACCGTGATAAAAATGAATCCAAGGCCTTGTTAAAGGTGACATTATAATTTTCAACGCAGATTAGTCTCAACATAGAATGTGCTCAATGTCGTAATAATTACAAATTTGCAGAAGGAGTATTTAAAATTCTTATAATTTTGGTATTAATATGATCAATAATAAGATATAAATATATGTGGTATCAAAATCACAAGCCAATATTTAACATGTACAAATATATAGCTCAATAAAACAGTTATTACTTCAGTTCGATCTAATTCAGTCAGATGAAATAATAGAATCTTTTTATATCCCGTTCTACCAGAAATACGTATAATTAGCAACAGGATAAGAAAACGATAAGAAAGAACGTTACCTGTTCTTCCCTCCTCTTCAGCTCGGTCTGCACTTCGTCCAATTCCTCTTGACCTTCGCTGGGATCCATTTTCCATCCGTCCCTCAACATTTTCAACCCAAATATCGCGAACAGCGCCGCACTGATATAATGGGTATACACCCTCGGCACCACAGTCGCGACCCATCCAAAGGCCGCTGACAGCACCGTCATGAACACTAAGGCGGAAATAGCGCCGCTAAACACGATAATTCTCGAGTGCTTCATTGCCATTATGGCGGCAATGAAGAACGTCTTATCAGCGAGCTCCGAGACGATGACCACAGAGAGCGACGCGAGGAAGCCCTGCCAAAAGCTACCTTTGACGGCTGCATTCTGAAAAAAAAATTGTTTTTCTTATGTACCTTATACTACCCAGAACAATTCCTTTCAGATAACTAAGTAAGTGGTAACGGTGCTCGATTATAAGAAAAAAATACAGTCTCTTCAATACTTTAAACAGCACTTTAACATAATTATATTTTGTGGGTAGTTTCAACTTAGTCAATACATAACTTGCTTATAGGTGACTTGAAAAATAATATTCCTATACATTAGGAATAAGTCATAGGTACAATTACTCACAATTCGACTTTAAGGAAATATTAATTAAGTTAACTCCTTAGGGCCAGTAACTGTAAAATTTATTGAAAAACTCTTTTCAAAAGTAATTGTTAAAACGGTAATCATTTAACCGTCTTCCCTTCAAATTCCCTTGAGCTATTCTGCTCAGACAAAGCCAACTCGACACATTTTTCTCAAATACACATCTTCATAAGGATCGTTTGAGTTTACTCAAGTTTTTATTCTTATCACAGGTAAATGAGGTCATTTTATCTACAGTCGTAAAACAAACACTGACGTATTTAGATATCATTATTATTTGAATAGAATTGAATTGCTTTAAAAACTCCCAAGATTAAGATACATCTATTGCCGGATGTCCTTAACTATATTTAGCGACATAGTACAATCAAATAAAAAAACATATTTAGGGACTAAATACCAACACCGAGGTTCAAAATTTAAATACGAAGAGACAATTATAGAACATGAATAATTATTATATAAATGTATTGTTATATAATTATAATGTACATTTATAGAAATGAAAACTACAAAAATATCAGTGTTTTCAATCTTTGCTCGAGGTACATAGTGCAGATTTTATAAAGATATCACAATCGACTCACGTGCATTGTTTAATGTTAAATCTGGGCTGTCGTTTCCAAAAAATTACTGCGAGTGTACGTACGAGGGAATTGGGATAAATTTTATGATTTGCATTATTCATCATCATTTTTAGTTTAACTTAAACGTGAATTTGAAGTAAAAGGTAATTTTAGGTTTTAAATGGTTCTAGAAATAAACATAGGCATATTTGTAAGACAGATATATGCACCCAGAAAGTTTAATATCCCGCTAACAGCAATACAAAGTTTTACGATCACTTGATGATAATTTTCTTTGCAGACGCCCACGTAATATTCGTTCGCAAAATATCCCCTGTTGACAGACGATGACGCACGTTCCTTTTCGGACGCCGCCTGACCTTGAAGATGGCCAAGACCAAAAACTAGCAGACGCCGCTGACGTAGGTAACCGAATTAGTAAGAGCTTTTTAAAGCTTGGGAAAGAACGCGATATATACGCACGATAAATTGTAAATGATACATTTCAGAATACTATAACATATAGACTACTCGTTTGTCTTTCTCTGCAAAATTTTATTGATCGCGTTTAGTTACAGTTTTAGTGAATTGTATTAATGACAAAAATATTTTGCTGTTATGTTCTTATTTTTAATACCCTTTAACGTTCTCCAAACCATATATTTCTTTTCGACACGAAAACACTTTGCCTGTCAAATAAAATAAAACACGAACACTGTGTTAATTATACAATTGTGAAACAATTATTTTCGCCGTTACTAACAACAGACGCCGTACTGCGCGTAACTTTGAAGGAAAGGATGTGGGGGCGAACGAGTTCTTCTTTGCAGCTGAGGGCTTGCATAATACAAAACCCCCAAATAAGTAGTTTATGGAACTATGTAGATGTTCTATCATAATGGAGTATATCCGGACACATCCAGCGTAAAAAGAAATCGAGGGTATCGTCTTTTCGATGAAAACAACGTCTGTCTGCTACGAACGGAGTCGATACAGATTTTTCGTTACATCGTGTTAAGTGCTATTGATTACAACACCTTGATAAGCCACGAAGTGATGGTACTTGGTTACGGTTTGGCCAATGGTACTAACAAAATCATTACAGCAGTAGCTGTTCGCAAATCGTTGCAAATCATGGACAGCATATTACAAAACTGTTTGGAGTAGGCAGCAGAAATGTCCAAAAGAATATGGGTGAAACTAAGTGCGACGCGGTTCCTGTTATACATGGACGAAATTCGGGGGGGGATGTGTGTCTTATAGGGTTTTTTTTTTTCATTCGCCTGGCCTGATAGGAGTCAACTCGATGTGTAATTGTCTGGTTACCTCTTTTTTCTTTAATTTTGTTTATCAGACATAAAAAAACGTTTTTATTTTTATGCGCGAAATATATCTTGACTATTTCAAGGAATTACGCATCGCGGAATTTCATCTGTCATAAAATGTGCGATGAAGTGTTTGAAATGAAATCAGCGTAAAAATAACATTGTATATTTCCGTTTGTTTGGTGTTTTACAGTAATAAAAAACATACATTGTAAAAACTATTCTAAAACCGGTAAGCGAATCACACAAAGATTAAAACTCATAATATTTGTTAATTATATTTGAAAAGTAACAAGAAAATGTCCTCATGGTTATACAAATAAAGGTACCTTTTTAACCAATGACGTCACGCAAAAAAATAATATAGCAGAATGTACTTGTTTATCTGAAAAACCAGACATCACTCTAACGTTATCTAAGAACCAACCAAGTGCGTGCCGGACACTCACAAGAAGGTATCCGTACCACATTTAGTTACTTCATTTGATATAGAGAATATATAAGAATAAAAAAATGTTTGTTACTGCTGTAGTTGTTGGTCTAGCGACAAAATTATACATAACTGTGGCCGCACATACATATTTTTTTGGTTATTTTGAACGCAACGGAAGCCCATAAAGAACAATCAAGTTTCCACTGTTTCGACGTCGTAATGTCATGTTTTATAGCTTAAAGCCTTACTGCATAAATGCTTTCACCAACACAAAAATATTTTTTCAATTCGAACCAGTAGTTCACGCCTTTCTCTCAGCTCTCTTCAGCTTTATAAAATTAGTATGGATTTGTTTGAATCTTCAGTGCCAAAGCAATCGCGAACATAGGCAGCGAAGTTTTTGAGTCCTGGAATGGAACGGATACGGTACGGAATCCTAAAACAGTGTTAGTAATTTACCACAATGTTTTTTTAGATTCGTGTGACCTTCTCCGCTCCAACCCACCAATACCTACATAACAAAATACACAAGCAATGAGGGTGTTTTGGGCTAGGTTACATCATAAATTACTTTTGGAAGTCACGTAAGCGCTTTTAATTGACAGTTTCCGTCGGTTGTTATAGGAAACCTTTTGACAATATAATGAAACCATGAAAATTACAACAAAAAAAAATTATAAGAACTAAGTAAGACCTATTTGCTTTGGAATTTCGATTATCATCAGCCTTTTCATTTGTGAAAAGTGGTTTAATTCAAATTTCCCATACAGATTTCGTTTGGGAATAGTTACGTTAAAAGTTTCAGGAGCCTGTCGACACGTGATTTGTAAGAAAATGATATTTGAGAAGAAAGGGTAACTTAATCGCTAACAGATCTCGAAGGAGAGGATAATCATATCATCAATGATTATCTAAGAAGGCCTGATACGACAAACCTGCGGCTTCGCACGTAGAAGCGATGCGTTATAAATAATCCATATTTAGGATACTTTGGATAAGATACCTACCTACCTACTTCATAATAAAATAAGATAAAATGTCTAGTAGGTACAGAGTAACATGATAATCATGGCTACTCGTGAAATATATGCATGAATTTGATTGATCTATATTGTTGACTATGTTTAAAGAACTTATTAATTCAGACATCTCTACAAAACAGACAGGAAAATGGTTTTGAATTTTAATTTTTCCATCACAACCAGGGACTTCCCTCGCTAAAGAACTAGGTGTTATATTAACAGAATGAACAACCTTTAATGTCTAACATGAACAAAGGACGCGTATTTTTCTTATCGCATATCGCCACTTCATAAGATTGACACTTTAATACCAAGTACTAATAATAGCATTTATTTGAATAAAACTACGTATGATGCATTGAGGTCATTCCACTTGGACCACGGCTGCAAAGCATCCGAAACGTCGAGGCATTGCTTAAATGTCATGGTTTAAAACCGTTAAAATTGTTTTATTTAAAGGTGCACTACAGGCGGACGCTGTAGACCATACTCAATTATCTCCACCTATATTTAAAGCTGAAGAGTTAGTTTAAACGCGCTAACCTCAGACACTCCTGATCCGAATTGTTTTTGTTGGTTAGAGCATTTATCGAGGAAAATGCTATAAACAGGCTATTAAGCACCGCGGTGTGGCAAATATAAATTTATAAAGATAAAAAGGGATAGGCAAAACCAAATTTGGAGGCCAAAATTACTATTTTACGCGGACAAAGTCGATGACACAGCTAGTACTTGATAAATAAGGTTTTTTATTTACCCCAGCTCTTATAAACTTGAGTAAATCTTCAATTCAAATTACTATTTACTATCGCGAATCCCTCATCATGAATGCAAAACAATGTTCGCAAGGACGACAGTTCAACGTTCTACAAGTGGATCTAGGTTCAAGATTTGCATTTGATTAGTAACGCTGTATTACAAATCGCCATTTATAGATATAGAAATAATTATTTTACTTAGAAGCTGCAAAGTGTCTTTTTAATTGTATTAATTCAATTTTAAATGAAAACCATTATACTAATTATGATCAAGATACATCGTATTCACAATAAGAAGGCTATTCAGTCATAGTAGCAATATTAAAATTGCTAAGAGTTAAATGAGATTTTTATACAAAAAAACGTAAATATTATGTTAGAAATGAATTCAAAAACCCTGATATATAGCACGGTCTAAATGTTATTCCATCCATCCAGGAAATGTTTTTTTGCAATTTAATTTATTTCTAAGAAGTTTATAATTTAGGAAAAACTAACTTGTGTCACAGGATATTGTTTATGTGAAAGGGGTGGGAACCGCTGTGAATTATAAGGGTATAAACAATATATAATAAATAAACAAGAATATCACTATTAAAAAATTACATAATTAGCAAAAATGTTCTAAAAAAATTGTTGCTGCCGAGAACCTTATTCAGTTAGGCGTATGAAAAATAGATAGTAGTCGATTTCCAGTCATACTGAACATAACATAAAAATCAGTTAAGCCGTTTCGGTGGAGTATAACAGCTAACATTGTAGCACGAGACTTTATATATCGTATGAATAAGTTTATAACAAAAGGACGAAGACTTTTTTTTCAACATTTGACTAACTTTCTTTTTTTTTAGATTTGTGATTTTATTTTTATATTTTTCCCATTAGATTTCTTTGAGGCATTAGAGAAATTAAACATTTATAAAATATCTGTCTTTGGGCACTGATTTTACTATGCGCTGAGCTCTTTATTTGTTGACTCAACTGCTGGCACAATACCGGACTTAACTATTCTAAAATGACAATATGCTTGTTATGTTTATACAACAAGTGTTTTATTATGAGTCGGTGTCACTTCACTGTGGACTTTGTTTAATTTATCTCTCGTCTGATACATAATATAAAATTCGCTGTACGGAACCGTAACTGTAGGACTGAAAACTTAATTTATATTTGACATTTTACCCAATTCGACACAAAAAAAATAAAAGTCAAGAAATAAGTTTGTATTCTCGTAAAACATTCCTGTGGTGTTTATAATTCATTAAGTTTAATACGTTTAATTATTAAAAAAATATTTACAACTGCACAATAACCTTTTTAAACCCTAAAATTAAACGCTATTTTATAGCAATTATGACAAAAAAAGACATCTCTAGTCTATAGTTTACGCGAGTAGTACACATTTAAATAAAACACTTTAACGGTTTAAAACGCGAAATATTAGTTAAACTTATTTGGAAATTATTTTTTAACTGCGGCCCGACGTTTCGGATGCTTTTTGCAGCAGCCGTGATCACGGGGAGATCATTTTCAAATAAGTTTAACTAATATATCGCGTTTAAAACCGTTAAAGTGTTTTATTTACAAAAAATGTATACTATTATTATTTATATATATAATTTACCATAGCTAATGTCAATTAAGGTCCGTCAAATTAGTAAAATTAAAGCGATTTTCTTTTACATAGTCTATAAAATTACTGCTAGGTACTCTAATACAACAGTATTGATATTTATTCAGAGAAAATACAATAGATTCATTTGATCAGTTGCATTTAACACAAAAGTACATCCTCTCGATAAAGTGCTTTAATAGATATCCTTCTTCAGTGTTTGTTTACTGAGAACGAAGTGGAGATATAGATGAAGCTAAAGAAAAATCACCTACTGAGTAACGAATATAAGGACTGAAAATAAAAGTTTAATATATAATAACAAACCTTAACCACTAGATTCAACAGCCACTCCCTAACACCGGTTTCTGGTGGCAAAGTGCTCGCTTCAATTAAATCAGTAGTAAACATAACATCTGTGGTCTTCAAAAAGTCCGTAGACGACAAATATTCCGAAGACGGTACATAATCCGTCGTCGATATTAACTCGGTTGTAATTTCCGTTATTATATCCGTGTAATTCATGTTTCAAAAGTGATCTGAACTATTTCAATTAAAAAAAAAACAAATTCGCGCCAATTCACTGACCACAGACTAGCGAAAAGAACGCATTCGCGCCACTGTCACTGACTTCACAAAGCATGTCGAAGCTGATATTGTAATCTTTACAGCATCGGATAAGTTGCGTATTTATAATTTTATCAGTCATTTCAATTTTACTAGCACGCGACCAAGCGCTGTTCCTTACGCGAGCAGACTACTCGGTTTGAGGGAAAACTTAGCGCTGGTTTACATTACATCTTCGCGACTATTTTTATAGCAAAAGATCGGATTGTCACTATACAATACCCGTATTATGCATTAATATTAATACAACCGATTGATAGGAATGCAGGAATCAGGAAACCCAACAATCGATCAGGATTTACGATACGATTTTTAGACTAATTACACAATCAGAGTAATTATTAATAATCTTAATTGAATAGGTGAAAAATACGGTAATCTATAAATTATATATAAATCTTGCAAATCATTAACGGTGCGCAGATAATCTTATCAAACTAATATGATGACTATCAATGATATTTACGCAATAAGAACTATATTTACGCCATCGACTAAAATAAATGATATTGCGTTCCACGATTCGGCGATGTCGTTCCGACGTCGTGTATACGGGTTGTGTGTTTATAATCTTGAAACTATGTATGAGGTCTAGTAAAGTTTGACATGGGTCTGGCTAGTTACGAAAGACCTGGCACGCGGCGTATCTAGTATATGTTTAATATATAATAGTATATAGTTATCCTTTACATAATGTGTTTACAATGTGTACATTTCGATATGACATTAAGTAAATTAGGTTAGTCTATTTAAACAAATCACTTTAACGATTTAAAACGCGATATATTTTTGTTAAACTTGTTTGAATTATTTTTAACTACGGTCCGACGTTTCGGGCGCTTTGCAGCAGCCGTGATTAGATTAGTTTAGTCTTCTCTAGTGTAGTCTTTGTTAGTAATAGTTACAAATAGTTTAGATTTAACCGCCGAATCTCTAAATATTGAAGATTTATCTTATGTTTTGTCTGCATATTGTAGTTCTTTATTCTTAATTTTTAGAGACCCGTCGGGTCACCTGTTCAATATAAATAGCTGGCTTAGCTAGTGCTTTATAAAAGCTTAATCACAAATAGTTCAACAATCTGTAAATACATATTATAAGATTTTTGAACGCCCAATCTTTGACGATTACGACTTGAAACAAGGAGACGAGTGAAAACAGATTCTTCTTAACAAAAACATGGTAAATTTTGCACGAGTGAGTGAATTATACATTTTTTTAAACACATTGTTTAAAAGAAAATATGTTTATTATTAACCTTGCAGAAATGTTATGTAATTTTCCAACATGCGAATACATATTTGTTGTTTATCTTAGTCTATGTTTAATCACTCAAATAACTAACATATTGCGGTATAAGCAGTATGCTTTTAATATTATATAATTATGTAATAATATCTTAAATAGATCGTAAAATTGTTATACAGTATTTAAAGTTACAATACGATAACATATAATCAACCCACAAATATTGACTAGAAATGATAAAAACTATAAAGAAATTAAAAATGTAAATTCGGAACTGTTTTGCGAATTAATTGGTGTTTTTCTTATAGTTGTCATTAAAATATTAAGTCTGTTCCTATTGTGTATATTTATTTTTAAATAGTTCTCGAATATTATATGTTTAATATATAATATTCGAGAACAGTTACACACTCGCATAGTGGATAAAATTGCACTTAACCTTGACATAATTATCTATAAGCACGTCCTTCGAACTGCGGCTTTGAGGTATTAATGTTTTCTCTTCCGAGGTTATATAATAATTACTTTTATTGATCGTATCCTTCGAAATAAATGTGAAAGATAACGCAATTATAACAAATCCACGTCTTAGAACCTAAAGTACGTACGAAAACTTATGGAGACTGGAGACCTTTTTTATTCAAGAGCAACCCGCCCCAAGACGAGGCCCTGGGTTTGAATCCCCGGGAAACAATAAATTGTTTGGGCTGGACAGGGCGCAGAAGTCTAATCAGAGTGAAAAAGACAAAAATGTGTTCGCCCCATTCCCCCGAGGGGCAACGACGAAATGAATCATAAAATTGCCAGGCAAAAAGTGCTAACAACTGGTTTTTTTCCGAAAAGTCTAGGTTTGACTTAACACCGAGGGAAATTGTTTAAGTAGTGAAAAAAGTAGCAATTCATGGCCACACGAGTACACGATTTCAAATAAACCTATCTTAATTAGCAGTGCCAAATGAAAATATTGTTATCTCGCGAAGCGTCACACATATTAAGCGCTTTCCGTAAATTGTTCAATGTCACACATTGTTACCGTTGCTTTCAAAATAAATTGCGAAAATTCTTCAAAAAACTGGCACTAGGGTCCCCACCCACAGCCCACAAGTCCTCTCTCTGAGGAACTGTTTAGTGATGATAACCAACACAGACGGTTTAACGTGCTTTCCGAAGCATAGCGTTATCAAGACATCCCCGTGAAAACACTTCCAAAACTGCGAGCGAACTAGACATTTCCCCCATATTCAAAATACCAAACTAACATTCCCTTCGATTCGGAGTTCCAAGGCACTTACCATCATTACGATAAAACCAATAGACGGATAACACGTAATTTACTTATAAGTTTATCACGTAATAGTCTTCCGGTTTAAAACGAGGGTTTTTAAATCTAAAATTAACTAACTTCTAAACAAATAGTTTTTGTAAGCACGTTAAAAATCGGAAAACCCTATTCAATGCACACACTACAATTTTGAACAGATGGTTTGGACATTCGGAAATGCAAATCAAAACACGATTACTTCTAAGTTTTTTCATCTGTTGACGGTGGTTCGTGACCCGGAACTTCGACTCATTTAATATACAGATTTTCAGACGTAGTCTAGGATATTTCAGATAAATTATACATTTATTAGAATTTAGAAACATCTTGTACCCGGTGTCGATAGAACCAATGACCCGTTGACTATTATTACCCACATGCTGTATATTGCTATCATTAGACCAACGAGCCTCTCACAATTAAACTGTTTTAAGAAATGTAAATAGTCTAAATGAAATAGTAGGGCGGGATAAAAAAACAAAGCACGACTTCTACTGTAACGTACAATAACTTTCTGGCTTTTGCAACGCCTACTTAATATTACAAAGCAAAATTCAGTGACATAATTTTTGTTGCACATTATAATGGATCAATAAACGTGAATTATAAACTTTTAGCTTTTGTTGTTGTTGCACAAGTACAAAGCACTGGAAGCAGAACAATTATTATTGTTACCTGTGCTCAAAATAACATTTAATAGGTATTGTAATCTGTATTTGTTATATAGCATAGGTGTGATCGTTATTTTTTATATATGGCAATAAATTCTAGTAGTAGAAGTATAACCATGATGATTTTCTATTAAATACCAAATAGATTTTTACCCATACTAAGATATATGAGGCCGCTAGAGGCAGAGTAGCCTAACTGCAATTTTATGACTTAACTTATTTATATTTTTAGTCTAAAATGTAAATGTACAAGATCACAGTGGCCGTAAATTGTTAACATAATTGTTACACAAATAATAGTACAAATTTATTTTCACCTAAGCTAATTGCACTTTTTTTTTCCTTCTTATTGATAATCATGTTTTTTATTATTAGACTAGTCTGCCTCTAGCAGCCCTATATACAAGGTTATTCCTACTTCATGCGAAATATGCGAGATAGTGCGCTGAGTCGATGCCTGCTCAGTGACTATGATAATGCGGGATAAACAATAACATGAAAAAAAAATTATAACTTCGTGAGTTTTCATTATTTTTTAATTTTGTTTTATTAACCTGATTCTGCGAATAAAAAAACGTTTGGCGTGTTTCAGCTTTAGTATCAACAAAGAATAACCTTGAATATGTATCACTTGGGGCTAACTGATAGTAATATCTTTCTGGATTAGAGAAATCTTGTGTCATCAATAAGTTTCACATCGCTTTTATATAGAAACATATCGGATCCTCCATCCTTCTATAATAGTTTGGATTAAAACAAAATCATTAATATCCTACGACCATCATTATCTTATGCTTATTTAATATACGATTTCAAAACACATGGATGACGACGTGGAAATTTATTTAGAAGTTTTTCCCCGTAAGTATTCGTCATCTATAGAAATAGTACTTTTGCGGTTTCTATTCATAACATAATAGCCACTGGTTTTTTACTTTTTTGTTACTAAGATTGTACTTGATAATTTAAAAATTTGATAATTTTTTATTATGTACTTTTAAATCCGACAGTAAATTAATTTCAGATAAAGTCCTACTGACGTAGATTATTTAGATATCTTTGGTAAGTTAAATTTATAACAAACAAACATGCGAAGCTTATTTATCATATCCAGGCGTTTTTACGGGAAATAGATTGAAGAAGCACTTGTAAAATCTCATAGCCTTACAAAAACCGACCAAAATCATATTAAGAACGACTTGTTTAACTTTAAATTCAAGAATTATAATAAATATTATTTATAGCCTTTATATATTTCTCCTAAAGTTTGAAATGGATGGGCATTTGGTTTACAAAAAATCGGCAGACTGCTACATTGAAATATACTTTATAGAATCTAAGTAACTGTTACAGATTCATAATATTTTCGAGATTTTGGTGATTGTGAATAAGTAGTTGATTGACATTATAAAAGGTTAATTGGTTGAAAAAGAAACAGAACTTCGGTTTCAGTTCACATCACACTTAGCCCATCACAATATATGTAATATATGTAGTTACTGTTAAAAATATATAAAAGAAAATATATCGATGACTTCAAGTATGATATAAAATCACGGAAAATCTACGCGACACTGGCTATTATTCAATTGTTATCATTATCTGATCTCAAGTACCGGCTCGATGACTGACTAAATTTAATCTATTTGACGCCGATTTTTAGCCGCTGTTTTATTTATCAATTGTAAAGCGGAGGGCACACGTATTATGCCTTCAATAAAATTTAATCATAGGATGTACATACCAAGTCTGTCATACTCTGTGTGGATTTCATTAGTCTTCTTTAATTTTATCACATTGAAAATGTTGGTAGAATGCAAAGCTACAAGAATATATGTATAAGTATGGATTTAACATCATTGCCGTCTAAATACATATTTTACAATGTATTCCTATCAAGATAGCGACCCCCTTATGTCCGGAGTGCAGAGAAACTGAGGAAACAAGCATCCATCTACTCACTGAATGCTCTGCAAACTCGAGACTAATACAAATGCATATGGGTTCGGATGAACTAACATAAGATAACATCAAAGAATTAAAGATGAAACAAATAGTAAGATTCTGCAAGCAAACCAGAAGGATTGAAGGGGATACAGTGAGAGTTGGATAACCCAAAAACCACTCTACAAGGAGATGGGGAAATGGGTGAAATGGTCAGCTGATGGTGTGGAGTGATCACCCAGCCTGCCTATAGAAAATAAATAATAATAATGGATTTAACATAATATACCCTTTAGTACCAGCAAACAAAAACTAAAATATTAATTTAATGGAAAAACATGTCATGTTTGAAATTTCAAACTTCACCATCTTTTTTTAAAATAAAACACTTTAACGGTTTAAAACTCAATATATTAGTTAAACTTATTTGAAAATGATTCTTTAATTCGTCCCGACGTTTCGGATGCTTTGCAGCAGCCGTGGTCACACTGACTTAGACTGTGTGGAGTCTCCCCGTGACCACGGCTGCTGCAAAGCATCCGAAACGTCAGGCCGAAGTTAAAAATAATTTTCAAATAAGTTTAACTAATATATCGCGTTTTAAACCGTTACAGTGTTTTATTTAAATGTGTACTACTCGCGTAAACTATAGACAGTATTCACCATCTTGATACATAATATATCTCATGCTTAGTAAGGTAATTAATAAGAAAAGGAAAAAAATATATTATACACAATTTTTTCTAAATGGACAAAGGTTTGCTTGCTCACAGAGTTTTGTTGGTACAATGGTTGTTAAGTAGTCCACTTAGCCCTATCTCACTCATTTTATGGATCATGATTTCCCAGGATTCCCGGAAAAATTCCAAATGATAATTTTTAAACCCTGACATCTTGATGTTACAAAATATTAGGTGATTTCTATAGCCATAAATTTTGGAACAGATTTAGTGTTACAACTACAAGTTTTATTAATAGTTAAGAAAATTAAAGGTCTATATATGTGTACTCACTTATAACGTAAGCACCACTTAAAACCTTGAATAATCTATACATTTATAAAATTATCTCCAAAATCAATCTAAGATATAGTTTTAACAGTTCATGCTTATTGTATAAATAAATTATAGTCATGAAAACTTTTATCTTTGCCCTATAAGTGCAATATAATTGTTTTTGTCATAAATATGAATTAATGTAGTTGGCTTAAAGGTCTCGTTACCAGGCCATTAAATATTTAAAAAAAAATAAAAGAATTAATGTAGTACCTAGTAATGTAATTTCTAAATATATAGTTTTTTATATTAGGTATAAAGGTACCAAATGATAATTCAGTATTGGTGGTCTGGTACATAGTACATTACACACACCTGGTAACAAAATAGATTAAATCCACTGATCACAATACAATGCCTAAAATGACAACTCAGTAGATTGCTTAAATAACAGAAATAACTTACATCAGTAGCTGGCGATGACGAAGGACCCGGCACCTGATTTTGGGCGTCTGTCAATATCCAACATGCAAAAAATGCTAAAGTGCCCAAACCAACACTCCTTACTCTGAGCATTTTCAGTCCTAAAAAATATAAAAAGCCTTGCAAAAGAATTTTTAAAATACTTTAGTCTACAGAAGTTTACAGAATAATGTTTTAAACAATAGTTTGGAAACCCATTTGTAGACCTAATAATAGTCGTAAGTAGGTAAAATAATTTCTTTCATAATTCAAATTAAATTTACTGAAGAAAACAAAATATTAAACAGTGCATTATGAATCCACTGACCTGATATTGATAAAATACGCAGCTAATTGCGAGTGGAAACCAAAAATACAATGGTGTAGTAATCTGGCCAATTAACCATATCTAATTACAATATCAAATATATACGTATATATCTCGCCACAATCAACCTTCCTTGATTTTTTTGATAACACGGACTGTAATTTTACGTCACGGTAAAAGGAATAAATTTTTGAATTTACAACCCATTACTAACCTTGAAAGTAAACAGTTTTTAACACAACAGCACACTTTTAAAACATTTCATATAGCTAATGTCTCTAATTTTAAAACGGCAACTATCATTACATCTGCATTTTAATTGCAATGTATTAATTTAAATTGATAACGTTATTTATTTTAATCGAATATAAACTAAAATAGTCGAATTAATTTTTCTATCGACGTATTACGAACATTACGTTAACTATAGTCGACAGTTGACACATGACAGTTAACATTGACAAACTACAAGACCAAAATATATTAAACAATAGTCTAACCTCTAATATTAAACCATAGGCTAAACGTGGTTTATAGATAATATTTACTACATTAAGTAAATACTTTTGTTGGTGTTGTTTCTTAAATTCTAACCTTAAATATTTATCCAGAAATTGAAAATGCCTCTTGATTATCGACGATTCAATGGACCTGAGGATAGCGTTTCATATAAGCAGTTCTCTACTAATTTCACCCGTAGCTATGATGAATTATTTAAGGGTTTATTTGATGAAAATGGAAAAAGAATAGATGGACGTGAATTTACCGAGGCGCGCCCGTTGTGTACGTTTAATCGGTGTTTAATGAGCCTCGAGTTTGTAATTTTTTTAATTATTTATAATAAATTACACATCATTTCAGATACTAAAACAAATGTTATTTCCCAAGCTAAAGGGTCAGCTTATGTAGAACTTAAAAACACAAAGGTTGTATGTTCGGTGTTTGACCCGCGGGAAATCGTTGGTCATCAGAATGAATATAGGTAAACATTTATTTAATCTCAATTTGTCGCCTTATACAGTATTTAATTGTAATTAAAACGGAATGCACAGACATTAGTAATAGTTTAACAGAAATCCACATTTTTTGTGTTAATAAGTACATAAAACATTACAAACCTGCTAAACAAATATTGTAGAAAAATATATTTAAAATTATTTACATTTCTTTTTCTTAAATAAGTTTAATTGTATTATTATTAACTGATATGTGTATATAGTCAAAGAAAGTTACAAATCTTAAATTGTGTCACTGCAGTATTTTGTAAGCGGATAATATAACTTTTTGCTATCACATTAAGCTTCTTTAGTATTTACTTTTTTTCAGCATATATGGGCAAATATATTGTGAAGTAAAATTTGCACCATTTTCTTGCCCAAGAAGGAGAAGGGGACTTGCACCTGATACAGATGAAAGAGCACTATCAGCTAACTTCAAAACTGCTATACAGACAGCAATACAATCAACAAAATTCCGAAACTTCCAAGTAAGCGTTAAGAAAATTAGTTGTACTTTTTTAATGAACAGTTTATCTTCACATACATTTTTTCACTAACTTTATTTTTTTAGATGGATGTCTTTGTCTATATTCTAGAACATGATGGAGCATGTTTAGCTGCTGCTATAAATGCTGCCTGTCTGGCATTAACAGATGCAGTTGTACCTATGATGGATATATTTTCAGCTCGCACAGCTGCTGTTATTAATAATCAGATATTTGTTGATCCTACAGAAGCTGAAGAAAATTTAGCTTTAATGCCCACAGATAACGAAACTAATCATGGCATTATAACATTGACTGTTATTGATCATTTGCGCAATATAACTGACCTGCAGCAAATAGGTTCCATTGATGCTGATTGTTTGATAAAAGTTATAGATATTTTGCTGGAGGAATGTGCCAAATTAATGCCATTATTTAAGGATCTAATTATAGATAATGTTTTTGAGCAGTACAAAGAACATCAAGTTTATTTAAGTATAAAGAAGCAGGTTAATGAAGAACTTAGTAATAAGGTAAAAGAATGGACATTGATAGTAAAAGATAAATGATTGTTTTTTTTTGTTTTATTTAAAAACTACTTAATTTCTATTTGGACAATAATTCATATTATGTAGTATGATTACTATTTATAACAAGCAAAAAATCTCAATATTAAAAGACCACATTAGCTTATACAGCAAGTACCAGTAATAATCACGCTAAAATGTATCAGAGATAATTTGGAAAGTAACTGAGAGAACCTGTTTGTCATTAAATGAAAGAAACATTTATGTCACAGTTTTATTAAATTTCAAAGTTATGTGGTTAAAACCAAGTATGCATTAGTCTTCTGGTTTTTCTGGTGGAGGCCCACATGGTTGTAACATTCTCTCCATTAAATTAAATTTCACCCTCGCTTTTGACTCGTTTTCGACAATTGCAAAATAACTTAACAAATCTGGATGTCCCATGTAACTGCAACAAGAATCTCTGTGTTGATTAGTTAACCACTCATATTTTGTGGTGTCGGCGTGCCCCGTTCCAATATATTTGCTTTGAAGATGTTCAAGTTGGCTGTGAATATTATATCTCTCTCCCATGATTATTTCCGGTGTGATATTTGTTCTTTTTCGACGGGTATATTAACTTATAGTTTTATTTTTTTTCCAGCGTTAGATAGATGCTATAGATACGTCATAACAATAATTTATAAATTATCTTTATTGACAGTGACACATTGAAACTGACAGTTGACAGTCATTTCTATACAGCGAATCTGTATTAATTGTAATTATGTAAAAAGTATCTATACCGTTCTTTGCATTTCCATGGCAATATAATTTCGAAAAAGGCGCTTATTTTCAAGTATGTTTAATCGATAACTTTAATTATATTTCTATACATAGCTACGATGGAAAAAGAAAAATTCATAGATTTAAAAGAAAATAACACCATGTTGCGGAAAGAAGCTAAGAAATTAATTAGTAAGAAAAAGCTTCATGGACAAAAAATAACACACCTATTCATGTATGAAAAGAATTTAACAGAAATTGTAAGTTAATTTCGATTGAAAAACTTAAAACAAAATCTTTAATAAACATCTTTGAATCGTTCTAGTTTCAAAACAACTCGTTCAATATATTAAAATTGTGAGGCTATGTTATTTGTTATTTTACTCAATTATTATATTGTTGTCACAGCCTCTACCGAAAAGCCCAACTCAGATAATCTATGCCTATTACCATAATAACTACATAACAAAAATTAAAAACATAGATGTAATGTACAATTTAACACATTTACATTTGCAATGGAATAAGATTGCTAAAATTGAGGGTCTGGAAAAATTATCGAAATTAAAAAAGATATATTTGGGTAATAACCAGATTAGTGTAGTAGAAAATTTAGAGGGCTTGAAATATTTAGAGGAACTTCATATAGAAAAGCAGAGAAGAGAGGATAACGATCCCCTGTGCTTTGATCCAAGAACAATGATATCCATTGGAGTGAGTATCTACACATTTTTTACATTTGTTGTATTTAAACAACGTATTGAAAGCAATAGTTCATATTATATTGGTCTTTAAGCTTTTGTTGATCTCTTTGTCAAAAATTTAATTATTAAGCGGTTTCTATAATAAAGCACTAATAAAAAATCGCTTTAGGCATCTCTCAGAATTTTAAATGTTTCCGAAAATAAAATATGTGATGTTATTTGGGCAAAACCCTTACGTCGATTAGAAGTTCTCATTGGAAAGAAGAATTTACTCGAAGACGTACTGGTATGACAAAAATGCACAATATTATCATCGTTAAAAATGTTATAATTCTAATGTAATCCCATGTTTCCTATGTTAAGAACTTAGGGCTCTAGCACCTTTTTTTCAGTCTGTGGCCGACGATATGTGTACTCTCGTTAGTTTAGTGGATTTGAATTTTACTGGGAATCCTATAACTAAAAAACATAGATATAAAGAAACAATCATAGCTAGATGTGCGCAGCTACGTAAGTAACCATTTTAGTAAAATATTTTGTTAAGTATAGTTTAAAATTTGGTTAGTTGAATATTGATTATATTGTTTTAGGCATTTTAGATGGTGTGCACATTCATAACACATCTCGGATTTTCCTTCAAAGCTTCGATAAAGTTGTTCGCTTGAGGCAGTTACATGGAAAGAATAAACTAAGCCTCTCACGGGAGGGCGCTGATGAATTCTTAGATCTCAACATGCTGCCAGGCCCAAGAGCTCGTAGTGCTCTCTCCATATCAGAATTCTCCAACCAAAAACCTAAAAGTATTTTTAGTTTTTTCTTATTTTTTGCTAAAATACTTGGAACTTTTACAAACTAGACCGCAAATATTAGTTAGCTGTTTTAAAATCATTGACTTAATCGTAATTCTTTCAATGTCTCCATTGAATTCATTCAATCAACGACAATTTTCAGTGAGTGCTGTGGATGCCAGTTATACGTTTATGCCTCGATCATTTTGGCGCAACAGACCATCTCCCGAAGACGAGGTTCATGCTCCAATGCCACCGATGGAACCTAGGAACCAGCCAAATCAATCCCAAAGCGCCCCAATAAAGGGCATTCTTAAAAAACCAATGCCAATGAAATATATTTAATCACCAGTAATAATGCTACACTGTCTTGTCTGATAACTTTTGTATGTATTTTTATAAATATATTAAATTTACATTTTAGTAAATACATGTTATTGTATAGTGAATTATTTGTTTAGAAACCTATATCACTTAGAAAATATATATGCTTCTAAGTTTTGTAAGAATACTTAGATTTAATCTATGCTTACCTATAGATTACCTACTTCTATAAAATTGTCGCTGTCTTATATACTATCTATGGTTTGTTACATCGCATAAACCTGTACACTATCTGTAATTAGTGTTGTCATTTATCAGCTGTTATACAAATAACCTACGGGCTATGAAACGTTATTAGATTTACTTCATTTCGAAAAATATTATTACTAAGAATTTGTATTAAATAAAATAATTATACTTCTAATCATGGATGACATTCTTCAGACAGCATTCAAAGTACTACATGAAGAAACATCAGGTAATGTAATCCATTAGGTAAGTTAGTAGTTTTATCATTAGAAATACTTGTGTTATTAACACAATTTCCCTGTTATAGAATTATATTTAAGTGGTAATGTAGCTGAAGTAGTCAATATTGATTCCCTGGAGTTCCACAGAGAATATGTTTCTAAAAATTTACCAGTTATTATAAGAGGTGGATGTTCGAAGTGGCCTGCAACAAGGAAATGGAATGCCCAATATTTTCGGTATAGTATGTTTTCTGTAATATGACCTCTACGATAAGATAAAAAAGAATATAACTTGGATGTTGTTACTCTATTCTTATGAGACTATTTAACTAGATAGTTAAATATCAGAGCTGCTTGTTATCAAATTTTTGAGCTATTGATCAAAATTTGAAACTATAAGTTGTGAGAGTCATTAATAATATTATTATTATATTCTAGGCAAGCAATACCAAACAAAACAGTGACTGTAGCAGTCACACCAAATGGTTACGCTGATGGTATAACCAAGGATAAACATGGAATTGACTACTTTGTAATGCCCTCAGAGGTGCAAACTACCATGGATAAATTTCTTGATATGCTTGAAGACAAAAGGTACAGTCATAAGGTAAATAAATGTCAAAATATGATTTTGTTATTTTTACGATTACGCCTTATAACATACAAGATTTGTTTCCTGTGAATTTAATGATTAGATTAAAATTCATTTCATAATATTTGAAATTATTGCATTATTTACTATGTAAACATGATCTGTATTCTTCAGTACCAGTGATAGTTTCTGATAAGTGATGAAAAAATAAGTTACTTTAAATTTAACCAAAAAATCTCATATGTATATATTTTTACTTTATAGAGATAATTATATACCATATATACAGCGTCAGAACTCAAACCTAACAGAAGATTTTAAAGAGCTCCTACAAGATATTGATTTTGATGTAGAATTTGCGAGTCGAGCTTTCAATAAGAAACCTGATGCTATAAATTTTTGGATGGGTGATAAAAGAGCTGTCACTTCAAGTAGGTATATTATATTTTTCATTATTATTATAAAATAGTAGACAACAACAACCACCTTCAACTTGTATTTCAGTGCACAAAGACCCCTATGAAAATATATACTGCGTGATTGATGGCTACAAGGAGTTTATATTAATACCTCCCACTGATTTGCCCTATGTTCCATATAAGAAATATAAACAGGCTGTATTCAAATATAATAATGGTTGGGCTGTTGAACCGCTTGGTTGTGGAAGTGGGCTGCCATGGATTTGCATAGGTAAGAAATTAAATAAATTATTTAATACTCAACCTTATCAGAAGTATTTTTGTATTTTTTTTAGTATTTTAGTATTTTATTCCCTCTCTACAGAGGACTTTGGGTTAGCTTATAGAATCTGTCAGCCAATGATAATTTATAAAAAACCTAATGAAAATCATTGCATTACAACAGGTAATAGCTTACCTACGTGTTATAGGTAAAGAAGGTTACAATATGAAATTTTTGTACTTAGTCTTGTTTATCTAGACAATGTTACGGACCCTTTATTTGCTCTTTTACAATACTGTTTATTACACAAAATTTAACTCAGTTTCTATGATGTTAGGCCACATAAGCTAAGGAGCAACAATAATACATAATATATTTCATTGTTTAACATAACGTTAACCTTCTTGTTGTTTACAAAAATATTTGGAAAGTTTTCCTATTTTTGTGGTACTTAAACCAGTTCCTAGCAAGGGAATTTCAGTGAAAGTTCATTTTTCACATTATGTTAATTTGCCATAATTTCTATTCACAGATCCTCTCAGTCCGGACACCTTAAACTACCCTCAATTCTTGAAAGCTCACAGGTACAAAATCCGTTTAAACAAAGGCGATTGTCTTTACCTGCCTAGTCTGTGGTTTCATCACGTCACCCAGAGTCACGGTTGTATCGCGGTCAACTACTGGTATGACATGGAATTTGATATAAAATATTGCTATTTTAGAATGCTCGAAAAATTATGCGGTCAGTACTAGAGATGAGATTAAAAGTTTTTTTTATATTTTTTATTACATTGTTAAAGTATATAATATAGTAAGTAAAGGCGTTAAACTTAATTTCATTTTCTCTGAACATGTGCTTCTTGAATGTCGAAGTATGTTCACTGACTGAAAAATTTAAGCACTTTTTAGTTTTATATAAGAAATGGATGAGAAATAAAATTATGATCACCATTACTAAGTTTATAAATGAAACATTGATTCTATTATTAACCATTTCTTGCCAGAAAAACAAAGAAATGGACCATTTTAGTGCTCAATCAATGTTTTCTGTAGTAAAGTTAACCATTTACCATTATGTCCGGAAAGATGTTGGAAGTTGGCAAATGCTTCACTTTTAGGCAAATGCCAAGTGGTGAGCAAACACCGACAAAATTTTCTGTCACACAAACATCCCCTCTTGGCCAGGCTCGTATCGTTCTATGTGTGCTCGTTGTATTGTTGTTAATGTGTATCGTAACATTTGCTGAAATGGTTTATACTCAGGCTAAATCTTTAATGTAAAAAAGTATACAAAATAATAGATGGTGTACTGGTGTACACTTTTGCGTCCATTTTGCAAAACTCGACCGTCGTAATTGAGAAAACATTCTCGACGTTTCGCCATCACGAGGATATGACATCAGAAGATATGGCGCCTTCCTCGACAAGAGGAAACTGATGGCGAAACACGCAGAATTAATCAATTACGATGCCTCAACCCAAGTAGCATAAGACATCAATGTTTGTTCATCTTATCTAACGCTAACGCAACTGCGATAAATGCGACCGCCTCTGTAGCTAAAACGTACCTGCATTGTTTAAGAGGTCCTGGGCTAGAATCTAGGCGACACAATAGATTGTTTCGGTCGAGCACGGCACAGAAGTCGTAGTTAGACTTCCGTGCCCTGCTCGACCGAAACTCGCCTGTAAAAGAAGCCGATCAGTAAAACAAACACAGAATTCGGGAAACTGAATTTGACTTTATGAATACTATAGTGTGTAGTGTGAATTTTGTTTTAGTTACGTAAACTCACGGCCATCGTATGTTGGATCGGGCCAATCTTCGGGTAAAAGGTTTTCTCTCATCGCTAACTGAGCCGCTACTTCAGCGCCTACGCACATGACGAGGGATTTATAGTGGACCCGACAGCTCGTTCCGCACACGTTCATTCTTTGGAACGTTGCACCCTTTTATTTTAAAAATAGTTGCATATGAATGACCATGCATTGTTCTAAAATTGAAAATAGGATTTACACGTTTTATTTAAGAATTGGTCTAATGTTAGCAATGCATTGCTAATAAGCAACAGCCCAACAGGCTGTGGGTTTGATCCCCACCGGGTCCAACATGTTTCTAATCAAACTTGATGATCGTTTGGAAGATTTTGATATAAAATGGATGGTAGACCCCTCGTCCCCCCAAAAATCATATACATTAGATACTTTTTTTTAAGAATTTCATGGGAATTCAGTTCTTAGTCAGTCAATGTATACATATTTAGGTACATTTACAATGTATTATTAAATAGTGATTAAGAAAAGTTTTCGCTTACCTTTTCCCTGGGAATTGTGCATTCACGTAATCCCAGAGTGGCGCATTCTGCGGCGTGGCATGTTCCGTCCGGCAGACATCGCCCGCCCAAGCCACACGCACACTTGCTTAGATCGGGACACGTGCATTTCTCATTCTGACGCGTGCAGTCCTATTCCAAAATAATCAGAGGAGGATGGCAGGAAGTCTCTTAGGGCCCAAACGCACCAAGCAGTTTACAGTTCGGTCAGGTCTATCAAGTGAAATATGCGTATGGGCCTAGTCTAGTCGATCTATTAGTCAGTGAAATCCAAAGTTGAAACTTATTAAAAAATATTAGTTAAAACGAACTGTAAAGTAATTTTCCCGTTGTAAATTCATAACTAAAAATTATTCTAAATAGTGCCATCAGAGAAAGTCTATACTAATATTATAAAGCTGAAGAGTTTCATTTTTTTGAACGGGCAAATCTCAGAAACTACTGGATTGAATTATCGAATCTTTTTGTGTTGGTTGGGGAATTTACCGAGGAAGGCTTTAGTCTATTTAACATCAGGCCGCGACTTATAGGTGCGAAGAAACATAAAAAAATGTTGAAAAAACGGGGAAAATGATTCATCTTTCAGAACGATTCAAGAAACCAAAAAATATGTATGAAAGAATGATTCTTCTTTAAGTGATCTAAAAACATATCCGCGACAGTATATGTCTATGTTTTGTGAATAACTCGCAAGAACGATTGTACGCGGACATAGTCGCGAACACAGCTAGTGAATTATAAATAAATTTTATCCGATACATATAACTAACAATTCCTCGATTAGTGAGATTAGCGAACTTGCAGTCAGCGTTGCAGCAGAGGCCCTGCGATGGATGACAACTAACTTTAGGAGCCACTTGGCAACCCTCCCTGTGTAGAGCACTGCAATGATAGAAGGCGTATAAAGTAGATTGGACACGGTAGGTAACATGGCAGGTGGTCCAGGTTTGGCGCCAGGAGGGTAGTTTAATGTGTAAACGTACTGTACTTAAAAAAAATCAATAGGTTGAATTAGTGATCCGTCTAAGGTCACCTAGGAACCCAGATCAGGGGTTCATGAACCCATGTCATTAATTTTTATTTCAAAAAGTGAGGGTAAAATACGTCTTGTCTTGGGTTCTATTTATTTCTACCATAGTTCTACCCAAAAAATATAGTTACCCCTCTTCCAAAGCAATCGATCCTCCTGCCCTTGGAGTGCAACAGGGATCTCGATTCTTACAATGCAAAGGTAGCCCGCAATCACACGCCTCACCTGCTTCCACTACACCTGAAGAGAGATTTTACCAGCTCGTGACATTTCCCATCGCTGGGAATGGAATCTTCTTTGGACTGGTACAAAGTAGATTTGTGAAGACATCGATCATACATACTCGAGCTATATGCAGCTAGGATTATTTTGTCGCCTCTATTTTCCAGCTAAAAGGTTATACGTGTTGCCCAGCAATGCGTTAAGCGCAAGAGGTCCTGGGTTCGAATCCCGGGGAAACAATAGATTGTTTACATGCCTGTAAATAAAACCGATCACTTTGTTTTCTGTCATAAGTAATACCAATGACGTACCGTTTCCACAATAAGGTCTGTGGACTGTCTCGAGGCAATAGCCCATGCTGTTCAAAGTAGCAGCGATGAGTCGCTTGCTGCATATGGAAAATTCATAGTTATGCGAAGTTTGCGAAGTGGAGGACTGAGATCCCATCAGGAAGCCCTTGCATTCGGGATTAGGGAAGTTGTCATCGTGGTGTGCTCCAAAACTGTGACCTAGGCACGTTTGTTAGGGCGCCAATAATAGAAAACAAAGTTTTATTGTAAAGATGTTATCTTATAAGTAGTTGTTCTATTTAACGGTTTAAAACGAAATATATTAGTTAAGGCAAAGCATCCGTAACGTCGGGCCAGGATGTGTATACATATATAAATAAATATTTCGGGTAATACAATACTTTTGATGAATCAAGTATCAATATGTGTAATAATTAAATTAATTTTGACGGGCTCAATAGTCTAATGGTAGCAATATAATACAAATAAATAATTATCAATGGGTCATCATGGGGGTTCGATCCCGATCGGGTCCAAATTAAATTTTGTCATTTTTTCTAAAACTTGTTGTACTTCTTCTGATAAATCTGGACATTACGAGTAATCTACCTTCCATAAACCAAAATTAACAAACCCTACCCCAGCTTGTAAAAAGGGATAGTAAAGTTGCCAATTGCAATAAAGCGCGTACCCAACTCGTGCGCCAGTGTTGAGGCTGCTATACGTTCTGGTACTCTCTCGGCTTCCTCTGCAGTCCCGTGCGCTAGAGCCAGGGTGTTGAAAGATCTACCTGATGCCCGTCTATCACACACACCACCCGCTGCTCCCCCCATCCCACCTCCCAGAGGCGTGAAGCTGCCAAATCAAATTAATTTCACCCAGTTACAAGTGAAACAAGGAACACTTTAACTGTTTAAAACGCGATAAACATTAGTTAAAATTATATGAATTGTTGTACTATCTCTTGTGTATCGGGGTAAGTTGATATACGTCACTTATTGGGTGGAAGTATCACTAATAGATGAATGCTGTAGGCTTAAAACTTGTCCTAGAGTAGAGACTAAAAACAACCCTACTACCTTAAACCCAAAGTCCTATTTTGAAATGCATGTCCAGAGAAAGCAACGCCCAGGCAAACCTCGGAAAGCCGGCGGAGCCTTGCAAAACGCATCAAATAGGCGCGTCCATCCACAGATCTCTCGCTTAATAGATCACCAAATACACCCGTGTTTGTCTCGTTAGATGTCAGCACGAGGATATATTTTACAGCGAAACCTGGAATTTATTATTTATTTGGTATTTCTATACATGGCTTAAAAATACCTAAAACTAAAAATAAGCCAAAACAGGTTTACAACATTACGAAAAAATATCTGTGATAAAGAAAACAAAAATATGGTTTAAAATACTTAAAAGTAAAGAGATATCGTATGACAATGTACTTATATGGATACAGTGTACATTTCTTTTGCCTATTTAAAATTAAATCCCGTTCAGGGCGTATCTTTATTACAAATACGAATTTGTTGAAATGATTTTGATTATTAATTTTTGTTAAAAAAAAAGTTACTTAATATAATATGTACTTATATCTATATTTAATTATTTTATTCTGTTTACTTTACTGTTTGAAGTTGGTTATTTTTTGTTTCTTTTTATTCGTATCAATGATTGTGTTTCTGTATACTATAGCGATCATAAATCGTTACGGTATATGGGCCAAAAATATTTCCTAAAAACCAGTCCCTGGAATTAACATTACATTTAATGCGAGTGGGTTACAAAATTGTGACAATAGTATAATTATTTTAAAATTTAACATTATTATCTAATACAAAACACATGATTTAAACTGAAATAATTGTTATTAATTGAAAATTTACAGTAACAAAGTTGCCATTTTTAGTAACGCAGCCGTTTTTCATACTAAATATCTATGTCCCTGAGCATGTGTGCCAAACTATACGGAACAATTTCTCAAAATATTTCCTAGGTGGCGGTTAATTATAGATGGTATAATAAAAATGCAAGGTTTGGACGTTATTAGAATGGCATTAGAAACGTTTTAAATTGAAGATTTAGTAAAATAAAAAATTAATGTATCTGTGTCCCCAACGAGTAACAATATCGTAGCTACCTTGCGTTACTGTATGAAAAAAGACTTTAAAATGATTGGATTAAGGTTACTTGCACATTATTTGGTTCGATTTGTAGTAACTCGTTTAACAAACGACAGCAACAGCGCTTGGGCAGTACTCTCGCCGTGCTGGTCGCGTCCCGGTCCGTGAAGGAGGTGCGTGTATCTATTGTCTGTCTGCTGAGTTACCGCTGTTAATGTTACGTCCTGACGATATTTCACGTTATTATTGTTTTATTACGCATTTAGGTATGTATTGCAACCGTGAGTGTAAAAATATCTGGATTTTATTATTTGATTTGGAAATTATTTACAATTTAGTCAAATATTTACAACTGCGTAACTGCTACACTGCGTTACAAAAAAAAGTAACGCAGTAGTTAGATAGGTAACGTAGTTGTATTTTTGTTACTTATAAACAGTATACGTTATTAAATCCGATATAGCTATAGGAAAATTGTATCTTTTTTTCTCAGAAAAAAGTTTCTGTCCTAAATGGCGCTGACAAACGCAGAAAAACAACGTCGCTATAGATAAAAATTGAAACAAGACCCGGTAAAAAATGCTGAAGCTGGATTATGAGAATTTCGTACCATATCTGCAAATAATTCTAATAATCCAGCCTCTATCTGGGCACACTTACATCCAATAATTAGTGACATACAACATAACAATCCTAACATAACTACAATTCATTTTTTCTCCGATGGACCAGCTACTCAGTATCGACAGAAGCAAAATTTTTATTTCATTAGTCACAGAATATTCACTGAGTAAAAGATCATACGCGTTACATGGAATTTCTTTGAAGCTGGGCATGGCAAAGGGGCTGCTGATGGTGTTGGCGGCTATCTCAAACGCATTGCAGATAAAAAAGTTGCTGTTAGTTCAAATATTTCTAATGCAGAAGATTTTTTTGACACCCTAAAAGACTTGAGCAAGGTCCGTTTTTACTTGGTGACACTGACTGACAGTGATATTCATAACGTTGAAAAAACACTACCTGAAAGTCTAGTGCCACTTCAGGGTACGATGCAATACATCAGGTTTTTACTCACACTTTGGGTGAACTTCGCTAAAGAGACCTTAGTTGTTTTTGCAAGAGGGGTTTTTGTTAGTGCATGAATCCAAAAACATATCAGCCTGCATACAAACATATCCCATCATTGACACACGTAAAGAAGACGTTCCATTTGATGAATCGGATAATGATATAGTCCTTGATGACATTACTAATATTGTTGCCGTACCTTTAAGGTACGTATTACAAGATTTATTAGAAGTTTATTATTCGTCTTCTAGCTCTGACGAGAAGCCCTTATCAAGCTTGTGCCAAGTGTCAACATCTAACGTACAGGAACACGCACGTGAAATACAGCAATTTCAAAAAAATGCAAAATGTTCATCCTACGAAGATATATGAAGGTGTCCATGTTTTAGTAAAAGTTACTTATGTTAAGGAAAAATAATATACTTTCCTTGGTGTTGTTAAAAGTAAAGTTGATGAAGAAGGGGACGTTAAAATTATGTTTTACAAGACAATTGACGACACTGGCAAAAGATTCAAAGCAGTAGATACCGATATATCTTACGAACCATACGAAAACATTGTAGAAATTGTCCCTAACCCCAAACTTGTCGTGAAAGGTAAAAGATTATACTTCAATTATGACAAGCCAAAAAATTTCTGAAGAGAGACTGAAGATATAGTGCCTCGTTAGTTTATACAGTTGATTTTCTCATCAAGGTATATTAATTCTTAACAAATATTGACGTAGGCAAACGTTTTATGTTACTTGAGGTACTTAATTTTATGTCGAGTCATGAACAGTTAAAATTGTTTTGTTATAAAGATCTCTATTGAAACTACAAAGTATAGTATATAAAAAATACTACTGTGTTACGAAGATTAATACTGCGTTACTTTTGTGTCCCTCTTGTTTTTATTGTATCTTTAATTATACAAAGGACTCTTATTGTCAAAAATGTCTTAAATTTATACGTACGTACTATTTAAGACAAGAACAATACTATGTTGTCAATTGGAATTAATTTTAAGTTGATTTTTGTAATTTATGGAAAAGTTTAAGTTTTAATATTTAACATAGGTAACGCAGTGTATCTAATTAAACATGAATATTCGATGAAACTGATTATTTCTGTGATTTTGCTTTATAGGTGATTTATATAATCACTACAGTTTAAAACTGACGTATTATTAAGTCTCAATGTCCGATTTATTAAATAATATCCTCACCTGTAAAATAGTTACGCAGTTGTTTAATTTCTCGACAACTTGATGTATTATATGCTATAAATATTATTAAATCATTTAAACCATCGCTGCTGAGGTAGGTGTGTTATAAATAGAACTATAACATATCTATTTCAGCATTTAAAAAAAGGAAATTAAGTATTTCAATTTTGAAAAAAAAATCTGAATTGTGTTCTCGGATTAGGCACTTAAAAGTATTTTGGCCCATATAACACACTAGCGGCCCTATCCCGGCTTCGCACGGGTAGAAGTAATAAACGGGTAGAGTAAATAAATACAGATATTAAAATTATAAGCATGCTAATTAAAACGACCTTGAATTACTAAATTTGAAAAAAAAAATGTATTTCACGTTCTAGCTGTTAACGACCTTTGACGCTGTGTCAGGAGCCACTGCGAGCGTTCAGTGTTAGAGTCACGTGACGCGTTCGCGAATTTCTAGCTCTATTTCCGTCAAGTGACGAACTTGCATTTTGCAACGATGTTTTTTGTAGATATTAATATATTCTATAATATTGTCGAACATTTTTTTGCCCTATCATTAATACTTTTCGCAGCTTATGCGAAGAAAGACATTTTACGGCTAATTTTTTTACGTCTTCCGTTGGTTTTAGTAAGAATGTCTATAGATGTCTATAGAAATCAAGTACTAAATATAGCCTATGTTACTCAGTGATAATGTAGATTTCTAATGAAAAAAGAATTATTAAAATCGGTCCAGTACTTTTTGAGTTTACCCATACATTCAAAAATACAAATATTTCCTCTTTATAATATTAGTATAGATTAACACTTCCGTAAGGATAACAATACCCATATTATCTGGTACGCCGTCTTCGTTGAAGTCAGTGTTCCGGAAGATGATGTCTGCTTGGGCGACTGCATGCATCATTCTACGAATAGCGTGCTTAAGGCTTGAGTTCGCGTCCTTTACAAAAATAACGTAAAAAAATCAAATAATAAATTGCTATGAAATTTACGAAAATATCTCTCTATTGCAGTAAATACTAAAAAAAGCTTTCGTAATTTCTGTATATATAGATAGCTGTACGCCTTTATTAATGTGACTAGCTGTGTCCGCGACTTCGTCCCCGTGGAATAGTTATTTTGGGTATAATATTATTAATTTTTGCAAACAACCTCCTCGGCTTTTTAAATTATAGCCGTTACCCACGACGTCGTCCACATTCCGACGTAGCGCATGTGAAACACACACATACACGAGGATATTTTTTTGGGTTATTAAAAAATTAATCATTGCATCACACATATTTTATGGTTTCTTGATCGTCGCAGCGCGCACAACGGATGCTCTCAACGATGAACATTTTTATTTATTTATTTACACTTTATTGCACAAAAACAAACAAAAATTTAAACGAGACTTATGTACTAAAAATATTTTTTTCCCGTTTTACAATCGTTTCCTCTGTTTCTTTGCACATATTAATACCCCACACACACAGCCTGATGTTTTATCCTTAAGCCTTTCCGATAAAAGGTCCAACCAACACAAAAATAATTATCAATTCGAACCAGTAGCTTATGAGATTAGCGTGTCCAAACAAACAAACTCTTCAGCTTTATATATTAGTATAGAAGTATAGATTTCACATTATGTCTACCTTTTCATAAAATTCCTTGTCAGCTAAGAGTAGCAGATTACAAATCCTCGCCGGACTGACGCCATTCATCTTATCTGCAGGGTTATATGGTCGGTACGAACCCAAGTGGGAGAAATGTGACGGAATCTGTAAATTAAGGTAAGGTAACACAGAAACGAAATTGTATAATACGCGTTTGATTGGATTTCCTCAGCATGTTTTAAATTATCTGATGTATCGAAACATCCCGTTTCGGTTTTAAGCCGAGTTGCTTTGTTGCCCATTTCACCTTTTATAAAGTGATCCCTGTACTTGCCCTTCCATGTTGTGATTATAAAGAAACGTGTTCTTGTACACGAGTGCTTCTAACTTTTCTTCTCTCACGAATTAACCTTGCTGATATATGCTGAGACACTGTGAAATGTACCTACCGAAGATTCTTTACGTGGGAGTCGCATTGCAGTCAGGAGTTCGTTTTCAAATGGTCCGAAATGCTTTTTAACGTCATCCCGGCCATAAGGATCAGCAAACAGTGTTTTGTTTCCTAGCAGAAAATTTTGTTTTAAATATTTACAGAACAAAACATGCTTTTAAATAAAAAAACTTTTACGATTTTAAACGCAAAACTAACCTATTTACAAATTACTTTAAATTCAGCCGTGGAACAGAGCATTCGAATCGTCGGGCTGTAGTTTGTTAATAAGTTTAACAGATACATTTCGCGGTTTAAACCGTTAAGTGTTATATTCAAATATGCACTACTTACCCGTGAAAACTACAGACAGTACTTTAAACACGCTTTTACGATAGTAGCGACCAGCCCCGACTTCGCTCGGGTGCAATGCTGATACTTAATACAGTACGAAAAACTGTGAACGTTTTAAAAACAAACCTTCTTCTTAAATCAATGTATCTATTAAAAAATCCCGCGTCAAAATTAATTACGTAGTTTTAAAGATTTAAGCGCACATAGGGACAGAAAAAGCGACTTTGTTTTATACAATGTAATGATGGCAAAATCCAGAAGTAAAAGTGTATATATGTGTTTATAGCTTTTCGGCATGTTTGTCTGCAGAATAGAAGTTGCTACAATGCAGAGAGCTATAAATATCTATGAATAAAAGTGCGCTTCATACACACTACCCTACAGCAGTACATTTGGCTAACATCAACGTAGATTACATACTTAGATGCAAAACACCGTAGAATTGATGGTCCTCCCCTATGTATCCTTCTGCGGATCCTGACCCTGGGTTATCAACAGGAAAACCATACGCCATCATCACGTCATTTAGGGGGTAATGTTTGTGCGGTTGTCCTTCTAGATTTGCTTTAGGGTCCAATAGCAGAACTGACGAGTCCGAAACAAGTAGAGATTTCCCTGAAGAGGATAAACGAAATAAAGATTATTTTATTTAGTTATTTTGCAAAGAATACGTACGCACTTCATTATCAACTAGCTGCGTCAGCGAAAAATAGTTTTTTATTTTTAGTTTTTTAATAGTTATTTTGGGCATACAAATTTGTTTTAACAAACCTCCTCTGTATCTTTATAAATATGTATAAGCCACGACGTCGGCAGCGTCCCATCGTTCTTGCAAGTTAATCTTAAAAGATAGACTTATAGTATTGCGGACTTTTTTAAGATCATTTAAAGAGGAATCATTCTTTCGTTAAAACGGGGAAAATTATTCATCTTTGTGGGTTTTCGTTGCGTACGCTGCGAAAACGGTTTAAAATGTCCAAAAATATCTATAAATAATTGATTCCTCTTTAAATGATTTAAAAAATGTCGGCGGCATTATATGTCCTTTTGATACCTCGCAATAACGACGGGACGCGGACAACGTCACGACGTCGACATGGAGAATCTTTAAAGAGGAAGAGGAGGTTTCCAAAAACAAATTTTGATGCCTAAAATAACTTGGCGGACAAAGTCGCCAACATAGCTAGTTGACAGTAAATCACAAATACCTATTGGTTCAAGTTTCAGACAGAGGATGTATGCTTCCTTGCCAAATTTTGCATCTATCACTTGATATCCATACGCTTTACAGACTCTCTGAGATCTTTCTTGAAGATCAAGTGCAGACGAAAGATTCAAGACTAAACAAAGCACCAGGCAGTGACCCACACAGGTCATGGTTAATTTGGTACCACAAGGCTAAACCTCAAAATGTGTAATGCTTATTCTAAGATTTTATAAAAGCTGCCTTCATGACCTTTAGGATTTGACAGAATTGATCACAGATTACTTCATAGTAACGAAATTTTCGAGGAGTATTTATAATTAATCTTGTCAAAATTAAATGGACACCACAGAACTAGATCACAGACACATATTAAAGGTGAGAACATTAAAATAGATTATGGGTTACTTCTATCGCTACTACCTACCCTTGTAGAAACACGATTTTTTTAAAGTGGCTAGTAGATTATTGCATAAGACCCGAGTGCCTCTTTCTTCATTTCATCTTTTTAAGTTCATAATATGTTTCATTAAGAAAAATAACGGTCTACTATTGAAATCCAACTCTGAAAGCTCTTAAATATTTACATAACAGTAAAATCAATGTCCTTGACCAAAACCGTAAAACGTGGTAAAATGACCTTCGATTCAATATTTACATCTATGTAACAATTTCTCAAACAATTGAGACGTACTTTGAAATGGCTTTGTTAGAATAGTATTTATTAATTCAAAGATGAATTTCCTAATTTATATGTGTAGACTTTAACAATGGCACAATATAAGCAGATTATTGTTTAAATCTTCGGTTTAGAAAAATAAACGCAAGAAATAAGAGAAAATATTATTGAAACTGACTTTCATATCTGAAACATTTGCTGCATTAAACTAATTTGTCATTTCTCATAACAAGAAGCAATAATAACAATGAGGATTTAATCAAAGCCGTGTGTCCATAAAGTACAAAATAGTGTACAAGGTAAATTTGTCAGCAGAAAATGGAATATCAAATAGACGTGAAAACGGAGTGAATCGTTCTATGTGAAAGAAGGTGTAGAGACTCATAATAAAATCCATGAGAACGGACCATTCACATTTCTATATAGCTAATCAGACATACAAAACGTGCGTGCAATTAAGGCTTTCAATGAATTTTGTGATTTAAAATTACACTTACTACCGCACAGTGTCACGACATTTTAATGACATGTGCATACTCGGGCTTTAGTTGTGTACATTTTTATTGATGAATATTAAATTAGCCACATTTTGAAAACTCGTCACAGTGCTACCCATATCAGTGAAACAATATATTGTATATACGTTATTTACCCGTTTTTACAAAAATATCCATCATGGTATTAAAATTCGACAAACGTTACGTTGTCCCATAAATAAAATTTCGTTAGGTATTCATAATACAATATGCATTGCAATAATGTCAAAAATATAATAGTTATTAATATTATGAATGTAGTCGTAACTGTGAAGAAAATCCTCCTTATTTACGTTTAATTATGGGTAAATCGATATATATCTTAAAAAAGTTAATTAAAAATTCAAGCGTCTAGTAACGATTAATATTCTATTATTCTGTATGACAAAATCGCGTTGTGCATCTCGTATTTTTCTGACTTAAGAAACGGGTAAAAGTTATATAATTAATTAAAATTAATTTATTAAATTGTTCACATCGGAACACAAAGTGTTTATTTCAATGAAGCATCGAGATGAGAATTGTTATTCGCTTACCAGCTTCCTATTATAATCGTTTCCATATACTTCGCCTTCTAAGCACTCATCCCACATTACAATCGACAGAGGAGGCTCACTTGTTGAGTGACTCTGGCGGTACGTGCTCGCACCCGGGATATAAAGCCTATATAACTAAACAAGAAAATATAAAAAAAAGAACTGTGCTTTTTAGTGAAGATGTTAAAGTACTCAGTGAAAAAATACTGCTCCGAGGGCAGCAAAATTAATCAGATCGTCGTCGCTTTTTTTAGTAAGTTTTTCTTTTTAATTTTCATAATCTTTTTAGTTCTACGTTGTGATCACCTTATTTGTGTTTATTGAGGAATATTATATATTCGATATAAATTTAATACTTGCATGAAAACGCTAGTAAATTATTTAAATTTAGAACTTGTGGAAGATATGGTTTTTGATGACATAGGAGGGACTCGAATTGCTAGACCGCTGTTTGACATGATTCAGCGTGTAAAGTAGTAAATCTACACAAAATACTGGTTTAATTTCTATAAGCTTTCACATACTCACCTTAGAAAATTATAAAAGCAAAAAGACTTTTACTTTAGTAAATCGAAAACAATTAAAAATATTAATTAACAACATATTGTTAAAGTAGGTATTCTATAAACATTCGTACATCATATAACAATGATTGTCGAGTGTAAATCAAAACTATCATAAATCTTAATTCAAACAGACAAGTCGTATGTGTTTTCTATATTAATTTGAAAAAAGCTATCCGGAGACATTGTGCCTTTCGACATTCCGTGCGTTTTATTTCAGCTTTGTTTAATTTAACATGTAATAAAAAAATTACACGAGAATGCCAAAGTACGAGATATTAGGATGTTTCAATATTTAATGAATTGGTATTAGACTGCGGTACTGGGTTCAAATTTCGGTGAAATTTTATAAATTGCGTCCTTATGTTTGTTAATTTAATCTATGTGGTGAAAAATTATCTATATTCAACTATAATTGATGTGAAAAAAAGGTGGCCTATGTTTTTCTAAAATCAGGTCTTTGCATACAAAAAAACACAAACCAGAACGAACACGTTTAACAGTGTACAATGTGAGTTTTGTTAAGTTTCAGTTTTAAACGTGACCCGACGTTTTAGAAGCTTTACAACTGTGGTAGCGGAAAAACGGAATTCGATAGTAAACTTTGAATAGAATACAAACGCTTACCTTATTCTGTTCAATAGACTTTATGTAAGAACAACAATTGTTCTTACACAAATTAATTACACAGAACATTAGGTTTAATATAAGGCTGGGGGCAATGGAGTGTACAGGATTTAACTTGACAATAAATAAATGAAAACCGCATTTATTTACAACTTAAGCACGATTTGCAGTAAATATAAAGACGAAGTAAATAAGCAAAATTGGTGGCTATACTTAGTAATTGAATAAATTAAATACCTATAGCTTGGACAATTTTAAGCGTAAAATGTAGAAATGGAAGCAAACCTTACGCTAAGATTAGAACTAACATGCTAGGTTGACAACACTTAATTAAAGTGTAAATATAAAAGTAAAAGCGGCATGGCGGTAATGAAAAAATACAAAAATTATTTTGTTTCGAGTCTCACCAATAGAATTTTATAAGTAAACCTTCAAATGCGTGCAAGGAGATTTATTTCATCAAAGATTGAGGCTCACGTCGCTTGCGCAATGATTGCCCTTAAAATGATCTATGTCTCTCTTTTAAGAGTAACTCGTAAGAACGGTAGGACGCGGGCGACGTCGTGGATAACAGCTAGAGTTTATAGCTATAGCTATAAAATATGATGCCTGATGGCCGAAGTCATCGGCACAGCTAGTCATGAAATAATCTTCAACAACAGCAAGGAACTTCAACTCAGCCTATTTTTACTTCATAGCGTAATAACACACTGTTATGCGAAGATTGTCATTCTGCAATTATATTCTCATCATACATTAATAGAGGCTTCAAGACATTTTTTGCTACTGTTTTCTACGCTTATCTCCTTTTAAACCCTAACGACAAGTGAAGGGTATTTGAGGTTTAAAGATTCCTTTGAAATATTAGATTTAACCTTTAGTTAGGTCATATATTTTCGTAACGCCTGCATGTTAGGGTATTTCTTATAAGTGAGAAAGTTTTTCAGCTTATATCCAACATGCTTCTCCAGTGCTTTCTTTCTTATGATAAATGAGGACAGTCAAGCATGATTTCACCTGATGGAAGCTGCCCAGCCATACAACATCTGAACGAGATACGCTGTCCATCTATTTTGGCTTTGGATATTCGAAAATCCACAGATTAAAATAGAAACGTGATAAAACTGTACAGTTCTTTATCTTTGGACGATGATTCTTGTTCCGGACGCATTTACGACGATCCTATCACCAATTTAATATCCAGTATTCGATACTATATCCAAAAATGTTTCATAAAAATTATAAATTGATTTGAAAAATGTTAATTTTTAGCCATACATTGCCATTCTACTAGCATACTTCGGCTTGGTCTGTCTTAAAAAGCTCCAAATATTTTAGTTGACTCGAGGTTCGAACACTGGATCTTGTTACCGATATGATGTAGTTACCGCTAGACCAACGAGACTTCCTAATATGTTATAACTCACCAATTATTTGTGTTAACATTAATATTCGGCAATTTTATAATATGGAGTCTAACTATAATATTTATGACACGTTATTTTACATGACGGCCTTGTATGAATTAAAAATCTACTTAGATTCTACCAACTACCGTGACAGATTGTAGATGAATAGCTTAGAGTATGGAACGCTGTGTGTCCTGGTTCAAATCCCACCCGAGTTGTTTTTTTTTACTATTGAGTCTTTTGTTACGGATTGTACCTATGTTACCTTAGTGTGACGTAGGTGACCACACAGATATTTCCGTTACTAACAGACACGTGTCTGTACATATCACTTATCTTGAGACATATATGCTTTGTTTCATTAAAATCGTATTCAAAAATTAGAGTAATTAATGAAAAAAAAAATCGTTTATGCCGCAAGTAAATTACGTATAAAGGTAACCAAATTGAAAAATCAGTTTTCTATCTGTTAACTTAAAATTTAATATTTATTATTCTTTTAATTATAATAGTTTAGTAATAAAATAAATCAAGAAGTCACTTCTCCGTGCAAACTAAGTGGTTGTCATAAGTTAATACGTATATTAAAAATTCAAGCTGTAACTCTACATAACTTTACGTTAACCAAACCAGCTTTGTAGAATTACGGTTTAGTTTTATTTGCATATTTTGTTAACTCAGTGGAGATGATATCTCCGGAAAGCGAAGTTCATTTTGACCTTAGACGAATTTAAAGGTTAGGTACTTACCTATTGGTGTATTCGACATCAGTAGGTATGTCTATCTTCGTTCTAAAGTAATTACTCTTTTTATTAAAGCCATTTGACCCACAAAGACATTTATTATTAAAATATCGATAAATATAATATTTCTAATAATATTTTATTTTAAAACTACGGTATTTAAGGTTTATTTATTTTACAATATTAAAATGCAGCAGGTTCTTCGTTTGCTCATTGGCCTGTGGTGGGTCTTGAAAAAACTATTTTTAGTGTCGTTCATCGTAGTCTGTGCTTTTTCCAATATATACAATCTTTAAAATTACGTTTCCCCCTCCACGGGACACGTGGCAGACACAGTTCTACGAACGTTGCACTGAATCTGATCTACCTACAGCTAAGTTGCTCAGACTCTTATATCGCGGAACTAAAATGAACATTTTTCACCTGAACTCGAATTTCTAGGTCAGAAGTTTGAATTCAGGTAATCTCATTTAACCATAAGGCCGTAGGTACCCACGAAGCCGGTAATCCAGATATAATAATACTATTTATTATATATCTATATTATATATAGAATTATAGAAAATAAAACTTATATTAATCAGTTAAGGCTATAGTCCTTTGTCGTTAAATAGACTAACGATTCTCACATAGGCGCCGATTAGGATGAGTAACCGTTATCTTAATCGTAAGTAAATGATCATAACATTTACTTCACTCATAACACGGTAATTATACTTAAAGTGTGTAAAAGTTGTTCATTGATGTGCTACTGAGGTCGCGAACCATTAAAAAAATAATTTATTAAGTAATAATTTTCGTAGTTAATATTAGTTTATAAAAATGCCAGAATTGTGCTTTTTCAAACATTATGCTTGTAACTAAATACAGAAACTGTTATTATAATTGAGAGCATAAACGAAATCGAAGACATTAGATCAAAGCCACGACAAATAACGAAAAACTAGGTTCATACAGGCATAGGTACAAATCTCGCCTGTGTCATCGACATTTAATCCAAAATACGTAGAGTTACTACCGCGTAGTAAAGGGCCCTTAATTGTATTGTTTTTAAGAGCACGTGGTAATATAGGCCAGCGAATTGTTCTTGACTTGACTTCTTGTAAACAAAGTCTTTGCTGAATTGATTTATTTCATTCATTTGTTATTCGTTTGATGACTCATTCAAATGTTATTGAATGGTGTTCTTGTTTTAATATATCAAAACCCAGTATTCAAGTGTATTCGCAACTGTTAATAAAGTAAAAGTAAATAATAAAGCTTTCCTTTTTTTTCTTTATGACATCTTTCTTGACTGCCAGTGTTAAGGGTAAAAGTCGATATAGTTTATGTTGAAAGAAATTAACAATTAGGTATAGTTTTTTGTTTTCTTTTTCTATAAAATACTGTTTAAATGTCTAATGGTAGTAATGTATGTATGTAGGTCGTGTATTCTATAACTACCGACATGTTTCTAATCAATTTATTTTTTGTTCTGAAATTCGTAAGACTTCGCTTAGAAATCCGGATAATTAATGGGTGGTATAGAAAATTCAGTGTTCCATTTAGTTAGTGAATTTTCGAATATTAAAAGCCTAAATACATAATACCTACATCAGACATAGGTCGGCAAGATATATAGATGTGGTATCTCATCTTCTATCAAGTTAACCCCGAGCCTGTATGTCCTCCTATATCACAAAAAAGAGTACAATGAAAATGACATCCCCTATCCCCCTTAAACACAAGACTACTATCATTAATAAGATTGATTAATATGAAACACAATATTTATCAACCAGCATCTAGAAACATCTCCAACCAATAACTTCTCAATGAAGGAACAGACTCTTTTGATGCGATGCTACTGACCCGTGAGACGCAGAATCGTTGACAATTATGAACAATTATTAACTTAAAGGTTAAAGGCATCGAGCGATTTTACGCCAATAATAGAAGTTAACAAACTTGTGACGTTATTATTGAATTATGTTTAGACTAATTTAGTCTCCCCGTGATGGCGGCAGAAACATCCAAAACTCGTTAAAAATAAACGAATATAATTATATCGCATTTTGGACCGATAAACGGTTAAAATTTAAATGCGTCCAGTTCCGATTTCATTATAAACGGATTCATATATATGCCTGTCCCATGGCAACATGGGAACATCGGTTAGCGGGTGATTAAATATTGTTAAGATATAAACTAGTGTGCCTCTCGTGTGGAATGTTAAACATCCGATGTGGACCGATCACCAAAAACAAAGAGTAAGAAGATCGGTATCCCTGCGAGAAAATAATAATAATAAAGTGTCCACCTCAGGATAATAAAATGAGAATTTAAGAGGCTGTCTCAGTAACGCGTTACATAACGAAGCGACTTACCCTCCCATACCCTAATTTAAAAACCTTTTTTTTATTAATTTATGCCTTGAACGTGTCGAATGTCGAATTTCGCTCGCATTTCAAGGACCATGGTCATCAGAGTTCATTGGCAATGAACATAGTCCAATTGTAACAATGTTGTCAGCAATTAATTGATCCGTTGCTGCACTGATTGTTATGCAATGCAGTCATTTATTACGTCATCGGTGTCGGATGTCTTGTTGCGCGTGTAAATAATATTTACGTTAAATAAGTTTAAAGTTACAGAGGGCTCAAAAGTGGCGCGAACTGGTCCGTATAAAGATACTCTTAGCGTTGCCCAGCTTGTTCCTTTGCTTGAAGGCTTGCCGCGCTACCGCGTGTCTTGATTCATCACCGCAGAGCTCTTAAATTTAATTTTCTTTATTCTTAAGTATAATTCAAAAAGTTGGATAAGAGCTTGTTGTAATTATCCTAATCCATTTTAAAATGATATAGCAAAGATTTTAAATTTCTAGAAATGTAGAAATTCTGTGCTTATTATTTTTGATACATAAGGCAGATAAGCATGAAGCACTTTATGAAAGGTGAAACACTTCAGCCTTATAACATCTAAACAAGTTGCTCAGTTTACGTTTGGCTTTGGATATTTGGAAATCCACAGATTAAACCTGTGACCTTTTCATCTGTGGACGGTGGTTCATGACCCGGAAGGAATTTCAATATTTCTACCACCCATTTAATATTTACACTTGCTATAGAAATGATGTTCATGATTAATAACGGCTTTTGTTTTACAGTGGTGTTGCCAGTATTCTCCTACGGCACCGGAGTGGGATGGATGTCGCCGATGGGTCCGCTGCTCATGTCTAATGAAAGCCCGGCAGAGCAACCGGTACATCCCGATGTCGTTTCCTGGATGGCATCTGCCGCTTATTTAGTGGGAACGCCGGCGGTTTTCCTCTTTGGATATATCGTTGATAACTATGGGCGAAAGAAGGCATTAATGTTGACATCATTGTCTATGGCTGTAGGTATTTATAAATAATAGCTAAACAACGTTTATTTTTATGGGAGTGGGAATATTAGCTAAGGATTAATTAATTATAGATCATACGATTACTATGGTTCTTATACATATTCTTGTGACATCTGTGGATTAATGGTCTTTCCATCTAGTGGTAGACCCAGTATCAAATAATGGTTTACAACAGAGCTAGGTGGGCATCGAAACAGATGACCCATTTCGATTCCCATAACCTACGGGACTAACAAGCGTCACAAAACCTGCAGGAAACGTATATAAGTCAAGATGAACAATGACTCTAAAATTGTGATCCTGGGCGGACATCAAATTTTATTGAATTTGTCAGCCGTATCCTCTAAGATATCAAAGGCAAATTAATTAACGTAAATCGAACCTCTTAACACGAGCTGTGCGTTCACCTTTTACATTTAATATCGAGGAAATTTAAAATTCCGTTACAAGAGTCTGCTATATTATGTAAAAATTTTGAATGAGTATGAATCCGTCTATAAAAATCTTTAAAGATCCATTTCAATCATCGATTTGTAATATAAACCTTAACAAGTGTACTATTTGCGTTGACTAATACTTACAGACAGAACTTGATCGATTTTTTTTAATAAAACAATTTGAACGGTTTAAAACACTAAATGTATTTATTAAACTTATTTACAATTTCTTTGACTTGGATATTAGTTGCTGCAAAACATCCGAAACTTCGGGCCCTAGTTTAATTGATTTGGTGGGGATTATTACCCAACATTGCTACTTTTACATTACACCGGCGAGCCCGTGCAAATTATTTTTGAAAGCATAATTATTTTTTTAGGTCTGCTGGAGCTTGAAGTTGTACTCGACAGAAACCTGGGCCCTAATCACAGCGCGGGCTATAGTGGGTTTTGGTGTGAGCGGCTCCTATGTGGTCACACCTTTATACATCAAGGAAATTAGTGAAGACTCGATACGAGGGACGCTGGGAAGTCTCGTCGTCCTCTCGCAGAACTTGGGAAACTTGGCCGTGTATTTGCTCGGAGAATATCTGAGTTACCACGCGACTTTGTGGATTTGTTTGGCTGTACCACTGATACATTTGCTGGTGTTCTGTACGATGCCTGAAACGCCGTCCTTTCTGTTGAAGACGGGGAAAGTTGAGGTAGGCGTCAAACTAATTAATTGATATCTTGAATCCAGCCCCTTCAAGCCCACAATCAACAGCGTACCATGCTGTTGGGCTTATTGGTAGAAAACCAACAGTATATCACAAAATATATGACCCACATCTCTTTTATTTTATAAAAAAGCTGTGCAATATTTAAATAAAACACTTTACCGTTTTAAAACGCGAAATATATTAGTTAAACTTATTTGAAAATTATTTTACGTGCGGCGCGACCGCGACGTTTCGGAATTGCTGTGATAGCGGTGGTCACGAATATATCTCGCGTTTTAAACCGTTAAAATGTTTTATCTACATGTGTACTTCTCGCCTAAGTTACAGACAGTTTTAAAGTCTATCTTTATTATACAATATTCATTCTATACACCATAAGCTATTGATCCAAACATTATCTCGAAATATGGTCTCACATTTGTATAATTTTATTGAATACTATCCAACTTAAATAAAACTAATGACAGGTCGTTTAAATAAATTTAACATAAATTACGGTTATTCATGTTATAATAAATTTCAGGTATTTCAAAGATAATACTAATATATATATTAAGCGGGGTCTGTCTAATGAATGCGTTCCTCTAGGAGGCTCGTGACGCGCTAGCGTGGCTGAGATGTCGCCAAGTGACAGATGCAGCGGTTGAAAGTGAACTGCAGCTGTTGCTTTTGGAATTGGAGCATAGTAAACCGACAAGATTTTTCTCGACATTCAAAGATATAGGTTTGTATTAATAACATAACATTATCAGCGATCACACGTATTAAAAAAATATAACATTTATTAAACGCTTTTACGGGCTCCTTAGTGTAATGTTAGCAATATGTGTTAGTGTAATCTAAGGTTAACAATCAAGGGTTGTGGGTTTGATGCCCACCGAGTCCAATATTTTTCTACTTAATTTATAATTATTCTGAAACATGTTGGACTACTAATTAAATCTTTATATTAAATGGGTGATAGGAATATAGAAAATTTTGACCGGGTCACGAAACACCGTCCACAGTTGAAAAAGCCGTGAAGTTTAATAGTATTTCGGTTTTAGTCTGTGGATATTCGAACATCCTAAGCCAAAATCGGCCAACAGCATGTTGACAGAGATGTTATATCGCTGTGTTATTTCACTTACTATTTATTAAACATGGGGCTTAATGAATGTCTTTCTTGTCCGTGGCCCTCTATCTTAAAAACTCATAAAGTGACAAAAAAATAATTTTTAATTCAAGTGTTACACATAACACAACAATAAATAAGCATGAAACTTACCTAGGACACAATATGTTCTACATTCATATTTGTAATAAGTTCGTATCTACGCAAATTTGTAATCTATGTCATGTTAACAGCAGTAACATAAAGTAAACTATCGTTAACGGGACGTCAAAGTGGACGCTAACAATTCGTTCCCAGGGCGTCTAGTAACGAATGTTCAAGTGTTTGTATACGGTAACGATCAACAGGGATGTACTTTAGGCCTTCATTCGAAATCGAATTTATAAACAATTCCCTGTACCAATATTCTTTATAAAGATTTACGTTGGCGAAAAATTATCTTTCTATAATAAATCAACTCCACGTTAAATGACTTTTAATAATCTTAAGCAAAGTAATATCCATACCTATATAAATGTCTAGTAATTATATCACATTTATGTATGCTATTTCTTTGTTAACATCTCTTGTTTTTACAAGTACCTTGAATTAGTCTTGGTCATTTATTTTTTCTCGTTTAGCATATTTGTAATAAATATAAATCTGTTTTGTCAATATGTAGAGTTACAGCAGTCCTGCACGTGTCAGTGATTTTTTTAAAATTTGTAATAGATAAATAAAGCATTTGTAAATGAAAATAAGATTGTTTTGTAATAGTATATTATTATATAACTTATTATAATATCTTGTTTAATATTTTAAATTTTACTCATGATTTTGATTCACACTATAACGAGATGCGATTTTTTTTAAATCAAAGCTTAATTCGGCCCTGGCCACACACGTCACAATGTTTAAGCACCTGAGTGGTTCGGAAGTGTCGTGATTTCGGTAAAGCTTGACCGGTTTCTGTGGACATAACTGTTTAGGTATGGGGATTATGGATGAGGTATAGGCGTTTAACACAGCTCCTTTGTTGCTAGTGCTGTTATGTTTATAGGCCAGTAAGCGAGGTTTAGTTTAGTAGTTACGCTTCCGCGAGCAAACAGATTTAGTAAGCTTTGTTAGCTGATTGGAACTTACTTTGTTCACAATTGAGTTTAATAAGTAAATACTAGAGATGACTATTGCAAATTTCAAATTTAATATTTAGTGTGGTCGATTTTAATGGATTTAAAATATAACACTTTTAAAGAAGATCTGGCGTTTCGGATGCTTTACATAAGATACGTGACGAGAGTATAACTTTATATAGTTGAAAGTTGTTTTATTGAAATCCGTAATATTAGCGAAAACTACTAACACACGTAGAAAACTTTAATATTTTATCCAACTGAGGATGCCGTTCATGTCCGCGTCATAATTTTTTTCTTATATACACAATGTTTATTTTTATTAACTATAAAAACATCGTGTCAAAAATATAACATAAATAGCATGTAGAAAATAATTATGTTTCAAACATTTTACTTCAGCTCATTTTTAATTTATTCCTTTGTTACCGTAACGAAATAATCTTGTTACAAAAATTAATTGTAAAACCGTGAGTTGTATGTATGTGTGTTCTTTACACATTTTCTATTACGGTATTCTTTATTATGGCGTAGTTATATAATTTATTCGTTTCTATTGTGTACCTATGCCAAAAGATTTATGTTGACTATTAAATTTTTTTTTTATTGCTTGTCAATAATGAATAATGAGTTGGCTATAGGTGTATGAAGGAAAAGAGAAAAAACTAAAGTCTTAAAGCCCTAATCGGGTTCCAAATGTAGTATGGTCGTTAGTTCGATTTCTGGACGATATTTCATTAGCGAAACTGCATGTTTAATCAAGATCGATGTAAAAAGTACAAGTACCTTCTTTTTACTTGTTGTTGGGTACTTCTAGAATTTGTAATATACAGCATCGATCATAGAGCTTATAGGTTCGTCTAGAATGTACGGTACGCTGTTTGGTCGTGGATTCGAGTACCGCATGTATGGTTTACTTTTCTCCGATAAATTTTCACATTAACTGTAGATTTGCGTTTGAAAATTTCAATATTTACCACCGGCGAGACTTACATCGGCATCCACGGCAGTCCTTTCTGCTGCTCTAACCAATTGAGCTACCGTTAAGCGTCATTAGTTTACCTATAATATAAATAATTACTGTGAGAAATGTAATAAATTTTGGTTAAACTTATGAATAAATGCCGTGTGCTCACACGCTATGAATGTCGCTTCAAGTCCCGTTCGTGTCGTATTTTTTTTTCAATCACAGTCGATTCTTAATGTACAATTCCGTTTTCAGTATCAAACAAATGTACATTCCGTGCATTCCGGATCACGCTAATAATTACGGTTGCGCGTGAGTTGTGCGGGTGTCTTGCTGTTCTGCACTTTGCGTCGACGATCTTCAGTAAGGCCGGTGGAGGCTTAGCGCTGACTCCGAACCAACAGGCGACCATATTGGGTGCTGTCCAATTGGTCGGTTCCTGTACAGCGTCCAGTCTTGTTGAGAAAACTGGCAGGAAGGTATTGCAAATTTGTCTATACTGATGTTAAGAAGTTGAAGAGTTTGTTTGTTTGAACGCGCTAATCTCAGGAACTACGTGTGTTGGTCTCTGACCAATTTTTTAGGAAGGATAAATAATAAGAGAGAAAAGAAAGTGGAAAATGTGAAAAAAAAGGGGAAGTGTATACTTTTTGTCCGCCTCTATAGTCAACTGGTTAAACGTATTGGTTAGCATTGCGTTATGCGCGAGAGGTCCTGGGTTCGAACCCCAGGGAAACAAAAAAAAAAGTTGTTCCGGTCGGGTAGGGCACAAAAGTCCGATCTTGCCTGTTTAAAAAAAACGGATCAGTAAGACTAACACAGAAAGATGAGGTTTAAATAACTATATTTGTGGGCGAAGGCACATCTAGTAGGTACAAGATATATCTATGGATTTCCAAATGTTCAAAGTCAAAATAAGTTGGCAGCGTATCTTGTGAAGACGTTGTATGGCTGGTATTTCATCTTAATCATGTAAAATCTATGCTTGTATGATCTCTTCTAAAAATTTATCCCTGGTTCATATTATCTAAAATAAGTTTTAAAATTTTCAGCCCCTCTTAGGCATGACATGTTTAGTGTCAGGCATCGCTCTAACAGTCCTGGGAGGTTGGTTCTTCGCGGAAACGGAAGCTGTAGCCTGGTTGCCAATATGCGCGCTTTGCTTATGTATCTACTGCGATGCTGCTGGGTTACAACCAGTTCCATTTGTCATCATGACTGAAATGTTTTCCTTCCAGGTGAGTTTGATAACATTTTGAAGTACGCTGTTTATTACCTCGGCGAACTCGCTGGTAGTAATCAATTGGTCGTGAGTTCAACATTTTTCTAGACAATTAATTTTTTTGGAACATGTTGGTCTTCGTCTGGAAACCTGGATATTAACATCTGTATAAAATATGGAAGGAATTGGTGATGGTAATGGGTGTATTTATAATTAATACGATTGCGTGCTTACGTATATTGATATTAAAAAACTTTAAATTTCATTAATATTCGAAAAAGTAATCCATAATATCGAAAAAATAAAAACTAATTTATAGGTAAAATTATTACGTCTTTTGTTAATTCCAACCTCATTAGAATATATTAAAAATGTATTTTGGATTATGAAAATTACCGCACACCTTTGCTTTATTACATTTGATTATTTAAATAAAACACTTTAACGGTTTGAAACGCGATATATTAGTTAACCTTTTTTGGAAATGATTTTTACTTTCTGCCCGACGTTTCGGATGCGTTTTAAACCGTTAAAGTGTTTTATTTAAATGTGTACTACTCGCGTAAACTATAGACAGTACTTATTTACATTTGATTAGCATTGTTTGACACAGTGCGTTTATATTATTTAATACATTTTACGAGTATCATTTATTTTCAGCATCGTGGGACCGTCACATCGATTGTGATAGCGTTTGCGTGCGCGCTAGTCTCCATAGAACTGCGAGTGTTCCAGCCTCTATCTACGGCAGTGGGAATATTCTTAGTTTTCTGGTTGTTCGCTGGAGTCTGCATCATCAGCACAGTGTACATTGCCTTGTATGTCCCCGAAACTAAGATGAAAACGATGGACGAGATTCACGAACTGCTCAGAGGCAAGAAAAAGGATGAAGAATCAGCGGTCACTAAGTTGTAACTTTAATGTAATATGTCGCTACGTTTAAACCTAGCTTGGTTTCAATTGAGGTTTGTGGATAGCCTAGTGAATCGCCTATGATATTTGTTTTATTAAGGAAGTATGCTTATATGGGTTTTAGAGTCAGAGATCTCTGTTTTCAACTGCAGTTACATCTGTATTCAACTACACAACAGAAAAAAAGGGTTTTGGATGAGTGATTACAAATTCATACTATGCAATGCCTTATCTATACGAATAGTGTATTTTTTAACTTGGAGCAACAAATAAGGCCGATTTTTTTTTTAAGTTGTTGCCACATATGGTACATCAATTATATATGGACCAAACGACCTTAATACTCAAAATCACTTTTATCAAGCCCTTTTTTTGTCTTATATCATTTATTATTATTTAACTCGACGTTTGTGACGCTTTCTATTGTCCTTGACTTTGCTAGTAATAGGATGGGATGTATCCCATCCCTATGTAAATGTCAAACTAAAAAAAATGTAATCTGTCCATTTTTGTAAATTAATTTGTAAGGATTTTTATTAATTTCGCATGAAATTGCTTTTTTTTACGTAGTTTCATTCGTTTAATAATATATGAGTAATCCCGTGTTTAATGTGTTTTAGTGTAAATCAATGTAATCTCTAAGAAAATCACGATTTCTAGTAAATTGTGTGTTTAATTACGAAAAATGTTAAGTTAGAAAAAATACACTGTAGTAATAACACCCTAATCTACAAAGATTTTAGATGCCATAGTTATATGAATAGAGTTTTTGACAGTGATTGGATTAAGATTGCTGAACGTTATTAAAATATATACCTATGAAATTGTTACTGAAAACTATACTGGTTCAATACTAATCGCTGGGGATTATAGGTTTCGTTCGCAGGTTGCGCATGTGCATAAATGTAAATAGTCAAAATAAAAATATAAAGGAAACGTCTGTATATATTAAATATAATTAATAGTAATTTATCGTGTAGATCCAAATAAGCGATCTCTTCGGAGTTAATGGAAAAGTGTTTACTTTTTATACAGAGTGCCGGGAAAATTTTTAAATAAACTCAAGTGTGTATACTCACGGTCGGTATACTTCAGGGCTACAGTCTGATGTTTCTGATAATCTACTCGGCCTATTTTAATGAAATTATTGATAATTCTATCGGCGCCCTTTGGTTGTATTTAGTGTATGAATGAAATTAAAAATGTATCAACGTTTCGGATGTTTTATTGCAGCCGTGTTCACGGGTCTTTACAATCAATTCAGCGTTTAATGTTTGATTATATTGTGTTAATGAAACTTGACGAGCTATTAAAGTACTTTAGACATTAACAATGGTAGATGTGATTGCACTTGGTTGGACATAGTCTGCATTTTAATGTATTAATTGTTGTATCTAGGGTATTATTAAATTGATTATTATAAGTTTGTATTTTAATGCTACACACGGTGTTTTAAATATCCTGGAAACTAAAATTGTATAAAGTTTGATGATAGTATTATTAGTCTGGTATTTAACTGTTAAAAGACTAAGTATTTTTTTTCTGTTCACATTGTTTTCAACATATTTAGATTATGTTACTGATATGAACAGAAATCTCTTGAAAGAAAAAGCTCACGCAAACATTTTAAATTGATGTACTTGTACGGAATTTAAATAACCTCTTGAAATCTACTTTATTGTGATTAAATAATAATATTTGTAATAAATGAATATAGATTTAGGTTCATCATTTATTTGTTACAGATACCTTTTGGTGGGTAGAATGAAAAAACAAGTCACAAGCAATGGAATGTTTATAATTGCAATGACACAATTGTTACAATACAATATAATGATAGGCTATAAGTTCATATGAGAATCGCGATTTTGCTTTTTTCATCATTCGTTGCTATCACAACCCAATTTACTTGCTAGCCAGTATTAGCAAGTTTTTAACAAAACACTTGAATCAACCGTTTATGCACATAACCAATCTCTACAGGTATTATTTTATGAACTTGTGTAAATTTCTAAAAATAACTACAATTTTTTGTTATACAAAGATGATAAATTAACTAACTCATAAATCTACCGTCATTTTCTAAATAGTTCACCAGCGCCACCTATCATTTAGAAGCAAAACCGCGTTCCTTCATTTTATACACGATTACAAACACCGCATAGATACAATAATACAAATTTTACATGTGATCTAACGTATACAAAATCGTTATCATAGAGAATTTTTGTGCCGCATGCTATAAATAGTCGTATCCCTTAACTATCAAGTAGCCTAGAACAGTATGAAATCTATCACGGTATAAAAAGGGTAGTTTTCAAAATACATTTTTTTTACTTTATTTCAACTGGTAAATTTTAATATGAAGACATTGGAAAATGTAAAATTAAGTAACGTCCTTAACCTAATTATGTCTAAGATACTTTGGAGTGAAAATAAATTCCTAAGTTAAAAATCACACATCACGGCAAGATGTAACTTTAATATTGCACTTAAAATGATATGACGTGCCTTATGACTATGAAAATCGCATAAACGCTGATAAAATATAAGTACAAATAGCCTACGTACTAAGAATTAACGCAACAAAATCGTAAAAAAGTAAAAAGTGCAAATATAACATTTTTCGATGAAAAAAGTGTGTTCATGTAAAATTAATAAAATAACAAATAAGTGTAAAAGTAGATGTTGTGATATTCTTTTAAATTGAATTTAATTACCTGTACATAATGCTATAGTCGAAATTGATATTGTACAATTCTAGCTCCTAGAAAATCGATTTCATTGTTTCGATAAACATATAAAATATTATAGTTCAACAATAAAATAGGGAATAGTAGCCTATGTTTTATTATTTTAATAATATTATAAAACATTATAACATTTACTATTGGGGGTAGATGGATAAAAGATAGACAGACATCTTCGGTACATAGTTTGGATTAAAATTATCTTTTGGTATTTCAGAGATTATATCGGTGGAAAAAAAAATTGGTTTAGAAAATCAGTCTTCGGAAGGCGTCATACCTAAGTTGTCTATAGACAACTATCGTTGCACATGATATTCATACAAGAAGATTATTCATATGCGGTCTTTATTTAATTTGCAAAAATGTTTCACGAAAAAAACAAACTAAATAGATCTAATAGGATAGTTTTATACTTGTCTCTCTCACTCATACTTGTTTACCTTCACAAATCACAAATATTCAAAGCTTGACAAGGCCAAAGGATAATACTAAGCTTTGGCTAAATAAAAAGGGATACACTGAAATGGGAAGAGAAAATTGACATTTTTGTACACTTCGGAAGGAATTGACGACTGGAAGACAGAAAGGGATCGATAGATATGTAATACAGGAGTGTTTTACCACGAACTAGTTTTTTTTTAATTTATGATCTTAAAGAACTCTGAGTGTAGTTAAAATAAATTAACATTATAATATTTTATATATAAAGGAGGGTCATCCTACACTTTAAATTAAGTAAATGCGCCGCAAATTACGTCCCTATTAGGAGAAACAGACGAGACAAAAGACCTCGAAAACCAAGTCTTTTAAAAGTCCACTGTGTTCATTTGGACGGCTACTATTTAGAAGATGATCTGAGTTGTTCGATACGATACAGACATACACAGATTACGATACATACGATACGAAGAATGAGATTTTATTAACGTAGGGTAACGAATCAAGGTCTTAATACACAAACATTATTAATGTAATATAGACACTTTTCTTAGTTAAATAGCAAACGTACGATACACATTTCTACTTTATACAATAATGACTAGCCGATATATGCCAAAATGACTAATTTAGGTGGTTATATAATTTTAAGTATCGTTTTTTATAGGTTTGTTTAGTAATTGTATCTGCGGCGGTCTGTGGAGTTTCCATATTTGACAAATATACGTGTTCCACAGACTATGACCATTTTTGTTATAGAATCTATATGGATATGTGACATTTGTGATTGACAAGTGATGTGACAAGTTACATAAGTACAAATATTAATTTAGATGAAAATATTATGCGCGGAAACCCATCTGATTATACATAGGCTTAACGGAATCTAGTGGCTTCCTTATTTGTTTAAAAGATTAAAGTCATACCAAATCTAACATAAGACTTGACTAAAAGCTGTCTATTTCACTAGAGGGCGCCACTTTTAATAGAAATGAGTTAAACATGCATTCCCTACTACTTTATAAACTAAATACATTTTGCGTGAGTCTAAAAATTCCTATTGCGTTCTCAACGAAGTAACAAAGATACATCTGTGATATTATAACGATGAAGTCTTTTAGGTTGTTGCGACCTTTTAAATTGATTCAACAAATTCATTTTTATCATAGTGCCTTCACAAAATATAATACATAGCACGATGGTACTATGTATATAGTGTGACTTACACGGCTATGTACGAGGAAAATAGTGACCCGTGCGCGCCGGCAACGGGGGCGGTGTGTCCTGAAAAATATGTATTATTATTATTATTTTTTGTTCCTTTGTGTAGGAAATAAGGCATATTAATGAAATCAAAAATTAACAGACTTTAACTGGGACTTAACTCCAAACAATATAGGTTGACACTGTTAACTTCCATCAAATGATCTCTTGCTTATCTGTGTTCCTTTCTCATAAAAAAGTATCAATACGTCTTACTTAATTGTTGCTTTTTTAATAAAACACACTAAAGTCACTATTCACAGTCCCTACAGCAATATTGTGACATTCACTTTTAGCAACTAAATAAAAATAAAACAAATAAAAATGTGCAAAAAACAAACCTTGTGCAAAACTCATGACTGCGATATCAAACTAGGTGGTAAACTCTGGAAATTAAAAATGCAAAAATAAAGAGAAACAAAGATATAAAATAAAATAAGCTCTAAATGTGTATAAAAGCATTTACTTCTATCATAGTTAGACTAAAGCTAAATAAAGCAAGAATTTAACAAACCTGCACATTATTATCATGGATATAGTGTCTAGGTAACTGTGGGCGAGGCATTGGTTCATCGCTGTCGTCGTCCTCTTCGAAATCTAGAGCAATACAAGATACTTATTAGGAACCGAAACATTATATCACAATCATACAAGGTCCGACATCTGCATAACACTCATTGTAATAAAGAAATCTCGTTTACCCACAAAGGCCATGGCGCGAACACATGTCTGTGACGGCCGAAACAATCTATTATTTCAAGGATTCGGAGGGCCTCCAGAGGGCTTCGTAAAATAAGCTATTTGCGACAGCAAATATCAATTCCAAGATATTTAAAGAACTTTTCTTTCATTAAAAATAAATAGCGCAATAGTCGTTATATTTCACTAAAAATAGTATGATTTGCGCCCAAACTACAAGGCCAATTTTAATTAAATTTTGCAAACATCCTCAGAACCTTGTTAACCACATTCTACCTTAAGTTAGTGTATTAAGGCGACAAAGCTAAAGGGTAAAGAATTCACATAGTTTTCAAAATAACAAGGCATATACCTCCTACAATATACATATAGTAATTATTTAGACTTAAACTTATTTCTCAAACAGCACGGACTACTTAAACTAGCCCGTCAGTCATATTAACTTAGGACCAATGTTAATAGTTATATAGATACTGAACTTCTTTAATATTCTTGAATTCTCATCAACACGTTATCGTTTAACTACGATTATAGAAATTTATTTATTTATAAAGTTGCCACCTCGTGGAGCATGGGCTATTATAGGCAAGTAGTTGTAAAACTTTCCTTGCCCGACCGAAACAATTGTTTCTAGGATTCGAACCCAGGAGCTCTCACGATACGCTTAACTAATGAGCTGTGTCAGCTGTCAAGCAGTCTATTTGTATAATCTTAAATATTTTAAAGAAAATCTAACCATGCAGTTCATGCTGGCACATTTTAATATAGTGTATGCTAAAATATGTATCGCCAAGTAATGAATAACTATGAAAAAAAAAATAAAACCACTACGAACCTCTTTGTTTCCTAGCCTCCATGCTTCCCTTCACCGTGTCTTCCGCATCAGACCCTTCTGCAAAACATTGATAACATAAACAAAACTACAAATGAGAAATAATCTGTAAACAATGTTGTGTTATGTTCTATGTCTGTTAATGTTTAATTATGAACTAATAGTTACATTATCTAAATCAAAAATCTATTTAAATTGAAAAAAAAAGTATGTCACGATTGGTACTTCCAACCAGCATCCATTAAGATGCCATCCGTGCTGCTTCTCTAACCAATAGGTTTTGTATTATTTTAATTTATCGTGTTAAGTAAATAAATAAGTTTAACGTATTACTATTTTTTCAAATCTAGGGTTTAAATATAGGAAGGCATAATTAAATTCCATTTAAAAAGTTTTGTTATGTTTTTCTGTTGCAGGTTTTACATTTAATTCTCTTTTATATGGGATTTAAGATAAAGGACTATATATTTATTGTTATTACTTAAGCAACATTTCAAAGAATTTCTTTCATATGTGTAAACTTTAAAAAGTTAATTCAATAGTTTTGTAACTAAGCTTCACTATTGATCCTATTTTATGTTAACTATCTAATCATGAACGAGTATTGTTTAGTGTGAAAAAAACATGCGTTATGTGCTTAAAGTTCAAACGTACAGACATGCTTTGCCTATCAAGTTAACACCGATTAAGTTGTATTTCAAACCGTTTTTAACTTACCAGAATTCAATTCCCTGACTAGAGTGGACATCGCATTGGTAACTGAATCAGCAGCATACAGAAGGTCGCTTCGTAAACTTCTGTTGTCTATTCCCACTGAAATTAAAAAGTTTTTTTAAGCTTACTAAAACAGTTGCATTCTGATATTTTAATTAATTTAAAGACTATTCGTTATAATTACATATATTATATCAGTAGTTCCCTCAACATTCCCTTGAGGAAGGTTATAAAGGAATTACCAACACGTAGTAATTAAGTTATTTTCGCAACCCGGGTCCTTTTGACAGGAGAGGGGAGCCCCTTAGTGGCAATATATTTTGTACTCACTTGTAGTGGGCCTTTGGTTTTGGTGAAAGCCTCTATTTTCATTACCCATACTTTCCATTCCACCTAAAGTGATAAACAAGTAGATAAGTAAAATTATAATTATGAAATAAGTTTGCAGAAAATATATATCTAATTAATAAATCATTACAAAAAAATATATAAAACATTTAATATAAATGAAAAAATAACCACATTACAGTTATTTTATAAATTAGTATTTATGGGTGAAGTCCTATCCTGGTTTAAGATTTTTAATTTATAACGATGCACATAAAAACACAATATCTATAAAACAAAATGCTCAAGGCTCACCTAAGCTATGGGTCATATCGATTCGTTCCCTTTCCCCGAGAGATGGCGTTTGCGGTGCACTACGCACTGTTCCGCGCGGAGTTGACTCTCTGAAGAAAACCAGTTTTTTGTTAAATTTAAATTTCTCGTATGGTTTTGTGACTTAGAAACCAAGAACATAATTTTTGTGATACACCAATTTGATTAAGAATATACTTTTCAATAAAATATTTTAACAGCAAAAATCGTGTACTTATAACGACGCGACCTTTCCGATAATTTGTAAATAATATGTTTTGTTTTAAAGCTGTAAAATGTTTTATATACTTAATTATATTTTTTAATATCATTGAGATTAGACAAAACTTATTAAGTGAAAACACAATTTAGTTCTTAACACATTATATTTACCTACATGGTTATGACTTAAGAAAATATCAAAATTGGCTTTTATATATACACCGATAATAAGTATGGTAAACATATCAGTGTATGTTTCAGTTCATACCTCTCCTGAGGGGCTGAGGGCATAGGCTGTGACCCTGGTAGAGGTGGACTCTTAGTGGAGCGAGGTGATGAATTCGGAGTAGAACGCGGTGATGATTGTTGTGTCTGAAAATGATGATGTGTATTGTTGATTTGCTATTTAACTATTCAAACCTCCTAGAACACAGATGTAATTCAAAGAAAAACAGAGTCAGAAATTTTTTTCATTTCTTTAAATTCAATATTAGATGCTTCCTGCTGAAAGTGTCAATCAATTATTACCAGTTCCATCGTAGTTGGTATAACTGATATGGTCTTTGTGTTTGTAAATATATCGCGTTTTAAACCGTGAAAGTGTTTTACTTAGATGTATACTACTCGAGTAAATTACAGACAGTTTTAAGATTAATGTGGCTCCATTAAAAAAAATAGGCTTTCACCTTCAACATCCTCATAAGCCCTTCCAATTGGTGCATCAGATGCTTCCTCGACTCCTGCAGCGACGACAAGTGACCCTCAAGCTCATCCTTCCTCTGCCTTAGAGCACGTAATTCCGATACCAAGGGCGGGGCGGAGCCGCTGGTGGTCGAACTGCATGCTTCCGCTTCTTGTTGGCGTCTGTAGAACATCGTTAAACAAATAATTCTTATGAATGAAAGAAATGTCTGTAAAAAGTAAATAAACCTTATTTACCAGCTAAGTTATTATATAAGAGAAAATTTTATTCTCGATATTGTCCCAGACTACAGTTTGTTATCAAAAACTCATTTGTAGTTTTTTCGGTATATTATTAAATGTACTATATATCATTATATATTGATTGTGTTTTTGTAGCGTTTATCTCTATGTTGTTATTAAGTTAATCTCTTTGATGCACTAGAAGTTATACAACATTTAATTTTTAATCTGAAACTAAATAAAGTGATTTTGAAAACTAGTTAAATTAAAGTGCTTGGTCTTAAGTCAACATCAAAGTTAATTAAAAGTATAAAGACTTCACGTAATTTTCGATTTTCGATAATTCTACCACCCATTTCATACTCAGATTTTAAAGAAGTAACTAACACGTTCCAAAATTACAAATTAACTAGAAAAATATTGGTATCGGTAGGAATCGATAAGATTCGTCGATTATTATTGAGATTCTTTGATTATTAGCAACTTATTTTTCAGTTCGCCCAATCACTATAAAGGCATTTCGTATAAGTAAAAATTCTCCTTATACCTTAGTCTGGCAATTTCTCTCATTATCTCCCTGTTTTTCGCTTCTAGTTGGGATATTAACTCCCGTTGTTGTCTCGCCGCGTCTACCTCCGAGCCCTCAGAGGACGATCGTCCCTATAAATAATAATATATGACAAAGTTCTTATGAAAAAATAAATGACAAAGTTCTTATGAAAAAATAAATGACGACGACAAAAGGATCCTGGATCAGTTGCAGCATAGTGATGCTGTTTTGCTGGTTTCCACCAAGACTTTCTGATCTTTGATTAAATGCGTAATACCATATGCAAACTTTTGAAATATTAATTTAATAGTCATTGTAATATTTAGTAGTGGTTATAAGGGAAATAGTAGCAGTGTGTGATTCATGTTTGGTAGTTTAGTAGACATATATATATATTTTAAATCTTGTTAACTCCCACTACATAAAGCCAATAGTATGTAGTGGCAGTTAAGTACTATTCCATTCCTTGATAACATCTGTGTATAAAGCAATTGAGTATTAGAATTTGTGGCATTTAGTTTAGAATTTTAACGTGGTAGACATTAAGTATGTAAGTATATTCAAACAAAAATAAAGGTTAATAATTTCGTTCGTTTGTCAAAAAGGAAACTTCGCAAAGATATCTTACCAATTCCGGCGTTAGAGATGCAGATCTGCCTGCTCGAGGCTAAAAATTAAAGAAGCGAAATTACCAATTTAAAAATAATAAAACTGGACTTCAAAATATATATATGTTAGGTATATATAGTTATATATAGTTACTACATACCATAGTTCTGTTTTCGTGCGCTAATCTAGCCGCGTATCTTGCTATCAGTCTATGCTCGTCATCAACACCGCGGGATAGATGATCAGCTATACCTGAGAAGTGGAATTGATAATTTTATATTAGTTAATAAGTTGCCTTAACAGTGCTAACGTAAAAGGCATTGCGTATATAAATAAAATCTCTCTCCTAAATTGAAAGATAACCAGTGTTTTATTAGTCTCCTGTGCTCAAAATGATATAGTTATATATGAAACTGACTTATAGAAATAAAGTACTAGCTAGCTATCAATTTATTTTTCGTAGATTATTCACCATAAATACTACAACAGTAATACTTTTATATAAATAAACGGTTAATAAAAATAATAATAATTCCACGGTTTAAACCAGTTGCGTAGCTGTGTACGGCATAAGTACACAACTCTGTGACAATTCTTTAAGCGTGTTAACAAGTATAAATGGATACGTACTTCTGTGGGTGGATCTTGAAGAGCGGCTATCTAAGGAACCGGTGTTTACGTATCCAGCTACGTACTCGGGGAAGCCGTTATGAGCTGGCACGGGTGACGGCGGCCTAAAAACGTCAGCTTATTGTAAGAATAGAGTAAATATAAGATTATGTTATGCCGATTTAATAAGACCCTTCGTTATATAACAGGATGTTATCAGTTTAAATTTGGGTTACAGGTTAGAAAATTTGGAATTCAACTAGATGGCGCCACCTTGACCAATTAAACTGATAAAATCATCTAATTTAAGTTTCAAATTAAAAATTTTCATTCCAAATGTTAATTTCAGTAATATTTGTCAATATCTCTTTAAAAATAGTTACGGAAAATGTCATAGTTATAATCAGAGCCGTTAAAAAAACCGGAGTAATGCTACTTGGGTCTTTGAGCTAGTCCATTTTTTTATAACGACGGTCGGATAACTCAAACACGCAAGCTTTACAAATATTCGCACAAGCTTTACAATTAATTACAATTTACATAAAAGGTATAATACCGTGGAAACTAACTTACACGATATGGCTGAGGTTCAGTGTTCGTTCTGGCTGGTCAGGGTAACGTGGTAACGGCGCTCGCGCACGCTCCGGTACGCAACGGAACGACTTACGCAATGTAGCTCCAATTTGCTTAGAAGGTGATTTCTGTTAAAATACGTTTAAGTTTTTTATTAATATCCACACATAATAAATCTTTATTAGTAAATAGAACTACGCAATCGCTGCTACTATCAATAGTACTTAAAAAATATCCACAAGTGAAATGACTTCAGTTAGAGCAGTACATTGAAACCTTTCTTTTTAAAAATTCTCTTTTGCGATATTTACACAACAAATCAAAATCTCTCGTAGATCACGAGCGGGACTTGACCCGACATCCACAGCGTTCTGTGCTGCTACTCTAACCAATTGAGCTACTATGTCCTATTGATACATTTGTATAATTCAATTCTAGTCTTGCTATTTTAACAATTTAATTATTCTATACTTTTTATAAGCTCTAGCGCTTAAAATAACCAACTCACATAAGTAGCATACTCCTTGACTTCATGGTCGTTGGTGTGAGGTGGTGTGACGTGGCCACGCCAGAAGCACTCCTGACACAAAGTATAGGCAGCGCAACGCGTACACCGATACCGGAACCCGGTCAGAGAACCCCGACGGCAAACGCTGCAGGCCAACGGGTGTACCACTGTAAACATTTAATGAGTTAGAGTCATCCGTATATCCAAAGCCAAAATATGCCGGCAGCCCATCTTGTTTAAATGTAATATGACTATGGTATTTCACCTAATGAACCACATGCATGTCTGCCTATCTCTTTTAAGAAAAATAGTGGTGTGCCAAGTAATAAAGTGATTTAACCAATTATAAAACAAACTACACTCCCAGAAAGTTAATGAAAGAAACAGGTATTAAAGATGATTTTGTTACAAATAGTTTATTTATAATGTTATGGAATGCACCACCGAACCAATTTATTATTCAAATATACAACTACGGACCTCTACGTTACATCGTGGAAGCTTTTTCACGAAAATTTATAAACCCTGATATGGACAATATCTCAAAATTTATAACAACGTAGTATATACCATTTTCAACACTGGCCAGACGATGTAAAAGCGGCAACCAAACAAGGCATGGTGGTCCAGGGTCGGACATCAATGTATCAAGGAAATCATTCACAGTTACTTTGTTGTTCTGAAAGAGTCAAAAGTTGGTTTACAAATAACATCTCTAAACAATTTATAGGCGAGCAAATACATGTTTTTTCTCTCTCATCTACATTCATAAAGTTTTTCTTTGTGTATAACTTTATTGTATGCTTAAGTATTATACACTGACTTTAGAAGATCCTAAAATATTCTCTCATTTGGGTTATCCCAGAATTATAGTTTGTTATTAATAAGGCTCCAAAATTCTAGCCCAGTTTGTATTATTAATCTGCCTATTATGCAATGAGCTATATAAAGCTAATGAGCTATATATAAGTATAAGTAAGATTATACCTGATTGAAAATTGAAAGTGCAAGGCTATCGTTATAGCTGAATGAGGGAGACTCATACACAGCAGCAGGCAATGCAAGCACTTCTCGAAGGTAGTCTGACAAACGTTTCATAAGCAGGTGTCCATTTCCATCCGATAGTTGAGAGAATATATCTATAAAAAAATAAAAAATAAGTATCCCTAAAACCTAAACTTTATCCATAGTTCGCTCCAGTAGTACACATTTAAATAAAACTCTTGAAGGGTTAAACTTATTAGAAATTTCAATATGGAGGACGGCCTCAAATTATTAAACACCTGGGATCCCATATTAAAAACTCTGGATCCCAATAAACAGCATACCGGCAAACATGCTCGCGTAAACTATAGACAGTATTTAACATGTCTCATTCTTTTTTATACTAATTATCAAAGATATAACTCACATCTCAGTTTGTCCATCAGTTTACCAGCACACATTGTAGCCAAGGCAACTTTTATGGAAAATACCCTTATCTTCCCAACATTTTCTCTAAAATTAAAAATGAATAAAGTTTAAAGTTAAAGGAGGTCAGGATTGTTTATTCTTTGCTAGATGTGAATATTTTATTGCAATCTCAAATTTTTTGTTATTGTTACTCTATAAAAATGGCTAAAAAATATTTGCCTTTGTTACGTTTAAGAAATGCTTTGTTTCTAGTTATTTTTTTCTTCTAATTCTTTAAAATATTTATTTTACAGAACTATCCTGCAGTACACACTTTGATCCAATTTGAATATGCCTCATATAACGGCAGTATTAAAGAAACATGTATATTGAACTAATAAACTTAAATATATTTACTTACCCAGTGCTATAAGCTGATAATAACCAATTCAACAGCAAAGCAGAGCAGGCCTCCACAGACACCTGATTAGCTGGCGGTAACCGTTTATTCAAATTGTGGTATAGAGATGACACTAGTGTCTCCAATCTGGTAACATTGACACATGCATTGGGTTCCAGTGTGTTAAGAGCGTTTTCTCTAAATGCTTCTATTACATTCCATATATCTATTGCATGTACTGGAAACAAATGGCAATTTTAATTTTGTAATATGTACAACCTCTATAAATTAAATTGTATAAATTGTGGATTTGAGTCCAATTCCATACTATGAAAAATACTTTTTCTGTGTTACATTTATGATTATATAAATTTAACAATAGATTAACAGATAAAAAGCATGTAAAATACATCAGTCGTCTTTGGATTTAAATAAAAGATTGTTTATATATTAAAAGACATGTCTCATATAGTTTTTGGGTGAATTTATATAGATTTGTTGTTTTTACTATGTAGAAAATTGAATGAACGCTTTTGGTCTAGAATACAAAAGTATATCTTAGTTTAGTCCATAAATATTCATACTATGTTGCATTTGTTAGCCAAGTCAATAAATGATGTAATTATTCAAACTACAATGACTCAACCAAGTCACAATCCCATTGCTTAAGATGACTCACTCATATTTAAATTACTTACTAACACTTTTTAAGCCAAATATTGACTTTTTTTACTAATAAGTATATAAAAAAATTAATAAGTATATAAAGTTCCGCTAACAGGACAAAATAAAAATAAAGTATGGCTTAAAGCTCAAAAATGGTTATCAAGATTGGTCTGAAACGTGCTTATTAAAAGAAATAACAAGGCAAAGGTAATAACTTACAATTACATTTCTTCTGAACATATCTCAGCTTGCATGCAGTCCGATAAGAGGCAAACCTAATCATATCAAAGTTCTGTTCCCTCATCTCTTGTAAAAGCTGTGATCGTGGGTCAACCGACCCAGAATTAGAGACAGGCATCATGCCCAAGTTATCTCTTTCTAATGACATTATTGGTGTGCTAAAAATAAAGACTTAAAATAAATTACAATAGAGCAATTATTGTCAAGTCTTAACTTAGTCCAGATTCTTTTGATACAAAATGTATAATAAACAAGTTGATTAAACCTTAAATAAATTAATAGATCTTGGAATTGATACATATTTTGCAACCACCTATGCAATTATAAAAAATCAACTCTAATTTAAAGTTATAATTTAAATTTGCCAAACTAAAAAGTATCATATTCAGAAGTAATTTATCAGTACTATATCAGGCTTGTAATTACGTTATAACACAAATATGTTACTAAAATGTAAAAGAGGCTTTTAGCACTCTAAGATCTAAGACACGAAAAGCTTAACGATCAATGAATACGTGAAGAAGTAAAATATTTATATTGTATAGACAATGTGCCCTAAACACCTGTCCTTAGTTATTACCTACCTTAAGACACCTGTTTTGAATAAATGAAATGTAATTATCCTCAGTTTTAACTTTATATTGGTACGTTTCGCTGCGTTATTTTAATAGTAAATATGCCATAGCGAGCGTTACTTACCTTTAGTTATCTCATATCTTTATTGACAAAATGATAATGTTTTTGAGCAAGAAAACTTCCTTACACAGGTTTCTAAAGCTGTATCGATCACAAGATGTTTCCACTTTTCGTCAATTAATATAGATATTAATTTACATATAAACCACAAGCGACGACTTATTTATATTATCTATCGGTATTGTTAAGTGACGCACCTTAAATATTAGTTATTTTATGTAACTGTACCACATTACAAAATATTTTTAGGTAGATTTTATAAATTTTATCGTATTTATATACCTACGTACAACGTAAGTATATACAGAATTAGCATTGACAGTTGACATCTAATTTAGTGTTGTCAGTAGTCAGTACTCGCACAATTCCCCACAGACACTGGAATTATAATAAATAACCATAGACTATTTATTATCTAACCTAACCTGAAATTAGAATATCAATTAAACTATGTGTTGTATTTTAATTTAACACGTTTTACATTATCTTTTACTAGCTATGTTAGTGACTTTGTCCGCGTAGCTATTTTGGGCATCAAAATTAGTTTTTGTAAACCCCTTTCATCTTTTTAAACTGAAGCTGTTAACCACGACATCGGTCGCGTCCCTTCCCATCGTTCTTGCAAGTTAATCTTAAAAAAGATAGACATAAGTATGGGGTCACGGATTTTTTTTTAATTTTTTTGAAGAGGAATCATTATTTTATACATGTTTTCATTTAAAGGCGTACGCTGCAAAAACGGTTCAAGATGCAACTTGAACCATTTTCGCAGCGTACGCCTCAAAAATCCATGATGAATCATTTTTGAATGGATTACCAGCATAAATAAGGATTTATGGAGTATATACGGTATACAACGCAAAACCCTGAAGATATTTTTTTTATGATTCTCAATTAACGAATATACGACTCCTTTAATTTCGAAATCTCGTAAATTGCACAATAAATAATAAAATGATGATTTCGTGTAACAATGCTCCGTCCAAATAAAAGCAACAATCAAATGATGGTAAACTTCCTAATCTTTACAATATTTTTATTTGCCTAGTATTCAAAACGTCGTTACCCCGGAGAGATTAAGTCATTCCTTTAAAACCCACTAGGTAAAACGTGCGTAGATTAGTTTCTTGATTTTTTTGATCTATCTAATGTCTTTTTTTACGGCAAGCTATATTTACGGGCATAGGTAAGTAAATTCTTAAAAAAAAAAACACTACATACATACTTACCATGAGGTTTCTCCTTATTATTAAAAAAAAACGAGTGATAATTGAAAATAATATCTTTATTATTATTTTCTTTTATTTAATATTCAACAACATCAAGGAACTCTACTGTCCTTAGAAAAAATAATATTTCGTCTACTTTTGAAAATGAGTTTTTGGAACATTTCATATATTTTCTTCTTTTCTTAAAGTAACTTAGATAGGAAACCTCATCGTACTGCATAGTTTTACTTATTTATCTGTATTAAAATATATTTAAAGATAGATTATATAAATTACATAGAATAATACATTTTCTTTCAGTATGCAGTACTTGTGCCAACCTTGGCCTTCTCAACTCCTGGCCATCTTCTACTTTAAATCTTTTCATGTCTCCCAACACGACCCTGTCTCGGCCGATGACGGAGACTGAGATCTCGTTATTCGGAAGTTTGTCCTCAATGGCAGCACTAATCAGTACACCATGCTCTGGTTTCCTTGTCGATTTCCTGGGAAGAAAATATTCGTGCATACTCTTCGCTTTGCCCCAGTGTGTAAGTATGGCAAATAGATTCAGCAGAAGACCGATAACTTATTTGCCTGTTCCAAAAGTAATAGTGTTAAATGCTTGCAAAAATATATCTTTCGTTTATAGCTATTAGCTTATATTATAGCTTTACGTTTTGAAAGCTCAATTAAACTTATTTATTGATAGTTAATTTAGAAAGGCAGAGACCTTAATTTAATAAAGCTTATTTCACTTCTATGTTTCTACAGATCGCATGGATTATAATCTCAACGTGTCACCAAGTTGAAGGTATACTGGCTGCGATGTTTATATCCGGTCTCAGTGGCTGCATCTTCATGATAGCTCCCGTGTTCATCTCGGAATTCTGTGAAGAGTCTATCAGGGGAATGATGACGTCAGCAGTCTTAATCTTTTATGGGTTGGGCATGCTGATGTCCTATTTACTAGGAGGCTGTCTTGGTTACAATACCTTGAACTACGCGTGTCTAAGCATCACAGTTACTGGTGTAGTGCTTCTTAACTTTTTGAAGGAATCGCCGACTGCTTTAATGAAGAAGGGATTGGAAAAGGTCAGTATTCATTGTTTCTTTATAGAAGACATTGAGCACGGGATATATGAACAGCTAAATCTTTAATGGTAAGTATTTTCGTTAATTGTAGCATAGTTAGGGTATTTTCGACATTGGTTCTATTTATGTAAGCTGCAGCTATCGAGGTATTGAAAAATTAGAAATAGATATTACTCTTATTTTTAGGAAGCTGCAAAGTCAGTAGCATTCTATCGAGGTGAGAAAGTCAACTCGAAGGTGGTGATGCAAGAGATTGATACGATAAGAAGAGCTCTCAACCCGGACCTAGAACTTAACGATGGTAACTAATAGCAAACAAATTAATTTAAGACAGATGGACAACGCTTGTTTCTGCGTCTGTAAAAATTTAATACAAAACCCGCGAAGTCCAAGGAAAATACTTAATATATTCTTAATATTATAAAGATGAAGAGTTTCTTTGTTTGAACGAGCTTATTTCAGGAACTACTGGTTCTAATTGAAAAATTAATTGTGTTAGCAAGACCATGTATAAATAACACATTAGGCTGCGTCTTTTAGCAGAACAAAGAGAGGGGATTTTGGAAAATTTATTAATTTGTGTGGGTTTCCGTTGCGTGTGCTGCGATAACAGTTTAAGATAGCCAAAAAATATGTATGAAGAATTATTCTTCTTTAGATAATAAATAGAAAAAAACGTTTCTTGTGAGTTAAATCATTTTGTCAAAATATGGCAAAAAACGTTTGCCGTTATATTACTGCTTTCTTGTGATAGATGAACGATCAACAAACTTAATAATAATAGAATCCCATTTCCCTTTACGTAACCATGGGGCCCAAAAAACCTATCAGTTAAATGTTTGTCTTCGTTAATAGTTTCACTAGTAAATAGGAAGACGATTGATGAGATAACTACGAAACTTTATTGGACTTTTATAGTATCGTTTAATGACTATTACATTTCTCAAGTAATCTTAGCAAACATTAATATCTATGGTCATAAATTTTTGAGATTGTGTAATTATGTACACGTTTTTGTAATTATAATTCCGTATTTGTGTATCCGTATTAATTCATTTAGGTACTTAGTTGGACTTTTTTTAAACTCTAATAACCTATACCGGTAACGATTGAAGAATTAGAGATTTTCCTAAATGGATTCCGCCAATATTCCGTGTCTATAGAAGGAACGACAAAGCGTTGTAATATAGCATTACAGTACCATTCTCTTTTTGCGATAATTATTATTTGTATATATTTTTTCAGCGACAGCTTTTGAAGAAGAAACTTTGAAACCACCGATACCGAGTGAAAAGCTGTCGTTCTGGCAATTCTTCAGTAAGTTACAATAACTTAAGGACAAATAAATCAAACTGTTTAGAAAACGCACGCTGTGGTATCTTAGCCCAGTTTGGCAAATAAAATACAAAGCTTAAGCAATAGCCCCTAAGTATATCCGTTTCACGGATCGTTTCTTTCACAGGCAAGTTGTTGATCACACTTATCGCGTTAGGTTTAAGATTCGAACCTAGGACCTCACGCGATAGTTCAATGAATTACGGTTAATCATTTCGAAGCAGTAGCCCACAATGTGTCCAAAATATTTTTGTTTGACTTTCCGTTACCTCAAAATGTCAATGATTAACATACATCTAGTATTACGTTAAGCGCACGGGGTCTTAGTTTTAGTCAGGAACAGATGTTTGATCAACTAATTGCTTGTTAATAAAGAAAATCGATTAGTAAAATAGGCACACAAATATCATATATGAAGTCTATCGTTCTCCCAACAATATTATGAGTAAGGAAGTAACTAAATCCATTGCGTCTTTTCAGAAAAATCGCGTTCTACACGTCGGGCCCTGTTTTTGTGTCTCATCTTGTACACAGCGGCGATATTCCAAGGTCTTATTGTAGTCCAAGTATACGCACAGCCATTATTCGAGGAAGCCGTCCCGAATGTGTCGACGACTTTATCAAGTGTCATATTCGCAGTTGTGGTGATTATGGCGGGATTTTTAGCAAGCTACCTAGTGGAGAAGGCTGGAAGGCGGGTGAGATCTCCTTATGTTTATGTCACCCTAGTAGAAGTGCACGTCATTGAGTCTTGGTATTTGCATTATTAATTATATTCAAGGTTTTTGACAGTTCGTTTGGTCCGTTGGTAAATGAGAACAAACGGGTCGTGGGTTTGATTTCAACTTGGAATGCAGTCTTGCTTGTCTGTCGTTATGTAATAAAAAAAAAACATTTGTATAAGCTCTATAGAGAGGCTGCTTATAAACTGGAATAAAAATAACTTAAATATTAATTTAAAAGTTACTTACTTCAAGTAAAAATGTCAAAAAGCCACTATGACAAGAGTTCGACTCCGGTCTGCTAACAAAAGTTATTTATTTATTCCCTAGGTCTGTATTTTTTATGTTATTGCAGACGCTCATGATAAATTCTTCGATCGGTGCTGGTGTCTGCTGTGTGGTACTAGGATCACAGATACAATTCCACTGGGGTCCACACTGGGTGTCTTCTATCTTCCTTTATACGTACTGTGTTGCTTATTCTTTGGGCGCTGGTACTATACCATTAGTACTTATTGCAGAGGTGTTTTTGCCTGAGGTACGATTATTAGTGATGATTCTAGGTTTTAAGAAGTTGACAAGCCTTTTTAAACACTGTCTGCTGCTTAGGTTTAATTTCGTGAATACATTAAACTTGAACTCTTTGGTTTAGATTTTGGTCCATGATCAGAGGTAAAGATTCCATATTTTGAGGGTATTGCCAAATATAGAAGTAATTTAAACAAAACACTTTTAACGGTTTAAAACGCAAAATGTGTTAGTTGACATTTTTACAATCTATACATCATCCGAAGCATCCGAAACGTCGGCCCGCGTTATAATAAATTGTAAATATATAAATTGTTTCGGCTGGGCAGGGCACAGAAGTCTGATAACTTGTGTATATAAATTAAAAATCGATTATAAGTCTTGAACCGGCATCCACAGTGTTCCGTGCTGTTGCTCTAACGTTATGGATGCCAAATCAAGTCCTGTCCGTTTCGTATTTTTTAAAATTAACAATCGATTTGCTATTTATTCAATGCGATCACGTGCAAATTTGTCCAAAATACTTGCCTGTAAAAGAACCGATCAATGAAACAGACACAGATGTTTTCGTCGTATGTAGTATGTACCACGGGTTATCACTTGATCAAAGCGATAATGTGATGCTTAACGATACTATATTTTTTTTTCAGGTAAAAGGAATAGTATCGATGATATCAATAGAGTGGGCGTGGATATGCAACTTCATTATTCTATTTATGTTCAACCCCATCGTAGCGGCTTACGGTCTAGGACCTATATTTTACTTCTTCGGAGTTACGTGCTTTTTAACAGCTGTTTATTGCGTCTTTTTCTTGCCAGAAACCAAGGGACTGACAGTCGATGTCATCCAAACATTATTTTTGAAGCGTCGAAGTGAAGCAAAAGTATGATTTGATACTTTATTTACTTGTAAGAGTTATTTGTACCTTTATAAACACGACGGTTCATGTTCCGCCCGTGTCATTTACTTAATTTTTTTCAATAAAAAATAGACTTAACTATTATATGTATTTTAGTGCACTTCTAACTCTCTTTTTAAACTTTCCGAATCACTCCTCTAATGGTTGCCTAGAAGAAACGTCTAATAGTTACAAGCCCGCCTTCAGTAATTTTATCTTTTTATTGTGTATATTATAAAGTGTTTTTATACTTAACAGTTAATAATTCTATACAAAACAAATATTGTTCTAGTCAGTATTTTTTATTTTCATATTTTGCTTAGAAACAAGTATAATATACTAATAAATGAAATTTATTACAAATGACATATATAATTATTTCTTTATTATATTAATATTAAGAACGCTAGTACTATTCTTTTATTATTATTATTTAATTTATTGCAATGAATATACAGTAACATATTAAATGTATAATTATGAATTGGAAATCAATATAATGTTGTTTTATTTAACAACATCAACATCCAAACCAGACAGAGGAGAACAGAATTCACTGGATGATGGTTAAATGTCTGCCTACAGTCCTAAAGTTTCGGATTAAAACCGAAATGCACGTTTATCTTCAAGCGAGGTATAATGTAAGATGTAAAAAAAAAGTATGTTAAATCGTGTTATATAGTCTGTGGCGCTATATATAGTGGTGACACATATACTACTGTACCCACGAGCCCGTATTTTTTTTTAAAGTACACGTAAAGTATGACTCTTTGAATTAAAATGTATTTTTTTATAAAACAAAATATTTTGTGTTATATCACCTATACAACTAAACTTATGGCGCGGCCAGGTTTCAAACTCCATGCAGTATACAGCGTTTCGTGTTTTTGTCCGTAACATTGTATTTAGACAAAAATTGTATTGTTTAAATGTTCTAATTTAAAATCGAAAATAAATTTAAAAAAAAATTGATTCGGGCAGGACTCGGTAGCTCAATTGGTAGAGCAACAGTACGGAACGCTGACGATGTCGGTTCATGTCCTGACCGAGTCGAATTTTTTTTTATTTATTTTCGATTTTAACATTATATAGTGCAATCAAATGCAAGTGCTTAATGTGCAAAATAATAAAGTTCTTAAATGTTCTAATTTAATTAATCAATTGTGAGGTCGCAGTCATTGACATTGATGTGTGATATTGCTCAAGATTATCTCACAGGAGTATTGTATTTCTTTATTGAACCATGTTAGTAAAAAACCGATATAATGGTTTACGTCATAGATACAAAATAAGTCTTAAGATCAAATAATAAAGATCAATTTGGCTAAAACCTAAATGGTCATATTTCACTTTTTAATAATCCTTAAACTAATAAACATATTATATATCGAATAAAAGTTATATTAAATATTGTTCGGTATCAATGATCTCGATTTTTAAGATAACATTGGAAATTTAACTTTATATGTTTTAGAAATACAATTTACCAGATTCGATTTGTGACAACCGGTATGAATGAAGTGGTCTGATAATGGATAGTGTTGTGCTGATGTAATAACGATGTATCCTTTCACGTTGTAACGTTTTATTATTTAACGAATACGCATTTCGTCGTGACCTGTACCCTTGACTTGCCCTTTGGGATATATCAAAATTCTAATTAATAAAACAAAACATATGTTGCATGATAGTAAAAAATAGAAGTATTTAATTTAAACGGATAAAAAGCCGTCAAGTTCATTCGCGTTTCAAATATCTTAAGCCTAAATATTTCTTGTTTAGATGTTATATGGATGGTATGAACACTGAAGTAACGTATGATTATCGTATAATATGTTTCATATTATTTTTTCCTTCAGCCAATGTAGTAACGCTCAAAGGTTTCTCGTACGTAGTACATCACTAATCCATACCACCACCACAACGTCGGTCAGTCCTCCCGTCACAGTTACTCACAATCAGTGCTAGTGTGCGGATGACCTTATTAAAATTAATTTATTATTGTTTGTTTTGATTAGGGGGACGTATAATACTACGTAAGTCTTTGATAATTCTTATTAGTTTTATTTTACTTTTTACTAGTGATAAATATATTAATGTAATTGATACGACGAGAAGATTTATATTAAAAATACGTTTTATAAATGAAGGTGCGCGGGCGCAGGCATGTCTGCTAATATTGCAGATTCTTAGCGGGTTGAATTAACTTTTTTTATATATAAGAAAACGTATAAAAGTTTATCAAAAGATCGAAAGCTAGTTATTTAAATATGTTCCGTCCCTTTTTGGAATAATCTTCCTATTGTCACTTGTCTAGGGGAGTTACAACAATTTTTCAATAACAATATCCGTTGTATTCAAAATCTAATTTTATAGACATGGACAGAAAGTTGTGACTACATTATGTTTTAGTAATACTTACATTGTTTAAGAGTTCAACTTTTAAAGGAGACATAATTAAGTTAATAAAGGCATTTTTTTTATTATTAAATAGGGGACCCTAATAACATAGTGTAAGAGTGAAATCTCGTTTCCCCGTGGGGCATTGGTACGACATTTTCTTTTTCGTTCTTTTAAAGGCAATTAGTTGGTAAGATTTCTATGCCCTGCCTGACCGATACAAACTATTGTCTCCCGGGATTCAAACCAGTGCGCTTAATGCCAAGCTAGGAAGAGGTTTAACTATTTAGCTACAGAGGCGGTCAAGTACCAAATAAAATCCTTATTCTTAATTCATAACCTACTTCTCTTATCAGTGATAGAGGAATTTTTAAGTGCATAGTTCACGTTTATTTTAAAACTCACGATTTCACGAGACTATATTATGTATTGCTTTTAATCTATTTGTTGAAACATTTTGAATAGTGGTGTTGTAATTAGAGGTAAAGGTAGAAAATCGGGGGGGATTTCTACCACTTCTTAATGTTATTATTTTAGAGTAGGGCAGACATGGATTATATAGATATTACACTTGATGGAAGTTTAAATACTTCAGCCATGTAACAACTCAACAAGATTCATTGTTAACGTGTTAGCCCTGAAATCGAACACACGACCTGTTTTCCTTTTTAAATTATGTTATTATTATTAATTTAATTTTATTGCTTTGCAGTAAAGACCAAAACTATGCGCACCGCCACATAAAGTACCAGGATGGCAGAAAAACCAGAAGTTCGCTTTGAAGAAGCAGAGAGACGCAAAGGTCTGATTCTCACGCTGACTGCTATTGTATGCTGCACGTTATGTTGGGTGGTTCGATATTACACATCGCTCTTATGTCTAGTAGTCGCCCTGACAATGTATTTACTGAGTGGAGATAGATATCAATGGATTTACATATGCAAGAAGACGTTCTACAGAGATATAACGTAAGTGTCTTTCAGTAGTCTTTTTATCAGTCTTTTAATTTATTGAGTGACTATACAAAGTTTGTTCCTTTTTCAAATTACGATAATTTATTAATTTCATCAACTTCTTATTGAAGGCTTTACCGGTTCGTGACGTAACGCGTTACATCCAGTCTGCTCCTTGGTCTTATTTTCTCTTAGTTTAGTTAAGAAATTGCAATTGTTTATGTAAAGAATATATCTAATCTCATGCCACGATAATTTAAAATTGGAAGCATAAGGTATTAATGTCTCTTCTCTCTGCTGTGCATACTTTTCTGATGTACCTTTGCTTTTTGTTTATTATTTCTTACACCTACCCACTTAATAATAATAATACCCAATTAATAAACATATTATGGAGTACGCACGTATGAGTATATAGGAATTTAATATAGATAACAATTTTATGCAAACACTGCATTATTGTAAAACGTAGTTTTAGACCTCATCAATAAGTAGCTCGGACGTTACATGAAATATAAGCAATTGAAATCTAACACCAAATTGTGGTTTATATCTAGAATGAACGCTATGTTCGTAACAATGAAATTTGAGTTGATTCCGTGTGTAAAGAAATATTATGATACATTAGCGGACGTTCTTCGTATATGCACTGACAATAAGCAAAACATATTGTAATTATCCATGAACAATAATAAATACATCAATCATAAATATCACACATTTTTCTTTATCAAAAAATTTCGTAAGACATTTTGTTTTCTTGCTTACCAACGTAATTTGAGTTTGAATTTCTTTTGATAATAATAGCCTTTTGTTTTATCTTAATGTAATATTGTTTCATATCAACGATAACTTATCAATATTATTGTTTTTTTTACGGGGTAAATAAATAGAATCCTAATATCAAATGGAAGTTCAGAAATCTTGGTCTTAACGAAGTGTTAAACAGGGAAAGTAGATGCATGGTTCTCTATACAAAGTTCAGGTGTTATGTATCTTAACAACTCATTGTGCCCTGGTATATTGATGTTCAAAGTCCACATCCATTGCTAAGGGCGAGTTGTTGGAAACCATAAACTAATTTTCTCACTTATTATGATGGGCATAGTATTAAACTTTTGGCTGTACCTGACACCAAAATAGCGTTGTTTATAGAATATTATAAAATAGCCTTCAACGATCTTGACCTTATAAAAAAATTGATTTGTGGTCCAAAAGTCGAAAACTTCCATATTGTTTGTACATAATGGTATTATATAAATTAATATTTTTTTATATATTAAAAATCTATTTGTACGTTTATTATTAATTATTATTTCACTATTACTACGACTAGACCTAATCTGGCTTTAGAAGTTTTTTATGAATCTGTTTGTTATTTTAAGTCTTAAATAAAGCCTGGATAAAATAGTATTTTGTAGAAGAACGTTAGTCCTTAATTTGCCGATTAAGAGTCGGGATCTAAATATATCGAATGTTCGAATACAAAAATCGCCAGTTCAAAGGCTACCTATGTAATGGAGCAATCATTCAATAGAACGAACACCTATCGCTCGCTGCGATCCTGGTGTAATGGACATTATCCGGTCGCCATTGGAATTTTTACAACCTTGGTATTGTTAGGGTCCATAGATTGGTTATGGCTATTGCCAAGAATCTTCTAGAAGGAAGTATTCCGAATGAGAAAATAGTAGTCGTATACTACATACGTATATATGTAGCCGTATATACTTTCATTACATTTTATTTTGAAATAATAGTGCTAATTCTTTAGTTAGCACAATGGTAGGTACTATAATTTATGTAGTAAAATACAATATCAATATCGTACACAAACATTGTCCACGATTATCCCCGTATTACCTTTTTTTTATTAAATTTACGCATAACACAATAAGTGTACAGCGCTCTTCACTTCAAAATCATTGTCGTGCGCCTGCGCATCTTATTAGACATATTGTCAATTGATAAGTTGCAACAATGTATTAATTAATAGTTACGTAATTTGCGTCGTTTCCCCTTAGGATTGAATAGACAAGGTCGAATCGATGATAATACATGATTAACTATTACCAAACTACCACTTATTATGCACAATGACTTGAATGCATCTAAAATGTAATTTAAACACTATTAAAACTATTATCATGCTATTCTTATATTTAGATGACCTACTAAACATGACTAGACTGTCAAGTAAACATGACGTGATAAAGTAATAAACTTAAAAAATAAAAAACCTTTTAGAAGTAAAGTAGACTAATTTTTAAAAAGATGATTACTGATTTAATAATTTTTCGTAATTTAAACAACGATATATTATACTTGGTTCACTGGTAGCAACGTATGACACATAATCTACAGGTCTGGATTTGATTCTCACTAGTTTGAATGCGAACGTTTAAATCAATTTAAAAATGTTCGAAAACTGATTAGACTTTTTATAAACTAGATATTGTAAAATTAATAATATTGAAGTTCTGTTTCCGAACCACCAATCTAAGACGAGAAAGACCCATGAAAATATATATCCACATTTCGGCTTCTTACAATAGAGCTCCAGGCCTTCATAGCATGTTGTATCCAGTTTAATCAATCTAACCATGCTTGGCTTTACTTCGTTATCATAAAAACAGTGTATCGAAACATTGTAAATTCCAAGTTTTCCTTCTGTAAAATTTAGTCTTCACTTTGTCTTTGTTCAACTTTGCATGTTGTGTCTGTCTGTAATTGTTTTTTACACAATTTTATTTTTTTACATATTTTAAGTTTAAGACCGATAGACCAGACCTTCTCTAATAAATAAAATAAATAAATGTTTAAAACTATTAGTGGTATACTCCCTAACGCTGTGGTGGCAGGAAGGAAAACTTGTAAATAACTTTGCTAAGTGTCCTAGAGTGCATACATCAAGGAGACTTTTGATCATCATAGATAAATAATTTCGACATGATTGTATAAGCGTATTGTAATATTGACAGTTAAAAACTGGAATGCACTAATTCCAATAAGCATCGCGGGAATAATTAGGAAGTACGTAAGTTATGAATGAAGAGAACGACCCAAAAATTAAAAATCACAGGACCGACATATAACATTTATACTAGATGCCTATTTTGGCTTAGATTATTCTGAAATCCAGAGATTGAAACCGCAACGCGATTAAATTTTCATCTGTGATTCGGACGGAATATCAATAATCCTACCACCTTCCAGGTGAAGTCCAACATGTTTTCGAAAAATTTATAAATTCTTTAGCAGCATGTTGAAACCTGTGGTGATCGAACCCACTGATTATTTAGCCATACCTAATGGTGCCAACGAGGCCGTCAAAATTGATTTTGTCAATATTTCTATACCAGTTACCCGCATTTAGTTTTTGATATTTTTTATGATATCCAGGCAAACTCTGTATTTTCATTGCATTATTATGGTATAATAAATTAATTAAATTCTATAGGTTAGTAAATAATTTGATATCGTTTCAGAGGTCTTCGTGTCCTCCTAGCCACTATGTTCAGGATCTGGCTGTGGGAGCGGAATGGCACAACTGTTGTCACGAGATGGCAAGAAGTAGCCAAGATGAAGCCAAACAAGAAGGCCTTTGTGATGGACGACAGGGCTATATCCTTTCGTGAGGTGATTACTTAATTTGGATTTCGGATTGGCGTCTTCGTGTGGAGAATATTAATTTATAGGATTTGGTTCTTGTTTAAATTATTTATCCACTAATAGTTACATTATGAGATAGAACGTACGATTAATGTATGTCCCCTTTTTTATAATGAACCATGTTTGATCCTTTAATAGTACATCTATTTTTTGATTGATTACTATTATGGTATTAAAATACTGAAAAAAGAAAACAAAACAAAAAATAGCTGTTTGTTAAATTAAATATTCATTAAAGTATTTTATCAATTAAAACAGTTATAATACAAGCAATGACATAAATTAAAAACTTAAGTTTGGCTCTCACTGATTATAGTCGAGTTTTCGAGACTGCATTTTGGGTATTTTAAGTCATCTAAATATCATACTTTAACGGTTTAAAACGGGCCGACGTTGCAGATACTTGGCGTCCCTAATGTCAAATAAAAAACTGCTAAGCTAACGCCATCTATTCCGTTTCATTGTTGTTGGTATGCCGTTAAAAATATTTTAGTTAACTTATTAACAATTTATGTCTACTACTACAAGTTAAAAGTGTTTATTTAACATTTATTAACGTTCCTATCATCTCTTACTAATTTATTTATTATCTGCAGGGTGACGAATTAAGTAACCGCGTGGCCTGGTACTTCAAGCGACAAGGTTTTAAGCGTGGTGAGGTGATCGCTCTGTTCATGGAGACTCAGCCGGAGTATGTTTTCCTCTGGCTCGGTCTTGCTAAGCTCAGAGTAACTACAGCTCTCGTCAATACGAATTTAAGAGGATCCCAGTTGATCTATTGCCTCAGAATCGCTGGTTGTAAAGCAGTTGTGTTTGGAGATGAAATGGCCGAAGGTAAGTTAAATCAACAAAATTACAAATTAAATCGATAAATTCGATTTTCAACTGTTTTCTTCGTTTGAGTGATCGCCTCTATTACTCGATTTAAGGAGTTATTTGGCATTGCATTAACCGTGAGAAGTCCCAACTAGAACCGCAGGGAAACTTCTAAAGAATAAATTACTTGGCTTTGTTGTATACCTTTATATTGTAATGTGTGTTTTTACATAATATTAGCACCTTCTGTTCTATGACTTTTAGGCAGACTAAAATTGTTAAAACTGTGTTTCTCTGACTCTGCTCTATCTATTTATCAGCTTTACATTTTAATTGGGAAACGGTCACAGAAATTTGTATACTTAAGAATTACGATATTTCACTCGTAGTTGTCATTTTATGCCTACATGATGATGTTTTGGTTGATTTATCATTATATAATATCTTTTTATTCTGTATTGCAGCAATAAAAGCCATCCAGAACGAAATACCAGACATCCCTCTCTTTCAATTCAACTCGCCAGACAGGGAGACAGCACCAATAGTACAGGACACGATACCCTTGTCTGCTGAACTCACAGAAATGTCTACAGAGACATACACCGATCCCGAACCAGCTAAACCAAGAGACACTTTATTGTATATTTATACAAGTGGAACAACTGGATTCCCGAAAGCCGCTATTATTACGAATATACGGTAATTTTATAGTTCGTTTAAAATCGATTAAAATTTTTGCCATGATGCACATTTCTAGAAAGATAGAGATAATCTATAACTGGAAAGAATCACAATATCTTAACGTTCTTTGCTATTATCTTGGCAAACCTTTTTTAATTTACATAAAATGTCTTTATGAGTTTACGTGTTAAAAGTAAAAGTGAGTTGTTCGAGAAAAAAATAACTAAGCTAACAAAATAATATAAATTAATTGAGAATACATAGAGTACATTCGTTAAACCAAGATGCTTTAACGACCTTTTTTGGCTTTAAATATTCCGAAAATCGATAAACTGATACCGAATCGGATTTACATTCCATGCCTAGATCATCTTTGGTTGAGTTTGTAACCAGGACGGAGTTTTTATACCCCTACTACCTATGTAATATTCAGATTTTACAGACGAAATATATAAGATCCGGTGGGAATGAAGACCACGGCCCAATTATTAGCCACATTTCGTGTATTGCTACCATTGGAACAATAAGCCCGTCAGATATTTGTCTTTTAATAGTAGTGATACACAATTTTTTTTCAGATACCTCCTAATTCCACTAGGAGTACATAATTCAGCGCGCCTATCTTCGTCCGACGTCGTTTACGATCCCTTACCACTTCATCATACTGCCGGTGGCGTCCTCGGCGCTGGCCAGTGCATCGTCCTCGGATGTACCGTGGTACTGAGGAAGAAGTTTTCTGCCAGTAATTATTGGAAAGATGTCGCGAAGCATAAGTGCACGGTAATTAATATTCATGTCTATGTTAATAACAACTTCAATAGTTTTGCGTTTTTTATCTTCTTTAAAACGAATTCATCCTTCGGCGAAACGAAAAGGTAAGGTAGGTTTTATCACTCTGGGTTGTTAGTTGCCGTCTCGTTCGAATACTGTGGAAAATGTTTTTTTTATTTGATCGGGCAGGATCAAATAAAAAAACGTCATTAGCATACAATTGCAATTCGTGTGCCAAAAAATACTTGGTTTTCAAATGTATGAAACAAAATCAACAACAGCAAAAATTCTACAAAATTGTGTATCTAATGTGATCTTATCGTATTTAATTATCATCTAGATTTAGATGTTTTTTTATGACGGTGAACATTGGTTTATGTTTGGTTTCTTGGATAAATAAATGACCCAAAAAACCTTTGTATATTTTCACAGGCCGCTCAGTATATCGGGGAAATCTGCAGATACCTTCTGACAGTACCACCAGGTCCCCAAGATACTTCTCATAGCGTAAAAGTCCTAATCGGTAACGGACTAAGGCCGCAGATATGGGAAGAGTTCGTTCGAAGGTTTAACATAGAACGGGTTCTGGAATTCTATGGAGCTACGGAGGGGAATAGTAATCTTGGTAAGTTCAAGGGAGTTGTGAAAATTTTTTGACACTTTTTGAATGTATTATTTTGTTGTTCTCATATTACATAAAAAAATGAAAACTAAATGAATGACTGGATATATTTTTATACATTTGCTTTTTCCAGTGAATTTAGACTCAAAAGTCGGTGCGATTGGTTTCCTTAGTCGAACAGTATCATCCATATACCCACTGACATTGGTCAAGTAAGTTGATTTTTAAATGTACTTAATTTCACAAATTACTTCAAACTTTACTTTAATAAAGTAAGTTTTACAATTAAGGATTCAGTTGGAAGAAGTAACGGCACGGAACACTGTTGGCTGTGGGGTCGATTCGGCTGCCTTTCAACAATTTTTTCACGTTTTGAATGTCATACGCTTTTATTTCCTAATTTATTCAAATGGTTTTTAAGATGCGACGAAATAACTGGAGAGATACTAAGAGATGCTAATGGAGGATGTATTACTTGTGGTCCACACGAACCAGGTAGGAAGGATTTTTTAGAAGACCAGAAAAGATCACCATTTGGTTTTGAGTATAAAGAGAGTCATATCCCATTCAATATCGTATAGGTTTGGTACGTTACAGGTCTGCTTCTGGGCAAAATTGAACCTAAAAAGGCGATTCTAACATTCGCTGGATACGCAGACAAGACCGCATCTGAGAAGAAGATGGTCCGCAATGTCAGAGTGAAGGGGGACTGCTATTTTAATACGGGAGACATTCTGGTAATGGATCATTTTGGGTACTTCTACTTTAAGGATCGGACAGGAGATACATTTAGGTAAGATCATTGGATATTTTGTATTCCAAAATTACAAATATATTTTTAACCTTATAATTTGTTCGTTCGCAGATGGCGGGGAGAGAACGTGTCAACAGCAGAAATAGAGGGTGTTATCAGCAATTTAGTTGGGCTCAAAGACGCTGTGGTTTATGGTGTATCGGTTAGTACTTTACACAATATAAAAATCAGTTGTCTTTCTATCTTGTATAAACTTCTAAAACTGAATCTTATTTCGATGGTAAATTAAACTTAACATCGTTCACCTAACATATTTCTGTATTCCTTACATTGATTGATCCTATTTCTTGCCAAATCTGCACGCGCTGCCCGTCTGACGAACTGAGGATCTAGATAAAGCATTTTTGAGCATTGTCCCCAAATGTTCACAAAGAAATGTTAAGATCACCATCTTAACGTCCTATTTTTGCTTTTATTTCTCAATTTATAATATATATTTATATTGTTTTTTAAACTAATTGACCAACGCCTTTTCACAAGAAGGGCTTTAACTATTTTAATTTTTATAATGTGATTTGAGATTTTTGATCACACGTATCTTCTTGCCAGGTACCGAACGTAGAAGGTCGCGCAGGAATGGCTGCTATAGCAGATCCAGATAAAAAACTAGATCTAGAATCTCTAGCCGCTGGCTTAAAAACATCTCTTCCAGTTTATGCCAGACCGCTATTTCTAAGGATACTGCCCGAACCACCGCTGACAGCTACTTTTAAATTAAAGAAGAAAGAACTGGTAGAGTTGGCGTTTAGCCTAAATAGTGACCCAGTTTATTTCTTGGATCAGAAGACTGGCAAATATGTTCCTTTAACACAGAAAATGTATGATGACATCATGCAAGGCAATATTAGGCTGTGATTAGACTGAATATGTCAGTAGTCAAGCATTATTAGCAAGTTTAGGTCTAGGCGAAGAAAAAAGTTTATAGCTTTAATTAAGTTTCAAATCTTAGAGACTTTTAAATGGATTTTTGTATAGTGAATTAAGATTCGAAGAGAATTTTTCTGGCCCTCTGGTTGACATCCAACTTTTAAGCGAAATAATTGTTGGAGTATTAAATACTTTTTGTAAACTGCACAAAAAGTTTACTCTTTATCCTAGTTCGATGCGAATCTCCTACACATTTTAAATGATTAAATATTATAATTACATTTTAAACACGGTAAACGACAGCCAATATTATCAAACTGTTATGAAAAAGAAATATCGGTACGTAAGAAATAAATTAAAGATCTAGACGTATTGTTGCTATATTTACTAAGTCCACCGTTAATATAAATTTAGTGGTACTAGACATTATATTAAAATGTGATATAAATATTGAAATAAATTATTTTCATCAATTTCTTTTGTTTATAATAAATCCTGCATAAACTACGGTTACGTCCTAGCTTTCTATTATATGGAGGATAAATATTCTAGTAATAGTTCTGTATACGATGGTAATGTGCTTTCGTGTCTTGGAGTACGTAAACCCATCGGTAGTTATCATTCCTTATTTAGTATCCATTAAGTTTTGACGAATCCATCTAGAGAGGGCACAATGCCAAGCAATGGAACATTAATAGGTTGACACAAAATATTAGCTCATGTTATGCTACTCTCCTTTTTGGAGGCTGAGTCTATTCTCTCCAATAACCAGTGTGGCTTCCGCAAAAAGAAGTCAACTGAAGACTCTATTTCTAAACTTATTGATACAGTAACTGACACGCTAGACATGGGCCAGCAATGTATTGGAGTATTTCTTGACCTCGCAAAAGCATTCGATACCGTCTCGCACCCTATACTTTTGCAGAAAATAGAGTACATGGGGGTAAGAGGCCAGGCCCTGCGGTGGTTCCAATCGTATCTTTCCAACAGACAGCAACGTGTTTGCCTTGGTGGTTACACCAGCAACCAAAATTATGTTCCTTTCGGCTTGCCCCAGGGCAGCGCCCTCTCTCCTTCCCTCTTTCTGATTTACGTCAATGATTTGTGCAATCTTTCGCTTACAAATGGTAGCATTTTCTCTTTTGCTGACGACACCTCTATTATTTTTAGTGGCAACTCCTGGAAACAGGTTACAAAATTAGCAGAAGAAGGTGTAAATAGCATCTTCCAATGGCTGCAAAATAATCTTCTAACCTTAAATATAGCTAAAACTAAATTCCTATGCTTCAGTTTAACCAAACGAAACCAACCAAAAATATTACCGGATATCAAAATTCATTCCTGTTCTAATTTAACCAAGGAAAGTTCATGCCATTGTCCATCCATAGCTTACGCTAACAATATAAAATATCTAGGAGTCATCATTGATCAACATATCACTTGGGAAAAACATATTAATGCCCAGTCTTCCAGGATCCGTAAGTTGATGTTTATCTTCAATCGGCTAAAGCGAGTGGCAGATGAAGGGGTCATTAAAATGATCTACCTTGCTCTCTGTCAATCCATACTCACCTATTGCATCTCGGTTTGGGGAGGAGCCGTCGCAAAATACATACTTAAACTTGAGCGTGCTCAAAGAGCCATTTTAAAAACAGCCTACAGGAAACCCTTCCGATTTCCTACAACCCAACTGCACACTGAGACAGGGTTGCTTTCGGTCAGAAATCTATATATTCTTAGTACTTGCCTTCGTTTCCACAAAGTCTCTACTTCACATAACTTAATGTCATTAACACAAAGACACTCTCAATTCACAACACCCAAAAAAAACACTAGTTTTGGACAACGATTTTTCAATTTCAGAGGACCTTACCTCTACAATAAACTTCATAAAAAGGCTAAAACAGAGTTCGTCAAACTGTCAAGATATAGGATAAACAAAATAATAAAAAACCTACTGTCAAGCCTGGACTACGCTTCAGCTGAGGCTTTGCTTAATATTCCTAAATAAGCATAGTTTAGCACTTTATCTGTCTATAACAAAATGCTATTGTAATTGTCAAATTGTAAAATGTTAATTTCGTTAGTAATGTTGAGTTACTAATTGTATTAAGTTTATTCCGTTAGTAATGTTAAGTAAATAATTGTAATAAGTCTATTTCGTATTTCGTTAGCATTGTAAACTTACATTATCCACCTATCACACGTATTCTGTTACATACCTATATTATATCAACACACGTAACACGCTCTCGCTTCATACATACACTAACACACATAATGCAAATACTCACCTAAATAGACACTAATCGTAAGTAGACATAAGTTAGCTTAGATGTCTTTATTTATTGTAACCCATCATCTGGAAGAGACTAGTCACCCACGACACAGGCTTGCCCTAGTGTGGGGACTAGGGACTTTCGATTCTGTACCATATATAAGGAAACAATAAAGATTTTTGATTTGATTGATTTGATGTAGTAATAATATTATGATGTTCTTCATGGTAATGTCGGCTCTTAGGAACCCGTAGTTCAGGATGAGTATAACAATAAAACAAGTAACTCCATTCAACAAGATTTATTACAGAAATGTATGTGAAAACTAAATTTTACCAAAATACATTTTTCTTCAAATACTGATCCAAATGTTACTAAAAAAATATCGTTTGCTTGTGAGTAAATACGGCTAATGATTTCAAAATAAATTGTATTTATACATATATACGTCGTAACATCTTTATTATTTTTATATACATTTTCTAGGAACGTTTCGCATTTACTGACCGAATTTTTTAATGAATATTGGTCCTATTTTTATCTGATCCGATAAACCCAGACATGGTTTAAATTACATGCATCGTTTGAGCTTTCCACTTGTTATAGTATTTCGACAATGTGCCTTAACGGTTTATTCTAATCAATTATTTTTTTATTTTCAAGAATCGATGTCGATTTCAGGAGCTTTGCAAAAGTAAAAGTTAGATGTACACATCTCGCCCCGATCTACCATCCTCCGTGATTTTTGTTTTATATTTCATTGATGTAATTTTATATAATGTGTTAACTGCAACTTTATCGTTTTACTTATAATTTTTAACCTCGAAATAACTCTCTGGTTATCCCTCTTCGTGTATATGAAATTCCCTTATTACTCTTGCTTCGTAAATTTTGTTATATTGGTTTTGCCTGATACGACAATCAGGTTTTACACTACATTATAAACTATAAATTGTAATAAACGATAAAATATCACAATAATCATTAAAATATTGTACATCAATTCCATTTATTTATAATCTAATGACGACACTTACTTAATAGACATCTAGAACACTAGCTAAAACTTTGAGCCACGACACAATGTTTAGAGAAATTGCTAAGTTCTAAATTGTTGGGGCAACATCGGTGGAAAATAAGTATTTACTTTATAAACTTGCCTAAATGTTTATGACACATTTCTTCAATAATGTAGGTATTTAGCACTACCTCGTTCTCCAGGGTTCGAATTTACGCTTCCTAAAATTAATATGTTTGCTGATTTAATAAGAGATCTAAGTCAATCAGGGAATGTCTAGAGCTTGCTGCTTGATTTGTCTACTTATTTATTTTTTTTTGCTTATGTCTTTACTTTTAAAAACTGTCTATAGTTTACGCGAGTTTACATTTAAATAAAACACGTTAACGGTTTAAAACGCGATTAATTAGTTAAAATTATTTGAAAATTATTTTTAACTTCGGCTCGACGTTTCGCAGCAGCCGTGGTTACGGGGAGGCAAAGTGTTTTATTTAAATATTTACTTTTATTCTTTTGTTTGATAAGTAGTACTATTGTGTTAAAACAGTTTTTAAGTAGTATCCATAGCGTACTACTTGTAACTAAAATTACTCTTAAAGTGCTTACCTTAAATACAATTACTAATAAAAATGATATTTGGGACTCTAATAATATAGTTGTACGGACGCAAATACTTACCGATTAACATAATTACAGGTAACTATATGAAGCATGGCACACAACATTTACAGTTTAGCTAATTTCTATTTTATTTATTATCTATACTTTGAATTGACCTTAATGACGTCTAAAAATATAATGTTTGAGGTCATTTCATTAAATATTTATATTTAATTGACTGGACATATCTGTGATAATAGGAGTGAAACAAACATACATATACTTATTAATTATAATTAAAATATATATAAAAATAATTAAATTATTAATTAATTAATTATTACAAATCTTCATTCACAAGGAAAAAATATATACATAATTGTAAAAACCAAGATACAATGTAAGAGAAACAAAATTACAAAATAACAGAAGAAGTAGGTATTGAAAAGAAAAGTATCTATACATTAGAATTAATACTAGATAAACAATGACACGACAAGTTTGACACCAAAAATACCACATAGGTAGGGAATTTTAACATTGAACACTGAAGCTTCCTGCTTGGAAACCCAATCCAAAGCCAATTCAAGTACCAGAGTATTCGAATAGCGAGACACTATCAAACCTGGTACTCATTTTCAAAATTATACATTTCTCTCAGATATTGTGAATACTTCGGGTCTCTGTCATCGTTCATTCTTCCTTTCCATGGTCAAGAGCCACGGCCCATCCAGTGACGCATCGATCTGGCTCTGCGATTTTCCCTTCGTTTCTGGTAGAGTCAGGTAAATGTAACTGGCACCCAGAAGAGTGATGAACGAACAAATATAATACGTAGCGTGGAGACCAATGGAGAAGGCAATACTCCCGTAATATCGAAGAACAAAGAAGTTACTTAGCCACATCCATGCAATGAGGAAACTTGAAGCGATGCTACGTACCTGCGAAATAAGAGAAGAGTTACTTTGGGTCAGCAAATTGTATGAGTAAGTTACGCTTTAGTCCACATACATAGAAAAAATAATTAGAGATAAACGTTCTTTTTTAATAGTACCGTTAATTACATTTACTTACGTTTACAAAAAATAATTCCGATATCAACACATAAGGCACTGATCCAAGGCCTATATTGTATAAAAAGAGTACCAAAGACAACATTACAACTGGCAACCAAACTGTCAACTCTTCCTTGTCTATATTATGTTCCAATTTCACTGTCCATTGCAAATCTTCTGATATATTATAATTGTCGCCAACTCTGTACCAAGGCTTCGTGTCGTTAGAGAATTTTAAAGTATCATTGTAAATGGTTAGGTTTTCTAGGAGGTCTATTTTATCACGGATGCTTTTTTCTTTGGTAAATTTCTTATAGGTCATAAGCTTATGTTTATAGAATGAATGTATTTGGAGGTGGGGGTCGCAGTAAACGCCGAGGACGGCTAGACAGAAAGCGATGCCAGAACACGACCAGAGTAGTAGAGTCTGAAAATGTTAAACAATAGTTAAATACAATATGATTTGTAACTCAAATGTCTGAAGCCAAAATAAGGCTGCAGGTTGAACTGCACGATGTTCTATTATAGCTTTAATATTATTTGTACCATTTTGTATCCAATACTGAAAGAAATCTTGTACCTTTCGTCCAACTTTATCGACTGTAGCAGTCGCTACTGCTGCACCGAGCACTAAAGCAGTTCCACAAAGCATAGAGCCTGCTTCTGATGCCTCAAAAAGATTTCTTGGCAACGTTCTGTAATAAGACATCTTCAAATTTTTGTTTTTTGTTTTCTTGTTCAAGACAAACTAGAATATGTGCATGCTCAGGTAAGTGTTGTATTATATTTGGCTGTTACTGAAGTAATTAAAACTAAAAGTGATAAGAAATGCATTACGAATTGTTTTAGTTTTTAATAATCGTTAAGTATATTTATTTAAGATTTGTATTAAAACATTTTTTAGCTACAAAGGGGAGAATTTTTATATTTAACGATACTCCTATACGGACCTTTTTTTCAAATTATAAAATATATTATAATACGGCCGACGTAACTTGGCAAGTCTGAACAGAGGTTAGACTAACTTTGGCGCATGTAGACTCGTAAAGAAAACTAATACTGCCATTTATTTTCGTTGCTGGGATAAATTAAAGATTTTACCTATAGCAAGCAAAAGTACCTACATACCAATAATTGATTCAAAGAGAATAAGGGCTACGAACACTTTTCTTACGGACTGCGCTCAAGACAGAGATAACGAAATTAACGCCAAGGAGTGACCGAGACACACTACTGTTTACCGAATATGTACGAAGCTTTACGAAAGAACCAAATAGAGATATCCATACACCATCTTTAAGAGTGTCGTTTGATAACGTAAAATTGAGAAAATTAGATCGTAGAAATATAATTGTATAAAAAGCCCTAAAGAAGGTATAAATAGTAATTATATAAATAATAACTCATATTTAACTAAATCAGGTAATTCAATAATGAAAAAAGTTTTTAATGATTTTATTTCTGTGTTCATCAATCCATCTCGTACAACATCTAATACGATTTAAAATCCATAATCTAAATCGATAAAAATCAATTTCAAAATTTGATAGAATAAGCGGTCGATTTTGTTGACATTGAGTCAATCACTAGTCTAGATCTTCGTCCCGCGCCCCTCGCTCTTACCACCGTTAACATCCTAAAGAACGTTTCTGCGTAGCGTTTGGCGCTTAGATCAGGCTTGCCAAGTTACGTCGGCCGTATTGTACAAATGTTTCTGACGTATGGAACGACAAAACGATATAACGAATATAAACGTTTACCCGTTATAAATAGTGAAGTTGTATGCAGTAGTATTAAGAACTGGAATTTGGTGAGCTGAATGCCTGAGTACTGCCGCAGCAAAGCTGTTGAATGCGCCTGCGCCGCTACCTGCGGCAGCTCCGATCACCACAAAGCAGGAAATGAGAGCTCGTCGGGAACGGCGGCAAGCAACTAGAAATAGACGATATAAAGCAAATTAAATACGTACAAAAGTTAATTTTGACTGTTGCGTTCAATTTGGAATGTTGTAATTTTTTCGTTCAACAATTATTATTGCATATTTAGTTTGAGTATAGACTATTATGTTGTCTAATTTGGGCTGGGCTGTCTCCATTAAATTATGAAACAATCTTCTTTTTTATATCAAATTACTCAAACGTGTTATATTCATTTGGATATTACAGTCATATAAATTTATGAAATGTAACTTACACAATTCCTTACAAGCAGGCTTGTCAGTCTTCTCACTTCTTTTGTCAGAGTTAGATTCCAGACCGCTACTTCTCTTCAGCATAGGTTGGAATGTATCGGAGTCATAAGAGACGACGTCCCGTCGTCCGTAGCTGTCCGAAGTGCGTATTCTGACTTCTTGTTGTTCTATTACATCAGTCAAATCTTCTCTGAAGTCGGAGCCATCAAACCAGCACATAACTTTGGCAGCTTCCTATAAAAGGATTTTTAAACTTTAAGGGCCTATATATGTTTTATTATAGTTACGCTTGTCGTATATATTATTTTATTATAGTGGATAATTAAATTACGAAAACTTATAATGGATTCCGTAATACTTTAAAATCAGCCAGAACATTGATAATAATAATTATAAATAGGTTTTACAACTAATCACGATTAAGAAATTCAAATCATTGAAGACTTTTACTCTTTTATTGTTAATTTTGTTTTCCTTCTCTTTGTTCCTTCCTTCTGTTTGTGCGATAAAGTTTATTATTATTATCATCTTTTTACTTTGTACATAGATTAAAGGAATATGAGAAATAAAGATAAACAAAAATTAAAGAAAATAAAGATTTTTTAACAATTTCTATGCTACGATAAAAATTACGCAGTCCGTCAAAAGAAAGTCGTACGACAACACAAAACTTCTTACCTGAATTTTCCCCACATTTATAAGAAACGAAGGAGTTTCTGGTAACCACAATAAGGATAAAAGAAGAAGGGCTGGTGGTACAGCCATTGTCAAGGACAATGCGTGTGCAGATAATATTCCGCCAGCCGAGTAAGCGAAGAGAATTCCGCAGCTGAAATAATACGATAACAAAATCAACAATTTCAGAGCTCTTCATAAATGCAAATGTCAGACAGCCAGTCTTGTCCATTTAAAGTTTGAAATTTAAGACAGATTTAGAAGAATAACTTTGAGAATTATGGCGTGATTTTTCTTTTCATCAGTCCAAGTCATTTAATAGGATCAGAAAATATTCTATTGCTTATGCTTTGACGAACTCGTTCGTCGGACTGGATAACAATGTATGGCTAAATAATCAACGGTTAGCGAGTTGCACCCCACAGATTAAGCCTCGATATTGAATGGGTGGTAGGAATATCAACGGCGGGTCACGAACCACCGTCCATATATGAAAAAACAGTGAAGTTTAATCGCGTTTCGGTTTCAGTCTGTGGATTTTCGAATTTCGAAGCCAAAATACGTTTTACCTTTCATAAAGTGAACTCAGTGTTTTTCTGCCTTCATCTATAAAAAAATATAAAACTCCGTAACTTCGGCGGATGCACGAATGCGTATGCTCCTTGAGCCACACGAACGAAATGGTATTTCACAAGTGAAAATATTGTACCTGCAAGCCAAGGCAGGCATAGCTGCTAATCCCCTGGTTCTAGGAGCAATTTCTGCGCAATACAATGGCGCGAGAGCTAATGCACCAGCACCTCCTGCGCCGGCTGCAACCCTGGCTGCCCAGATGCCTTTAGCTCCACACCATGCTGCTAATGACCAGCTAAACTGAAAATCGAGGCGTTATGCAGTAGCTCACAAAATGTAAACTACTACTACTAAAAATATTTTCAACAATAAAACTAACACTTACAATGAAACTAAGTCCAATACAAAATGCACCAGCCTTTCGCCCCCTCACATCAGCGAGTACTGCAAACATTGGAGCAGCCGGTAAAGCAACGAGGCAAGGGAGAGCTGCTAACCACGCACCTCCTGTTAAAGCCTCATTACCTAGTATTCCTGACACCCAGCCAGTGCTGCAGCCGTGCGTGAAACATGATAGATTATCTGCGGAGACCAATGGACTATAAAATTGCTTAATGGGTGAAGTGTATGGAGCTATTATTGTTAAAGATAAAGGTTATGATAGTAATTCACATTTGAGATGACCCATGTCTTTAATTTTACATAATGCTAATGTTCAAAGAAAATAAAAAGACGCACATTCTGCAACAGAATATATATACTGTAAGTAATATATATTATTTTAGATTACTTATTGGTTTTTAATTACTCTCGTTATTTAATTAATATTTATATCAAAATTAAAATCGATTATAGACTAAATAAAATTATAAAACGCACTTGAGCCGGCGTCATCGTCGAATGTTCTCAAGATGCACCTCTATTATATTAGGTATATATAACTCATTCCGCGTTTTGAGTCGTTAAAAGTTATTTTAAACTTTTCTTGTTAAATTTTAAACTTGCTTTTCCATTTTCTTAGTACCAGGAAAACACGAGTAGATAACATATGAACTTAAGTTAATTTATCACAGAGAGCGGAATGTAATTTTAAATTCGTAGAAACACTCAGCAAAATGAAACTGCAAAACGTATAAAAGTAATTGAAACACACGTGAAAGATTATGCCCGAAGTATTTTTACTAAAATAATATGTTTTTCACAATAATCCTAGTAGGGGTCGGATTGATATTGCTATGATATTGACCTCGGATTCCCACGAGATCAGCTTATGTGACATGGCGTGGGTTTACGAAATTGCTATGAAATCGATCTTGTCTGATATGAATAGATAATGCGCGATATACTTTTCTGAAATAAAATATAATAAAACGACAAAACGATACATTTGACAAATTCTCGTGAAACATAATATATAAATTTCAGCTTAAATCATAAAAGTCTTACAAATAGAGGAAGCTATAATTCTCCGCACAGAACCGCGCCATCGTTTTGAAGATGTTCTTTCTATTCGATTTCTGAAAAATAAAGAAAATCTTCCATTACATATACAATGTATGTATCAAGTTAATTTGTTATACTTGAAGAATAATCAAACAATTTCAGTAGATTAGAAATATAGCTAAATTATAAATTTGTTAGATTTATGTTAACAATTTTCCTTGAAAATTTTTGAAAAAACTAGTTTTAGTCTTGGTGGAAAACTAAGAATTGTTTTATTATCATTTTTTTCTTATTTTGTTGGAAAGAAGAAGTTTTAACCCACGGTACATATTGTATTGTGTGGTGTAAATATTTATTTTCTTTTTAGCTTACACCTTGAATTAGTTTATTTAAGAAGCAAACTATTTCTATTGCACATACTCAATACTTTATGAACTTTCAGCTATACTATAGTTATAATTAAGGTGTTTCTCGCGTTAATTTGAAATTCATTAGAAAGTAGGTCAACTAAAGTAATTCTATTTTTAATACCCTATGAATTCACGTGGTCACCAAGCTTGGCTTCTTGGCTCAAGCGGAAAAGTTGCATGCAAATTACATTTCACCTCATTAATATTACATAAAGCAAATATAGCCAATTAAATTTAACGGTGTGTTGATGCGGTGATGTTATCTTTACTAATATTATAAAGCTGAAGAGTTTGCTTGTTTGTTTAAACGTGCTAATCACAGGAACTACTCGTTAGAATTTTAAAATTCGTCTGTGTTTAAAAGTCCATTTATCAAATACTGTCTATAGTTTACGCGAGTAGTACACATTTAAATAAAACACTTTAACGGTTTAAAACGCGATAGTATATTAGTTAAACTTATTTGAATATGATTTTTAACTTCGGCCCGACGTTTCGGATGCTTTGCAGCAGGCGTGGTCACGGGGATGTGACATTTTCGTGAAATAATTATTATTTGTGTTATGATGAAAGATCATCTAATTTGATGTTTATCAAATGAAGCACGCAAGGATAACAACACTGATTAAGTGTTCTAACATACATTTATATATTTAGTCGATAAGTTATGAATACATTAGAATACATTTGAGATAAAACAGATATTTGGTAGCTATAAAGTGTATAAAATCAAATCTCAAATGTATAATATGACCGAATCCTAAATGATCAACACGTCCGGCCGGACACAGAATTTAAAAAAAAGACATGAACAGAGAAAAACACAAACTTTAATACAAAAAGTACTTAAATTGGACTAAATGCAAATTAATCTGCATAAATATCGATAAGACTAAACACATTTCGGCCGAGTGTTCATCCGAATATTCGGTATCCAGTATCCGGAAAAAAACTATACTTGTAACCTATAGATAAACACAAACGCATCGATAAAAGTAACAGAGAAAACAGAAGTTATTGTTATGGCCTTCCACCATATTAAGTAATTTATTGGTTTGTGCCATAACACGAAACTTTGAATAAAGAGAATACCTTAACTCCAAGCACGTGTGACTTTCATTTATGTATCCTTGTTCTATTTTCCGAGTACCATTTATGAGTTACCGTTAGCTTTGCTGATGATAAATTAGTTTGAAGACCAAATACACTGTTTAATTTAATTGGAACGGTTTCTATAAATAAGCAGCTCCTCTATTTTTCTTATTCATGGGGAAAATTAGAGGAGGTGTACTAGGAGTATAGACGTAATTAGGAAGTACATACAGGTATACTTTCTCTTCCTCTACAAATGAACAGTCATTTGTTTGTTGATTTATCGACGGAAGATCTACCTAAGATATTTTTGGTAAGTAAGTAAGTTACATGAATATTGTCCTACCTTTAAGACTTTGTCTTATAGGTGCCTTGTTTATATTACCTTTTTTATCAGATTAGTCCTTAAATACCGCCAAAACAAAAAAAGGTAATTTTTAATGCAGCATTGTACATTCTAGATGTATACAGCGATGGTTTTTTATATTTATCAACTAGTGCTACCTACGCAATATCCCTTTTATTGGATCTAACAAAAGAATATTTAAATTAAAAATCAATTATAGATTGAAAAAAATTTACGACTCGGACAGGACTCGAACTGGCTTCCATAGAGTTCCATACTGTTACTCTAACCAATTGAGCTTCGTGTCCTATCACGACTCACACATTAAAGAAAATTCAATGTTAAAGCCATTTTTAATTTATATAAACATAACAAGAAAAAAAACATAAGAATACATGTACCAAAAATTTAGAATAAGTAAGATGTATCCTTGAATAAATAAATAAATTTCCTTATTCTGAATGTGATGTATATCGAACCGCTAAAGGAATATAATCCTATTAAAGTTCTGCTTTATTTATCCAAAGGTAGTACTAACAAAGAGTGAAATTATAATATGGGATCACTCGAGCGCCACAATAACAAAAATCGGAGAGAGCTCTAATCAAAGCGTTTTCAATTCCCCACTCGGTCAAATTGCTCTGTAACAAATAGAATCCGAATCCCCACAATTCAGTACATAGGCAGATCAAGTTGAATAAACACTAAACAAACTCGTATTATTAGCTTCAGCCTCCCTTGAGGCCGAATTCTGTTAGTTTCGCAAATTGCCAATATTGGAATTGACTTTTTTTCGTTACGAATTCAATGTACAATTTACGCTACATTTTTGGGCGAATTTACTAAATTGGTATACGCATTAGCACGTATCTTGGCTCGATATTTGTAGCTATGTTATCACTAGCTGTGTTATCGACGTATAATAGGTATTTTGGGCATCTAAATTAGTTTTTGCAAACCTCTTAATCTTTCTAAATTTATGTTATCCACAACTTCCGTCGCGTCCCATGGTTGTTGCAAGTTAATCTTAAAAGATAGACATATAGTATCACGAACGTTTTTGTAAATTAAAAGAGGTTTTTTCGAACATATTTTGCGTAAAACTTATTAATTATATATTGTACTTAAAAGCTTTTGCAATCATTATGTTAGTAAGGTCGATCGCTAACGTTGTGAACGTAGGGCGTTCTTGGTTAAAAGTTCCTAAAGAAAAGACAATGTTTACATAACTTGAAGTCTAAGCTTCAAAATTAAGAATATCGTGTCTACAAAGTAACCTAGATTTTTCTTTATAAAACGTTTGAATATTAAAAACTTTTTCTTAAAATATGCAGGAAAAGTATAAAACTATAACTTAACGGAATTTCGATATAACTATAAATAGGAATATCGAAATTCCGTCCGGGTCAGAAACACTGCAGGGATTAAAAAGCCGAGAAGTTCATTCGGTTTCAGTCTGTGGATTTCCGAATTTCCGACCCCAAAATAGGTCTACAGTAGACTGGAGTATTTCACCTTTCACCGAGCGCTTGTCTGTGATCTACCATAAAAAAAATATGACAAACACACATACATTTTAAATGAGTGAAGTTTCTCAAGTTAACCAGCTGGCCCTAAGCACTTAAGATCCTGAGTTAAGTTACACTTAACGTAAAAAGGGTTCCATCTCTACTTGAAGAAGGTCTTCATGTACTATACTGGATCAATACTCGTCTTATAATTACGCGCTGAAGCCTTCAATGAAATACCAGTTACGTCAAATTTGTTTCAGAGGAAGATTTCTATCAGTGAGTTATATCTATACTAATATATAAAGCGGTTTAAACGCGCTAATCTCAGAAACTACGAGTTCGAATTGAAAGTTTCATTTTGTGTTGGTTAGAGCATTTATCGAGGAAAGTTATAGACTATATATTATATAAGATCGCGTTGTGACCAATAGAAGTGAAGATACAGCGGGAAATGTGAACAAAACGGGGGAATTTTTTCGTCTCTGCGGGTTTCAGATGCGTACGCTGCAAAAACGGTTCAAGACATCAAAAAAATATATATGAAAAAATTATTCCTTTTTAAATGAACTAAAAAATGTCGGCTACACTACATGTCTATCTTGTAAGATTAACTTGCAAGAACGACGGGACCCGAACATCAGTCGCGAGCGACGGCACGCGTCCGATTTCGGATAGCAGTTTGAATTAATTAAAATGAACAGAAGGTTTTCAAAAACAAATTTGGATGACCAAAATAACTATTCTAACAGACGAAGTCACTGACACAGCTAGTGTATTATAAATTAAGAGACATTCTGATGAACATAATTAGAATACTGTATGTAGATGATAAGTTTAAAACAAACTGTAATGATTTATTGCCTGTAGTTAACTAGTGTGGTTTTACGTGGTAGTGTGGTTTTAACGGTTTATAACGTGAAAAGTATGTAGTTAGATTACTTTTCAATCGTATATAACATATAATTAGGTATATTTTTAAACTTAAAAATTCCTTTCGCTATGCCAAAACTAGTGTAAGTTACTGAAGAAAATATGTAATAAAACTGAGCTTACAATCGCTTATAACATATCAAGGTTATAGATATCTTTAAGTTAAAAATCACGTTTGCAATGCTGAATCCAGAGTAAGTTACTTAACAAAACGGTTTATAAGTGAAGTGGAAGGGTTACTTTTACGTTTTATAGATATATACTTTAGTCATCTGATGTAACTTTAAATGGACAACAAAGCTTTACTCTTGTCAGTCCGAGTACAAATTTTAAAAATTCACAAAGCCAAGTACTATTCAGCATTGTCTGTAGTTTTCGTAACACATTAAATAACAAATTCTAAATAAAACACTTTCTACGGTTTAAACCCGTAATGTATTAGTTAAACTAATTTATACAATATTTTAACTACGGCCCCACGTTTTGTAAGTGGTAAATTTAAATGTGTCTTGTTTGTGTAAATTACTTAAAAACAAGAGAACTTCTACCGGTTTAAAACGCGAAATATACATTAATTTTTAACTATGCTAGTGTTTAATTTAACAAGAAACGCTGTTTACACAAACTCAAGGAAACTTTGAAAGGTGAAAGGCAATTTTGATAAAATCGATAATCCAGACATGCACATTCACAAAGAATGAAATAATGCGCTATATGTGGTTATATATTATGTATAGTTGGTATGAACACGCTATAGCAATCAGCTTTTCTAAGAATTACAGCCC